CGTGTTTGATGGGTTGCGTCCATTGTCTGCAGCAATGCAGCTATTTGAAGCCTTGTGTGAGGACTGTGATTCCTTCTCTATGCACATGTTGGAGTTTTACTGGGGTGTACAAAATTCCAAGACCTCCTCACCTGTCAGCCTTGTTCTAAACTTGGTTTAAAATTCCCTTTCTAATTTGCACATCATTTAGTTTCAAACAAAAGAAACGATCACACTTTTATATATAGTTGCTAAAACACATTTACGAACCTTGATACCACATGTGGTATATCATTTTGTTGTCAAGTTAGAGAGAGCTGCTGCATTTGCTTTTTTATTTAAGGGTATTCTAGATGCTCACCAGTCTGCAGTGCAGTTCAGTGCAATAAGTCATAGTGAGCTGGTTCAGATGTAATGCCAAACCATGGTTTGGTGTGATAAGAGCAAGCCTTCAGGGAAGTTGAGGCCATGCTCCCTGCCTTTTCCTCCCACCCTCTATGCTGTAGTTCCTTCTCTACTTCACCAAGCCTTTATTCGGCACTACAAATACAGGCCATCATAAAACATCCATATATAAAATGTTAAAATATATACAAAAACAGTCATGTAAAATATGTCATAACGAGGGTTTTCGTTGGAGTTTCTTCCCGCTAAATAGTACCATTCACTACTCTTAAGAGATACTATTGACAAAAACTCAGCTACGCTTGCAGTTACTTCTGAGTCAGACAGATAGAATCTGATATTTTCATTGTGCAGTGATGTTAGACTACCCAAAAATGGGGATAGCACACATTTGCGTAACTGGTTGTAGAATGGACAGTATTAAATAATATGTTCTACAGTGTCTGGTACATTCAATGTCTATTTTTTATGGGGATGTTTAAATATCTGTTCTTGACAAAAGCTGAGGGGAAAACGTTCAGTCGGGCTAACATGTTGGAATAGAATTATTAATTTTGAAATATAAGTGCCCCTGTTATCTGTTGTATTTAAACCATAGAACTTGGGGGAGCAATTTTTTTTTACAGCTGACTCAGTGTTTTGTTTTTCAATGTCCCTTAATCTGGTTTGAATATTGTGATAAATATATTGCTCATAGTTCCCACTCTCTACTCCTAGTTTGTGGCAAACTGTAGTTCACCCTAACCCAACAAACCTAATATTTACATTTGCCCTGCAAACCAGGGTTGCAATCCATAACCAAATCACAATTTGCTAGTTTAGACCAAACAGCAAGTGGGTTCCCTCAAACTAGGAGATGGATTACTACATTGGGGTCGTGTTTCAGAAACCCAAGACTCCTTCACAGTTTATTGTAGTCTCAAATCATAATTTGGTGTTATATCTGAACAAGCTCAACATCTAACCCTTCACAGTTTTGTTACCTTAAGAAAACTCTGGAAGAAGGTCTTCAGTGATATGTACTTGGTAGGGCTGGTCCTAGTCGTTTTGCCGTGCATGATTCACAAATTGCAGCCTAGGATCCCTTGCAATGCTGCAAACAATCTTGGGCCTGCCTCTGAGTTGTCTTCTACTTCTTTTAGTGGCCCTGAAAATAATGCCATACCAAACAACTGTGTTGTTAGTGCAGATGGGCTGTCTCTAACAGAACGTCTGTTTTTTTGCTTGGTTTAACACCCTGTCCACAACTTCCTGCTCACCATCTTTTCTGCTCTATGATCAGCATGTTCTACTTTCCTTGTAAAGAATCCTCATACAGAATTGTCTCTTCCCACCATTGCCAAATTAACCTGAATGCTTTAAGAACCAGAATGATGTTGTCAGAGTTTGTAATCCAATTATGATTTTGCATATGTAACGAGAACAGCCCTGAAGCTAAGTTGGCATACCCTGCAGGTGCCTTCTCTTCAATGTAAGTGTCTTGATTATTGATTCCTATTTTTTATTTGGAATATGGTTGCCTATCATATTGTATTGTTTACATTTCAAATGCTACAGCTCTGATACTAAATATTCCCCAGAAAGACATATTTCCCCCAATTTCTCCGTGGCATAGAAGAGACATCAATTTGTCTACATTTTCAGTAATGTTCCATGAAGTTCTGATGGAGCCAAAAAAAGGAGAACAAAATTGGAGCTAAACAAAATTGGAGCTGTTTGTGCTCTGGCTCCTTGACCTTCACTAACAAGGACTGTCCCTGTTCATCGTCTGCTGGCAGGAACTGTGCCGTCTAGCAGTAGCATCCTTATTTTGCAAGCATCGCCTAAGTGACTGGCATGGCCTGTTTGCAGGTAGTATATGTTAGATGGGCTCCTAAAGCATTTCCGATGGAAAAAACCAATCTTCCCTGCCTCTCACTCCTATGGTGGTACCCTGTCTTTATGTGTGCTCTTTTTAAAAGCAGCTTTTCAAACTACGTTTGTTCTTGTTCAAACACATGCATCTAAGTGTGCAAAAGTGACGTTGGAGGGAGTGGAAACCATAGTTTCATTAAAGGATCTCTCCTAGTCATTCCTGAAGATGACTAGGATTGAACCTGGGACCTTTTGTATGCAAAGCATGTGTTCTGCCCATGCATTCTGCCCCTTTCTCTTAATCATAGCCACTGGAAGGAACCAGAAAGTGATAAACTGGGCATAATTAAAAACTGCAGCCAAGTAGTCACAAGCTGTTTATGCCACAGCCAAATGATCTATAATTGTCACCTTGGCTTTTCAGTAGTCCTGCTTGTTTACTTTGTATCAAAGTTGAATAAAGTATCTAACTACCTTTGTTTTAATTTATTAAATAGGAAGGACTGAACTCTGCCTGTTTCTTAACTGGTCTTGACCATTCTGATTTTGTTTTTAATCTTCTCTCTTGCATATTCCATGTAATAGTCTTTATTAATCAAACACGCATTCTGTGTGATGTGCCAATTTCTTCCCGCTCCCACTTTAATACTTTATTTCAGGATCACTTCACGCAAATCATTTTCAGTTGGAATGTGACACCAGTCAGATGTGAAGTGTTCATGCATGCACTTTTTGCAGCTTCTCTTTTTCAAAATCCAAGCAAATTGGAGCCTAATCTTTTTCCCAATTGTTATTTGCACCTAAATTGTGAGAATAACATGAAAAGGAGAAAATGGCCAAAGCTGATGTGGGATGTACTTGTGCAAGGAAGAGAGCATTTGCCCTTTAGCATGAGAGCTGTTGTAGGCATTCCTTGGGTCTTTTCTAGAATACATGAGCAACTGTGCAGGCTAGAAATTGGCTTTTGAAAATGCTGATCTACTTGGAAGTCTGTAATAGGTGTCAAATCAAAGACTACATTCGGTGCCACAGTCTACATGTGTGGAGTTAGAGAATACAAAAGGCTTTGAATTTAAGCAGTTGGAAATTCATGAAGCCGGTTGCTAAATGGTAGGGACAGTCATTTAAAACAGCAAGCTGTATAATGAATATTGGAGAGATTTAGGGGGGGGGTGCATGTCTGAATGCTTTTCACTTGTTGGACTTTAGGATGTGATCCTGGTTGGTGAGGGCCAGGCCACCCAGTGTCAAGGGTGGAAGATAGCTTTTAACCTAACTGCAGGTGTCCCTAGGACAAATGCGTCCTGGTTCACTCATAGAAACTGAATTACAACCCGACGCTTTCCAGAAGCTTCCCATTCCTGGGGAAGATCAGTTGCAATGGGCAAGCTGTCTTTCAGGAGCACTCTGCCATTACTGTGCTGCTGATTTTTCTAATTGAGGAATCTCCAAGAAGCTGGAATTCTCTGGACAGAGGTTGAAACCCACTATGTTAATTTATGAGAGCATGGGGAATCTTTGGCCTTCCAAATGCTGTTGGACTCTTAACTCCCATAATCCCTAACTAACCATTGGCCCTGCTGGAAGTTCGATCCCAGTGTTTTCAGGAGAGCCACAGACCTGATGTATAAGCTACTTATTGAACTTCGTTAAGCTTGTTGGTAAATGTTTTAAAAAGCAAATTACATAAATCCAAATTTGAGGCTCCATTTAAATCTTCGTCATTTTTCCTATTGCAGTTTCTGTTATTCGGAATTGCTGTTTGCTTCCTTGACCCCCTCTTGTTCTGCCTTTTACCTATTCCTATGATGGTGCCTCATTTCCCCAAGTTGTCTGTTCATATTTGATGGGAATGTGACTGGGTATAAAGCCAGGGTTTAAAAAGCAAAATAGATGGACACAGCAAATAAAAGAGTAGCTGTTTTTGCTGTTCTGGATTGATGGTTGGTCTGGCTGCCTGCCTGCTTGGGTATGTTCCCCTGTGAATAAATAAAGTGGAAAGCAGAGTGTGTTAAATCAATGACAGGTTGTTAAGCCTTGCCCAGAGAATTGGCTGAGGGCTTGGGCTACGCTAAACTCTTCCAAAATAATGTGATAGATAAATAATACAAACAAAAATAGAATAGCTTTGGAGTTCAGCTATTCTCATGCTTTAGCTGGATAAGTGAAAGGATAAGCAATTATTTCTGGCTTCTGCCGTTCAGTCAACTTGCCCTTTTTGGAGTTATTTGTATGTTTTCAGGGACTGGCCTGCAGCTTGTGGAACCAGACCACCACTTTTTAACTCTTCCTTGTGATCAGGCAAGCTTAATGTATCTTCACTGGCATCCAGAGCTTTCGTTCTGGTTCTCACAAACCGGAAGAGAGGCAGCAGGTGCTGCAGTGCGGAGCCGAGAGAGAACAGAAGCAGGGCACTTTGTAAAGAGTTAATGCAGATATATATTGAAAGGGAAGTCTTCAACCTCTTTCATTTTAACATGGAGCTTTATGAACATCTTCCTCTTTCCCCTCTCAAGTTGAATAATCTTGCTGTTGTAGCAATTTGCAGAGAATGTTGACCTATGCTTAAAACTAAACTTAAGCCAGCTGTGTATGTAAGGCAGCCTTCCATCACTCCTGTAGTGCATGCTGGCTGGGGCTGGTGGGAATTATAGACCAAAACCTCTGGAGGGCACCAGGTTGGTAAAGGTTGGTGTAGTACCAAATGTATCTGAATTTAAATGTCAAGCCAATTTCTGAATCTGCACTTTTTCTTTCAACAGGGATTCCTAAAAAATGAAAAAGATAATGCTTTGCTGTCTGCCATTGAAGAGTCCAGGAAACGGGTAAGTTGGAGAAGGGCATATGAAAAAGTCCTGAAATTGAAACACCTCTTCAGTAGAGAGGCTGAATCTCAGAGAATTCTGCATTCTAATTGGCATTGCAACATGACAGATTTGTGGTTATACTCTTCTTCATAGCATGAGTAGCTAGTGTGGTTCCTCCTGAGGTTGTTGGACTCCAAATCCCATCAGCACAATAGAGCATGACATTGTTGCCTGCTTTTGCTCTACAAGTGCAAGAGCTCTCTCCCATGCCTAGTTTTAAAACCCTTTCAGAGTAATGACTTCACACCTTGGAATTGAATAAACTGTATAGACAAATTGTTGTTTAGTCGTGTCCGACTCTTCGTGACCCCATGGACCAGAGCACGCCAGGCACCTCTGTCCTCCACTACCTCCCGCAGTTTGGTCAAACTCATGCTGGTAACCTCAAAAACACTATCCAACCATCTCGTCCTCTGTCGCCCCCTTCTCCTTGTGCCCTCCATCTTTCCCAGCATCAGTGTCTTCTCCAGGGAGTCTTCTCTTCTCATGAGGTGGCCAAAGTACTGGAGCCTCAGCTTCACGATCTGTCCTTCCAGTGAGCACTCAGGTCTGATTTCCTTAAGAATGGATGCATTTGATCTTCTTGCCGTCCATGGGACTCTCAAGAGTCTTCTCCAGCACCATAATTCAAAAGCATCAATTCTTCGGCGATCAGCCTTCTTTATGGTCCAGCTCTCACTTCCATACATCACTACTGGGAAGACCATGGCTTTAACTATACGGACCTTTGTTGGCAAGGTGACATCTCTACTTCTCAAGATGCTGTCTAGGCCTGTCATTGCCCTTCTCCCAAGAAGCAGGCGTCTTTTAATTTCGTGGCTGCTGTCACCATCTGCAGTGATCATGGCGCCCAAGAAAGTAAAATCTCTCACTGCCTCCATTTCTTCCCCTTCTATTTGCCAGGAGGTGATGGGACCAGTGGCCATGATCTTCGTTTTTTTGATGTTGAGCTTCAGACCATATTTTGCGCTCTCCTCTTTCACCCTCATTAAAAGGTTCTTTAATTCCTCCTCACTTTCTGCCATCAAGGTTGTGTCATCTGCATATCTGAGGTTGTTGATATTTCTTCCGGCAATCTTAATTCCAGCTTGGGATTCATCCAGCCCAGCCTTTCGCATGATGTATTCTGCATATAAATTAAATAAGCAGGGAGACAAAATACAGCCTTGTCGTACTCCTTTCCCAATTTTGAACCAATCAGTTGTTCCATATCCAGTTCTAACTGTAGCTTCTTGTCCCACATAGAGATTTCTCAGGAGAGAGATGAGGTGATCAGGCACTCCCATTTCTTTAAGAACTTGCCATAGTTTGCTGTGGTTGACACAGTCAAAGGCTTTTGCATAGTCAATGAAGCAGAAGTATATGTCTTTCTGGAACTCTCTAGCTTTCTCCATAATCCAGCGCATGTTTGCAATTTGGTCTCTGGTTCCTCTGCCTCTTCTAAATCCAGCTTGCACTTCTGGGAGTTCTCGATCCACATACTGCTTGAGCCTTCCTTGTAGAATTTTAAGCATAACCTTGCTAGCGTGTGAAATGAGTGCAATTGTGCGGTAGTTGGAGCATTCTTTGGCACTGCCCTTCTTTGGGATTGGGATGTAGACTGATCTTCTCCAATCTTCTGGCCACTGCTGAGTTTTCCAAATTTGCTGGCATATTGAGTGTAGCACCTTAACAGCATCATCTTTTAAAATTTTAAATAGTTCAGCTGGAATACCATCACTTCCACTGGCCTTGTTATTTGCAGTGCTTTCTAAGGCCCATTTGACTTCACTTTCCAGGATGTCTGGCTCAAGGTCAGCAACCACACTACCTAGGGTGTACGAGGCATCCATTTCTTTCTGGTATAGTTCCTCTGTGTATTCTTGCCACCTCTTCTTGATGTCTTCTGCTTCTGTTAGGTCCTTTCCACTTTTGTCTTTTATTATGGTAATCTTTGTACGAAATGTTCCTTTCATATCTCCAATTTTCTTGAACAGATCTCTGGTTCTTCCCATTCTGTTGTTTTCCTCTATTTGTTTGCATTGCTCGTTTAAGAAGGCCTTCTTGTCTCTCCTTGCTGTTCTTTGGAAATCTGCATTCAATTTCCTGTATCTTTCACAATCTCCCTTGCATTTTGCTTGCCTTCTCTCCTCTGCTATTTGTAAGGCCTCGTTGGACAGCCACTTTGCTTTCTTGCATTTCCTTTTCATTGGGATGGTTTTCGTTGCTGCCTCCTGTACAATGTTACGAGCCTCCATCCATAGTTCTTCAGGCACTCTGTCCACCAAATCTAAATCCTTAAACCTGTTCGTCACTTCCACTGTGTATTCATAAGGGATTTGACTTAGATTGTATCTTACCGGCCCAGTGGTTTTTCCTACTTTCTTCAGTTTAAGCTTGAATTTTGCTATAAGAAGCTGATGATCTGTATAGACAAATACTTTTCTGTAATAAACCCAAAGTGAGTGGAGGAGTGGGATTGGTGCTCCTGAGTTGATTGGCTCTTGTGCCATATGGATGGGCTCTGTACAGAAGAGTCAGTGGAAGTTTGTGTCTGGCCCTAATGTCACAGTCTCCCAATCTCATCCATGGTATAAAGGTAAAGGTACCCCTGCCCGTACGGGCCAGTCTTGCCAGACTCTAGGGTTGTGCGCTCATCTCACTCTATAGGCCGGGAGCCAGTGCTGTCCGGAGACACTTCCGGGTCACGTGGCCAGCGTGACATCGCTGCTCTGGCGAGCCAGAGCCGCACACGGAAACACCGTTTACCTTCCCGCTAGTAAGCGGTCCCTATTTATCTACTTGCACCCGGGGGTGCTTTCGAACTGCTAGGTTGGCAGGCGCTGGGACCGAACGACAGGAGCGCACCCCGCCGCAGGGATTCGAACCGCCGACCTTTCGATCGGCAAGTCCTAGGTGCTGAGGCTTTAACCCACAGCGCCACCTGCGTCCCCCTCATCCATGGTATACAGTATTCCTTATTTGGCTACATGAGTAGGGCTAAGATTACATGCATTCAGCTGAGAGTTATACATTAGTACTCTGTGAACATGAGTTAGGCACTTGCTTATTTTACTAGTTTGCCTCTGAAATCCCCTGTAATAATAATACTGAGATACCACAAAATGAAGATTTGAAATCACTGTGATTAAGTTCAAGTTTATGTGTAATGGCCTCTGATTATTATTTTTAATGCTATGTTTTTCTTGAAGATGTGAAAGCATTGGTTTTTCTCAATTTATTTCTGGGACTGGCCAACAGCATGCTTTTGTAATGTACAATATCCACCCTACCCTAAGTCTGGTGCCATTGGCATCAATTTGGCACATAGGCAAACCAAAGTCTATATTTAGAAAACTTTGACCGGTACTAATACTAATCAAGCTTATTTGTCTAACTTCTTCATTTGTGTGTAATTATTGCATGTGTCTACTTTAATACATTTCCCTACTGCTCTACATATTTTTTTGTTATTTAATTCATTTGTTGACAGTTCATAATGCAATAATAAAACAATAAAAATGTTTTACATAAAAATGGTAACTACTAAGCTAATGTTAACAACGCCCATATCAGTACAGTATGAGAAAAACAGTAACGATGGTTCAACCAAGACATCAGTATTACTGAAACATCTGGGTGGTTAGGTGAGACTGATTGATTCTTCTCCAAATTGGAGGAGGGAGTTGTTTCTGTAAATGGGGTGACACCACAGAAAAGTCCCTATTTTGAATCACCTCATGATGGGTAAGACCACAAGAGCCTCCCCTCCTGTTTGTAAGGCCCAAACTGGCACATATAGAAAGAGGTGCTCTTTTTTCAAGTATGTGGGCACCAGTTTATTCAGGGCTTTAGAAATGAGCATCAGGATCTTGAATTGCGCCTGAAGAAGTGAGAAAATAGTGAGGATTGTAGAGCCCCACAAACTTCAGACATTTCAGCCAGCATTGTGTGCACACTCCCAAGCATAACTTTTCAGTCTCAAGAACTGGAAGCTTTTTTAAAAAAAGAAAGCTGAGAATTCTCAGCTGCATTTTGCCTCCAACACCACACTCTGAACTTTATCTACAAAATGTTGGCCGACATCCAACACTGAGCATCATCCACTGAAAGGGCAGGGTGCAGGTGAAAAGAAAAGCTGTATGTTTCTGTTGTCGAAAAATGAAATGAAATCAGTTGCATAACTGATTTTGCCAGCGTTAGTAGTAATTAGCCAAAATAGATCAGGCCCCAGCTAATGCTGGCATTTGGGCTTCTACCTGCTCAGCATGCTAAGCAGATCCCAGTGCCAGGAATTTAGCAAGGCTCTCTTGGCCAACTGGGGGCTCCTGTTCTACCACTTGGAAATTGTAGCTTTCCCTGTAATTGTTTGTAACCATGAATAAATGATAAAGTATCGTCAGACCATAAGAGATTTATTAATCTATTTATTCCATTTATAACTCACCCTTCAATCGGAAGGTTCCAAGGGAAGTATACAGCCAAAGTCAATATGAATTAAAAAACAAATAAAATATGGCATTACATAAAACCAATAAACATCATAAAACAGCCACAGAACAGCAGAACAAAACCACTTCTTCATCTCAAATCTTCCCCAGATGCCTGTAGGAAAAGATGTGTCTTAAATATTAGTTGAGGTGGTGTCTTAAAATATTACTGGCTCCACTCTTATAGTTGAGCGCCATATTCAGGGCATTAATTTGACAGCAAAACAAACCCCTGTGTTTTCTTCATGTAATTTCTGTTTTAAGACAAATCAGAAGTCAGCTGAACAGCAAAAAATGTGTTCTTTGACCTCCTGTTTTTGCATTTGTATGCGAGTAAAACACATACTCAAAACCCATTCTGCATTTTAATCTTTTTAGCAAAGCCTGATTCTCCATAGCTATCACCACCACTACAGATATGCAGTGCTCCAAACACCCCAAAACAAACCCAAACCATGGGGACAAGCTGACTTTTAGACTGGGATACGGACGCACACACATACACCTGTTTGTCCCAGCCAAGGTAGCTCATCTATCTTGCTCATCTTGGTGTAATGTCCCATTCTAGAGAGAATGTAAATCAATTCAGGCAGTCTCCAGAGTAACAGGTGAATGGAAATATTATGTGCTTTTGAGAACACTTGTTGTAGAGAAGAAGCACCAGGTAACCACACTTCTGCTGGGAAGCAAACTTCTTATCACTTAAGAAGAGTGATAACACTAGAGAGCCCATATGGCATAAGGTCAGGTTGATCTGCAACCCCCACACATAGACACACTCCTGGTGAGTGAGGCAAAATTAAACAAAGGCAATGCCACATAAATGCAGGTCTGACTGCCTCAGAATGGAGTTTTGCTCTTTTAAAATGGAGGGACAGTAATGTCCAGCTGACCAGCCCTTGTAAATGTGTGACCAGTATGAATCAGCCTTTTTACAAGCTACTATCCTATTATAGACATAAAGAATGCCCAACTTGGTTGCTGGGAAAACAGCTGCAGCCTGCAATGAAAGTGTAGCAATAATAAAATAGAGAGGAGGACATGGTGCTTCAGTTATATATGGGCATACAGACAAAACATATTTGTCAAACACGGCTGCCTGTTTAAAAGACATATTTAATGTTGTATTGCAGTTGACAGTGTCATAGTTTACTGTAACACAATGAACAAAAGCAATGCAAGCAATCAAAATACTTAGTTTCAAGACATTTGGTAATTCACTAGCCATTTGGAGCCTGCAAATAATTCACCGTGAACTGGTGTATGTGGTGTATGTGGACACTGATTCACAACTAAAACTTCAAGTCATCAAGAATGTAGTTCATAACAAGATGGTCAGGACGCAGACGTGGCTTAGATTATAACAAATAATTTTAATAAATCTATGATAACTATTTTGAGAGTGCAAGACAAGATGAAACAAAGTGATTCTGTAGCTTGTAATGTCAGCAAGTCTTTGTTTCTGATTAAATTTGGATACACTTGGAACGATCAAATATTCTTCACTTAAACCAAGAGTAGCCATATTGTTTTGCATTTGATTTATCCCAAAATGAAAGATATTTAGAAACAACTTCATTTTTTGATAGTACCAGAATGGAGAGAATGGCAGAGTGATAGAATTTAATCTGGTTCTTCAAAACTTTGTTCTGATTCAGTGCATACCTTTAGAAAGGGTCTTCTTTCTGATCACACCCAGTCCTCGGAAGTCAACTTTTGTAAAGCTAAATGTTCACATAAAATGTTGATTGAAAGCTCCAAATTTCAGCACTATACATTTGTTCTAGTTCTTTCTCCTATAAATAACAAATTTTCTCAGTGCAGACATTTAAACCTTAATTTCCCCAAGAATATTTACTTGCCAATGCATCAGCTCCATTTCTCTTTCTTTGTCCCTGAAGCCTTTCAGTTCCCAGTTTTAATGCTTCCCCACTTTTAGAACAAATATTTCAAATTAATTAGAAACTAGTTCTGAGTAGAGTATGTAGACCCTTGGTCATAAGGCATCATTTTCACCAGAAGGGGGGGGGGAGTTTTAGTAAAAAAAAAAAAGTAGTAGTACTTGGTTCTTGATGTTTGGTGCTTGTCCTGTTCTGGGTGGGTTTGATGCAGCTTCTGCCACCCTGGTGCCCTCTGGGCAAAGTCATGCAGCTGGCGCTGATGGGAGCGGGAGTCCAGAGCATCTGGAAAGCACCAGGTTGCTGAAGGGTGGTCTCTTGGGTCGGTGTTTTCTGCATTAATCTTGCTTTTCCTAGACCTTTGCTATGGCTGAGGAGTATCACCGAGAATCAATGCTGGTCGAATGGGAACAGGTTAAACAAAGGATCCTTCACACACTGCTGGCTTCAGGAGAAGATGCCTTGGACTTCACTCAAGAGAATGAGGTATCTCTTGGGCTCTATTGCTGCTGCATTATTATTTAGTTAGTTAGTCATTCATTCATTCATTCATTCATTCATTCTCCCTGGCTTTTGAGATTTCATTCTCTTCCTGTACACTCTCAAGCATATCTTCACAGTCATGATGTCAAGGAACTCGCTTTTAAAATGAAATCTAAGCTTGCTCACTACTACCTCCTGCGTCTCCCCCCCCCCCCCCGGTGCTTTCACATAATCGCAGTCTTCAGTGCCTGTAGTTTTTAAAAAATGTTTTTGATCCTCCTCGAACTCTCCACTTCCTAATTGCATCTAGAAGTGTTCTTCATTGTAGAAATGTGTGGAACCCTGAAGTTCATTTTCCAAATTGCTCATGTTAATTGCCTATGCCTCATATTGTGATCTGGAAATGATGCTGGGATCTCTTTTTCTTAAGCCTATGCTAATCACAGAAGCATACCCTGTGGAAGATGTTTTACTGACAACTTATTAAACTCAGTGGGCTACCAAATTTTTCAGTTTGGGGATTGCAGACAAAATATGTTGGGAACTGGGTGATCACTCACTGCTCTTCAGTAGCAGAGCCTTGCAGACTTAGCAGGTTGTTCAGGAAGCATTCAACAGCTTCTGGGGGTTTATGTGAAATTGAGTTTACCTTTATTGGGAACATCTTTTGAACAGGTAACAGTGGGTACAAAGGATGACTAGCTTAGAGTTAAGTGGTAGACTGCCCTTATCACAAATGTTGAAATCTCAAAGGAAGAAAAAAATAATCCATCTAATACACTTCACAAATCAGTTAAAAGACAGGATGTGATTTATCGCTCTGTAATGCTCTTCTCTCTCCTGCAGAGCCTATATAATACTGGTGTGTCGCTGCGAGAGCATTTGAAACCCTTGATGCGATGTTTTGCCCCCAGCCTTGAAGTCAAAGGCCTGGGAGGTTTGCCAAGCATCTGCTGCGTTAAAAGCCAGTTGCTTAACTTTCCCAATTCATGCTGCACTTAAATCCTATTTCAGAAAAATTGTGAGCGAGCGAGAGGCAGACCCCATCCTTAGAATATAATAGAGAGTTAATTGATACCTCTGGATATGCAGAATCAGCTGAAAGGCACAGACCCACACAGCAGGAAGCAGGTCAGCTGGGGAGCTATATTTCAAGCTTTGGGCTTGTGAAAAATACAGACATGTTGCTTCTGGAAAGAAGACCAATTAGTCAGTGATGTTTTACGGTTCAAAGAAAGCTGAACACACATTCTCTTTTAGTGGTTTCCACAGTTCCCTGAAGGGCATATGGTGTCTGGTCAAAGGAAACACAGTATGGATCATGTTTGGCTTAGCTGTGTATTCCAGGAGTGCTCAGGCCAAGGTTCCAGTTCAAATGGGATCTTCTGCTCTCCCTCATCCCCACACCCTTTGGCCATCTTGCTGTTTTTTCTGAATCTCCCCACCCCCATCTTTTTATTTTAAAGTGCAGCTGTAACACAACCTGCTTCTATGCCATCTAAAGTGCATGGCTGCTCTGTCAGAGTTCCGATACCCCCAGGTCTCTTTAAACTCCTGTATCTCTTCAGGTTTTCTGGATTCGAGATAGAGCCAAGATGGCAAGTGTACTGGCATCATTGCAGTCCCCCCTTCCCACCCCCCCAATGTTGCAGCGGATGGCCAAGTCTTTTGGAGCTTTGCCAAAATGGCTGCCAAGGTTTTTGCTTTGGAATGCGTGTATGAATAATGCAGATTTTGGGTGCCTGCAGTTTGCAACAAATGAAGCTAAATGCAGAAGGGCTAGAGGCACAATTGAGAACAGTGGTAGCTCGGGTTAAGAACTTAATTCATTCCAGAGGTCCGTTCTTAACCTGAAACTGTTCTTAACCTGAGGTACCACTTTAGCTTATGGGGCCTCCTGCTGTTCTCATCCTGAAGTAAACTTCTTAACCCGAGGTACTATTTCTGAGTTAGTGGAGTCTGTAACCTGAAGAATCTGTTACCTGAAGTGTCTGAAACCCAAGGTACCACTGTAGTAGCTTTCTGTGCTGTTGAGTTGTTTGTAAAGGTGGAGAAGTCCATTGGGAATTAGAAGTGCATGTTTTATTTTCCTGCATTGAAATCCAAAAAGTGGGCCTGCCCATGACACTTGACAATAAAGCCTGACTGTGTTTTCCAAGCATGTTGCACATTTCTTTGAGACTCATGCAAACAGAAGACAATTATTTTAAATGCTTTGATCACACCAAATGGCTAGTTGCAGATGTTGCCTGCTTTCATACTTATTGATTACACAAAATAAAAACAGGTTTTTTCACACACCAAGTTTTTTTTCCTTCTTTGGGTCATGCAAGGGTTGAAGTTGCATAGTCTTGAATGCTGAAATGAATGCCAGAGAAACCAGGGTCTTCTCATCAAAACAAAATGTTCTCCTGACTGAGTTTGGTGATCCCAGCACTGCCAAACTGGCAAACTGAACCAGGGAAGTCATGTTGATAGGGATTTCTCTTAGCAACATAGCAGGAAGCTGCATTTGTGGAGTTCAAAGAAACTTTGCTGAGTGGGAGGCAGGTATCCCTTAATTGATTTATTTTCCAGCACCTCTAAGTAGTACAAAACTTAAATCTGACTCTAAACTTGACGTTATTCATTGTCATACTATCTCTCTTTGTGTATGTACCATTATTTTAAAGCAATAAAGACTGGCAGTTAGGAATTTGAAAGCTCTCTTGTTAAGAGACAAGGGTGGGGGAAGAGCATTGGGGGAGGGGGTTGGTAGTGGCATATGTCAAGATTTTGATATTAAAGGACATACGTCTTTCCAAGGGTTCTTTTCACGCCCACAGGCCACTTAGCCAGTTGGTGCTTATGGCACTGCAATAAAATACCTCACTGTGGCAGGGCGACCAGAAGTGGGTCCTGTAAATGTGTCCCCAGGTTGCTTCTAAAGGGTTTCAGGGAGATAAAGAACAGGAAGAAAGAGATGGATGCACAGCTGTGGGGAATTTGCTACAGCAAAAGCCTCTTGCCCAGCAGCTTCATGCTCTGGTGGGATTCTCAAAGTTTTGGTATTGGCACAAAAGTGCCACCCAATTGCTAAATGAATTTGTGTCATATACTCTGACCGGCATTTTCATTTTCTTCCAACAGCCCAGTTACATCAGTGAGCTACCACCACCAGTTCGTAGTTCTTTGGACAACATTGAGATGTCCTACGCTCGACAAGTGAGTAAATTAAAAACCTCAGTATCTCAGCTATGTTACCTGAAACTCCCAGTTAGGCCCACGGTCAGGCTTAGAGGCCAGCTCCTCAGAGACTGATCCTCTTGAGTGACATCGGCATGAAACAAACACGGACATTTTAAAAATGGAATTTGACACCAGATATAAAAGCAGTGGTGTGAAGAAGATAGGATTTGAGTGGATCAGACCAAGAGAACCAAAAGACATACTGACTGCTGCAACACATTGGTATACCAGAAAGTACAGGACATAAGAAACAGAATTATAGGAAACAGAATCAGACACCTGTCCATGAAGCTCAGTGTTGTCTCCACTGACTGGCAGTGGCCCTCCAGGGCTTCAGACTTTCTTCAGCCGTCCCTGAAGGTGCCAGGGATTGAACCTGGGAACTTCTGCATGCAAGGCAAGCGCTCTGCCACTGAGCTACAGCCCTTGCATTCCTCCACACATGAGGAGTGTAGTGGTAGCAATTGAGCATCATGTAGCAGCACAAGGCTTGTTCCACATGAACCACACTGAGTCAGCAACCTGGACTTATGCAGATATGGCCATTGTGTCACCATGTGAGCTTGTACTTAAAAATCCCAGACATACCTGCCAGCATATGATCCTCCTATGTTGTCCTTAGAGATATGCCATGTGGGAACAGTGAGAAATCCTGCCTTGCTCCCGACCCTGAGGCCTGCCTGGGGCTTCAGAATAAATGTGGCAGAACATTTTGTATTCCTCTGTATCCCCTGATGCACCATTGCTGCGAGGCAATGAAACGGGGGCACTTGCTGGCAGGAGCACTCCCCCAAGACCATGTGATCTGGAGGCTTGTTTCAGATTCTTCTGTGGTTAGCAGGGAGGGAAAGGCTTGGAGGGAGAAAGCACTGGGGGAAGGGGTACTTGTGCTAGGAAGCTGATTACTCTGTTTGTTTTCAGATATATGTTTATAACGAGAAGATTGTGAATGGATACCTGCAACCCAACTTGGTGGACCTTTGTGCTTCTGTAGCAGAGTTGGATGATAAGGTACTGCCTGTGAAGTGAGCATAAGGAGATGCTCTGCTTGTGCTCAACTGAACTGAGCAGCCTGCTGACGGAGGAAACAATGGCTGCTTCTTCCATATGCCCATAGATTGCTGCATACAGGCATTTTTGCATACAGCAGTGGTTGGTGGCAGTAGGCATCTTGGTCCAAATTCAAGTAACCTGGTATACTAGCAGAAGCCAGCAAAGGACTGCCCCAGCACCACAGTGCTCACCACCATGCCTCTTCCAAAAATCTTCTCTGGAGGTTCAGGAGAACCTCCAGAACAACACAAGGGGTGGGGGAGATCATTCATCCAGGCAAGCAGAAATGCTTGCGCTGATGGAATGATCATGTTAGTACAACATTGAACTCCATCCCTTGTTTTGGGGGACACTGAACAGACTCTAGTGTCATATGGTCTACTAATCACACTGGAACTTATGAGACGATGGAGACTACATATAATACTTGGCTTTCTGGAAGCTGCATGTCCATCCCACATTAGATTTTCCCAGTCTTTGGGAAACCTTTTCCAGCAAAAGAGAGAGAGAGAATTCCCTGGGGTATGGGTCATAAGAGTACAACTTAATTTCAGCTGCTTTAAAGCCTTTATAATACAGTTGTAGCCTTGGGGCATTGGTCTTCAACTCATGGGTTAGGGCCCACTACCAGGTTGTGGCCTGATCTAAGGTGGCATCATATGTTCCACTAGCATCATATGTACAGACACGGCAACAATAAAGCAATATGTCCTCAGACGAGTGAAAACATTGAAGACTACTATCTTAGAAAAGTGAGGATAGTTAGTACTGTCAGCAACAGTCAAGTGTTCCTGTGAACTGTTACCACGTAGCCTGTCCATTTTAAATGCCATTCTCATGAAGATAAGGATGCAGCTTCTTTTAGTGGTAGCTTCTTCTAGTCATTTGACCTGTTTGTTTGTTTGTTTGTTTGTTTGTTTGTTTGTTTGTTTGTTTTGCAGAACATTTCTGACTTGTGGGCTATGGTGAAGCAAATGACTGATGTTTTGCTGGTTCCTGCAAGTGATGCGCTGAAGGTCCGGACAAGCATGGAAGTGCAGATGGAGTTTGTCAAGCAGGCCCTCCAGTACCTTGAGCAAAGGTAGCGCAGCAAAATAGTTAGAACTCAGGAGCTTTCATTTGTTGTTACAGATGCCTATAGATGCGATAGTGCTTCCGAAAGATCTGCCACCCATTCATATATTAACTGAAAATGCAATGCAAGGAAGATGTATACATGTAACTGTTTTTTTCTGAGCTGTCCTTCACATGTTGTGCTTTCATACCCAAGTGTCTCTATAAGCGTTGCCACCTCAGTACCAAAGAAAGCAGACTTGGAACATGGTTGCAATATCTGATCCTGGGTGGGTGGGTGGTGGAATCTTCCAGCATGCAAGGAGGCTGACTGGAACTGGGATCCCTTTAATGGGTGGAAGGGATGAACCTTTCACTCATGTCCTTCCCCCGGCAGCCAGGCTGGGTAAACTATAGCTGTGCTCAATGCACTCACAAAGCTGTCACCACACCCCTTTGGCACTCTCTGACTCCAGAGAAGAGTGACCTCTGGAGACCCCAAAGAAATAACCACAGCGGGGAGCAGGGGATAGCACCTCATGTACCTCTCTATTCCCCAAGACCAGGGTGACATACTTTTCAGAACAGAACATTGAAACAAAAGAAACAGTTCAATCCAATTGCAGCTAGCCTATTTTAGCTGCTTATGAAAAGGCTTCTGGAAACCTCAAATATGGAATAATCTCATTGATGGGCTAGTGTGATTAGGGTCACAGGACTGTGTAACAACAGCCTGCTTTTAGGAGTTTAACCATCAGGATTAACCAGGCGATCTCAATGCAGTCCCAGGACAGAGATGGGAAACACTCAAGATGGCCATAAACTGGAAATAAGCCATCCTGGTGAGAAGAGCAACATTATTCGAACTCTGGGACATGACTGTTTCATTTGCAGAAAATGGAGGGCTAGGGAGAGAGAACAGTCTTAAAGGAACAGGTTGGGGACAGCCAAGTTGTGCAGCACAATCCCCTCTCAAATGCTATTCCTGTGGTTTGTATACTCACCATAAAGCTGAGTGGAATCCATCACCTGGCATAGCTCATTAAGGTGGAAAATGTAAGCTTATATTTAAATACTTCTTTAAAACTATGTTAAGTAAACATGCAACTGTGTGAGACGTATTATGACTCAGAAATGGATGGTTCCTTGCAGTTACAAGAACTACACGTTGGTGACAGTCTTTGGAAACTTGCACCAAGCCCAACTGGGAGGGGTACCTGGAACCTACCAGCTAGTCCGCAGTTTCCTGAACATCAAACTCCCAGTGTCTGTCCCAGGACTCCAGGTAGGTATCTGCACAGCCAAGGTGTTCTGCCACGACTGTATTCATCCATTCAGATCATTCTGGATCTCTTAACCCGTGCATAAATTTGGGGTTTGGGTAGGGAGTTGTCATGTATGCCAAGAACAGAGCATGAGAAAGGTATCTCTTTGCAGTTGCAGGGCTGTGGGTAGTCTAATCTTTTAAAAAAGAAAATATTATGGGTTGTATTCAGTGGTGTTCTCCTGTGAACAGCAAGGATATCTGAATCTAGCAGAAGTTTCAGTGAGTGGGAGAGGCAATTTTCACTGCTTCCTTCTGCAGCTCCCTTAGCCACCTTCCAGACTGTTCCACAGCATCCCCCAGCCCTCAAGAACAGATTGTGTGTCTGTTGTGGCAGGTGTGTGTACATGTGCAAGGGTAGCCATCATGGTTTCCTCCAGGTATTTTGGATTCCAAATTCCCTCATCCCTCACTATTGACATTGCTAGCTAACCCGTCTGACTGGGTTGCCCCGGAATATCTGGAGGGCACCATGTCAGCTACACCTTGTGTACAGAGGGACCTGAAATCTGCTAAAATTCCCTCTATGCCATTCCTGGTCAGCTCAGTTAAATTAAAGATGCTTCCATGAATGTACAAAGGAATACCTTGCATGTAGAAATCTAGCATGTCAGGAATGAAGCAAGGCTACCCAGTTCTCCATGCACAGGGGATTGTTTTGTGTGGAAGAGCATTCAGTCATTACCTGCAGCCTGAAGCAGGACACCCCAAACATAGGTTTCTCACCTGTGAGAACTGGACCATAATCACAACATCAAGAAAAGTTTCCTCTCTGTTTTTACCATTTATCTGTTTTCTTTAGGATGGGGAAGTAGAAGGTCACCCTGTTTGGGCAATAATTTACTACTGCATGCGATGTGGCGACTTAATGGCAGCCTTGCAAGTGGTGAATCGAGCTCAGCACCAGTTGGGAGAATTTAAAAGTTGGTTCCAGGAATACATGCACAGCAAAGATAGAAGGTACTGGGATGTCTCAAAAGAGACCAAGAAAGTGTGTGGGATGGGTCAGGGAGTCTACTTTGAAGTGCATCATAAAATTGCAAGGGAGCTGGGAGCTTATCAATCTATCCTCCTAAGGTTTTTGCTTGAACTAGTAAACCCTTCTGAATTGACACATGTCTTCTCGGCTGGAAAGGCTGATGTTAACATTGCCCATTTTTAGTTGCATGTGGCAAGTTCAGTGCTTTAAGTTCGTGGATACAAAGCTGTTGCTTTTGTTGCTCTGCTGGGCTGCTTACACCTACATTGCTTGCTGCATGCACCCAGTGTTGGATGTGAGCAACACACGCAGGGCCAGTGTGGGTCGATCAACTGGCGCACTGGTAGGAGGGGCCTGTCTTATTGTGAGCTGTAAGCTGGGCCACAGCTCCATTTAATAACTTGTCTTTCTTTTATTGTAGATTGTCTCCTGCCACCGAGAACAAAGTTCGCCTCCACTACAGACGAGCCCTGAGAAACAACACCGACCCTTACAAAAGAGCGGTTTACTGTATCATAGGACGCTGCGACATTGCTGATAACCACAGTGAAGTTGCTGATAAAACAGAAGATTATCTTTGGCTAAAGGTAACGGTGGCTTCCCTTCAAAGTTTTAGAGATAGCACTGCTCACTGTACTTCCAATTTCCCCCTCATTTGAACACTGCCTTCCTCTGGAGAATACCTTCTTATGTATCCCAGCTCCTACCAGTGAGTTGCAAAGGATTATGAGAACTGTGGCCTGCTGTGTTGCCAGGTCTCTAGGAGAGTCTTCTTCACTCTGTGCATTTGGGCAGCAGGTCAAAACAACCTTGTTTAGGTGTGCTTTTTCTGACTTCTGATGTGCTTCTTTCCGAATTTTGATATTTTTTGTTCACTTTGAGGGTTTTTCTTTCCTTCTGCTGAAGTTTATTTGTTGATAAATTGTGTTAGATTTTACTTTCCACTTAGATGTGTTGTATTAGGTCAGGCATAGGCAAACTCGGCCCTCCAGATGTTTCGGGACTACAACTCCCATCATCCCTAGCTAACAGGACCAGTGGTCAGTGATGATGGGAGTTGTAGTCTCAAAACATCTGGAGGGCCAAGTTTGACTATGCCTGTATTAGGTGTTCAGAGGGTCTGATTTACGCTGGAAGAATCAGGATACAAGCAGATCTATAAATAAAAGAACTGGTGAAGATCCAGTCCCGGGCTAAAGTATTTCCAGATACGATCTGTAAGGTATTAACACAATCTTCCTGGGGAAAATAGTGGTGCCATTGCCATTTTCAAAATAAAGGCTTTCAACATCAGACCAAGTGTCTTGTTCCAGCTGGACATGAGACTCGCGGAGGAAGCACAGGACCTTTCAAATTAGGGTCTCATCAGGCAAAGGCAGAGTCATATCACAAATGTGGACAGAGGATTATTGGGAGCGTTTCCCTGTATAGCAGGGACAGGGAATCTATGCCCCCCTCCCCACTCCAAGATGATATTGGACTCCCAACTCCCATCAGCCTTAGCCAGCATGGCTAATAATCAGGGGTTATGGGAATTGTAGTCCAGCAACATTTGGATGGCCACAGGTTCCCCATCCCTGCTTAACACACTGTTGTCTCAGCAGAAGCCTAAAAAAGGCTGGCCTGTCTAGTCGTCTTGTTAGGATGTGGAAAACTGAGGCTGAGAGAGAAGTCACTTGCCCAAAGCTATCTTGCGAACCCGTGGATGAGGTAGAATATGTGGCTGTGCCTCTCAGATTCAGGATCACTTGCCCGTTTATAAGAGCACATTTTGTTCACATAGATGGTTTACCTGATTTTATTTTGATTGGTGGCAACCTTTGTTTGCTTTTCACTTGTTAGACTTTTGAAGAAAAGCTTTTTGTTGCATGCAAGGAAAGCCTTAGCATCACTTTCTCCCTCTTGTGTGTAGCTGAACCAGGTGTGCTTTGATGATGATGGCTCCAACTCTCCCCAAGACAGGCTGACATTGTCTCAGTTCCAGAAGCAATTGCTTGAAGATTATGGTAAGTTTACCCAGAGACTGTGAGTGAGTGATATTTGGAGTTCTGTATATGTATGCACGCCTGGTAGTTTTTGTAAAATAAAGGCAGTGTAACAAGTCGAGACCTTGAGTTAGAACTCCCATCATCCCTGACCACTGGTCCTGCTGGCTAGGGATGATGGGAGGTGTAGTCCAACAACAGCTGGAGACCCAAGTTTGAGAAACATTGAGTTATAACCATTTAAAAGGTGGACAAGCCAACTTAAATAGTTAAGGGTGCCTGAGAAATTGGTAATTCGTGACTTGAATTACTGGCATGTGAATCGTGACATTACTAGTATTGTTTTAATAAATGTTTATAATTTATAAATGGTCAACCACCTTGAACATTTTCAGATTGGGGGGGGGAGGTTAAGCAATAGATAATATTGCTTCCTCTGCTACTTTACTTTTTATTTTAACTTTTCTCTAAATAATCATAGGTCGATTTGGTGCAATGCAAACAATGTTTGATTTTGTGACTAGTTTCCTTCAGCTTCCCCTGATTAAAGCACGCCAGTGTGCTGTGTCAGGCACCACCCACGCTATCTGTGAAAATACCTAACCCTTCATTCTTGTGTCTTTCTTCAGGAGAGTCGCATTTTGCAGTGAACCAGCAGCCATTTCTCTACTTCCAAGTGTTGTTTCTGACGGCCCAGTTTGAAGCTGCCATTGCTTTCCTCTTCCGCACAGAGCGCCTGCGCTGCCACGCCGTTCATGTTGCCTTGGTCCTTTTTGAACTAAAGCTGCTCCTGAAATCTTCTGGGCAGAGCGCACAGCTTTGTGAGTATGGATTGTGTTTATCCTGTCCTTTCCCCGTCTCATTTGTATCCTGCACAGAATATAAAAGAAACCATCAGAGCAGAAGACTGAAATAGGGCAGAAATTTGTAAAAAAAAAAAAATAATAAGTGTTAGCTTTAAAAAAATGGATTAATTGCTTGATTGCAAATGAGAAATTGTGCCCAGATCAATGAAATGAAGATCTTTTGGACCTAACCTAGTTAGAGAAGAGACATAGCTCAGTTCTCTCAGTGACCAACCAGATAAATGCTTCAGGGAAACCTACAATCAGGATATGTGCGCAACAGCAGTTTCCACACATTATCCCCAGCAGCCATTATTCAGAGGCATTTACTGCCTTTGGCACTGGCATTAGAACACAGCAGTCATGACTACTAGCCATTGGTAGCTTTATTGTACATGCATTTATCTAATCCCTTGTTAAAACTGTCCAGGTTGCTGGCCATCACTACATCTTATGGCAGCAAGTTCCAAATGCTCTGGGTGAAGAAATGCTTCCTTTTACCTGTTACGAGTCTTCCAATATTCAGCTTTATTGGATCATCTGTCCACTTTCTCTACACCCTTTATGATGTTATACTCCACTATCATGTCCCCTACCCAGCCCCTCCTCACCATTTTTCTATGCCAAAACCCACCAAATACAGCAACCTTTCCTCATAGGAGTATTGTTCCAAGGTAAAGGTAAACGGTGTTTCCGTGCTGTATGGCACTTCTCACAGTGTCCCGTTGCACCGGAAGCCATTTAGTCATGCTGGCCACATGACCCGGAAAGCTATCTGTGAACAAACATTGGCTCCTTGGACCTGAAGCGAGATGAGCGCTGCACCCCATAGTCAAGTTTGACTGGACTCAACCGTCCAGGGGTCCTTCACTTTTATCCTTTACCTTATCGTTCCAACCCTGCAGTGATTTTTGGTTGTCCTCTTCAGAACATTTTCCAGCTCTACAATTCTTGCCCTTGGTGGTCCAGCCCTTTGATAAAGTTCCTTTATTCAAAGTGCTTGCCTGTGGTTAATCCCTACAGACATACTGAACATCTTTCATATGAATGCTGCCTTGGTTGGGGGAAAAGAGAGATTCATCTGCCTGTCCCTTAACTTTTCAGTAAGCCATGAGGCAGGTGACCCTCCGGCCATCAGACGCTTGAATTTTGTCCGCCTGCTGATGCTCTACACCCGCAAGTTTGAGTCCACTGACCCTCGAGAAGCCCTGCAGTACTTCTACTTTCTCAGGTGGGCTCCTGTAGCAGCAGCTTGAAGGCTGGGGTGTTATTTTAACAGCTGCTGTGTTAAAAGCAGTCAAACTGCAGTGCTTTTCTTCCTTTCTGCTCTTCTTTTGCAGGAATGAGAAGGACAGCCAAGGGGACAACATGTTCTTGCGCTGTGTGAGCGAACTAGTGATTGAGAGCAGAGAGGTATGCCAGGTTCCAGTTGCACCTTTTCCTTCCTTAGTTTAGGGTGGAAATCGCCCTTCTTCAAAAGGAGCTTCCAGTGCAGCAGTGGAACCCCATCACCAGGGGTGTTAAATCCTTAAATCACAATATTGCAGTCATCCCTGAGAGTGTTAGCACACCCTCCTAACTTTATTTTGTTTTTCCTTTTCATGGGTAGTTTGATATGATTCTTGGAAAGCTGGAGAATGATGGCAGTAGAAAAGTAAGTTCATATATAATGTTTCACCACCCCATCCCCACTACTATTTGATTGCTGGCTGTAATTATTGTTTTTGCAGGTTCCCTGTTGGTTTTTGAGTATTGAAATTAATTTCTCAAACTTAAACACGGTTATGGTAAACCAGGGTTCTTCTTAACCCAGGTTCTAAACTACAGTTTCAAATCTGTCCCGGTTAACCTCAACAGCAGTTACAGTGGGTGTCATAATTCCCAAACTTTCCAAGGCCTACAGTCTGTGCTGGTCTTTAGCCACCCAAATAAGCAGCTTCTTGTGCCTCAAATAAACAAGCAGGAGATTATTCAGACAGCTCAGCATTACAGGATGATAGAAAGAAACAATTAGCACAGGTTAGGGAACTAAACCCAGAAAAAGGAAGTTCCCTTTTCAGATTCCTCATCAAACCCCTCCACCTCCTATTAGTGAAGGGCAAAGAAAACTAGTATGAAGGGGCAGATCAAGAGAAAGCCCCTTCCTCCTCATTCTTCTGATATCCCACCAGGGAAAAATGTGAGGTAGGTAGATGTATGTATGTGTATATTATGATTTCCAGCTATGGTTCTCCTAACCCTAGAGACTTACTCAAAGGGCCTGACGGTAACTTAAATCAAATAGTGCCAACATATTCTGTCCCTGCAATGCCCATAATTCCACCTTGCCCTGTAGCCCCAACAGACAGAGACCAACGAGTGATTTTAGAATCAGAAAGGGAGGAAAGGCAATGGCATTTGCTTTCTGATACTAAGAAACTCGCTGCCACAAGATTGTTAACAGATTTAGATTACAATCTGAATCTAGGCACAAAATTGTGTATTTATATGTACCTTTAAAATCCATAAATAATAAAGGGGGGGGGAGCATGGAAGGCAAGGGGTGAGGAAGGAATCTCTATATTTTCCCAGAGATAACTTACAAATAAAATTAGCCATAATCTTGCATACAAAAATGTTGTTGCCAGTTGATAAGACTCATCTAAAAGTTTATAGTATTTCTGTTGTCCAAGTATTTTATCTCCCTTCTTTATTTGTATTCTTTCATCAGCCTGGAGTGATTGATAAGTTTACTAGAGACACCAAACCACTTATTAATAAAGTTGCTTCAGTGGCAGAAAGTAAAGGTCTCTTTGAAGAAGCTGCCAAACTTTATGACCTTGCCAAGGTAAGCAGGTTTTCATCACTGCTGGCCAAGAAGCTCGTTTAATTTTTAGATCAGTAGGGATTAGCTAGGAGGCATTGTGGACTCTGGAAATGTGACCTGAATTTACAACACTAGGGCCAGCTGCAGCCTCTGAATCAAAGTATGCTTATTTTTTTCCTTTAGTTATCTGGTCCTGTATGTTTCTGGCCTTTGTTTTATCTGGCCTTTCAGGATTCCTTCTGTGCACCACTCTGAATAGTTAATCTTTGTAGAAATTTTCACAGGATTGGACCACCAGATAGTAATATCTGGTTAGTAATGGCAATGTGTAAGTTATCAACTAATTAGCAGTTTAGCCATGTCAGATTGAAAAATAGCAGAGCAACACACAACAGTTATCTGAGCACTACAGGAAAATTATTGGAACAGAGTCAGCTCAAAGGGGTTTTATTTAGATCTGTTTTTCCTTCAACATCGGCACCCCTCCCAATTTCATATGCCAAACTGCCTTTGAAGCTGGATTAGCTGCTCAATGGAAAGAAGGTCAAAAGTGCCACTGGGTTAGTAGAAGTCCCTCGGGTGAGCCAAAGCAGCTCTTTGGACTCCAGCCTCAACTGTGTGCTAAAAATAAAACAAAATTTTGCACAATCCAGATGCTGTGCAAACATGAGCTGGAGTTTGTGATCTGTATCAGTTGTGCAGGTTGAACACATCTGGGTAATTTCTCAGATTTTTCCTATGCTGTTTTGGCATAATTATTTTTGGTTTTGCTTGAGATGAGAGGGACAAGGGCACTGAAGCCCCAGCCACTGAAATTCCCACTCAGCTGCTTCTCTGTTTTCTGAGACTTCACCAGACCTAGGATGAGAAAAGGACAAGAAACTACATTTGTTTGTTTATTTTTTAGTGAAAGTGGAGGCTCTCAGGGAGCAGAGCAGTACTACTACTCCTGTGCTATTCCTCCACTCCCTCCAAAGGATGATGCCCTAGATCAGGAGCCAAGAACCCTTTTTTCCTAATGAAAGTTGCATTCCCTCAGGGCTAATCTATTGGGAGTCACATGCTGTCATTGGGGCAGAGGGAGGACTGGAATCCAAAATAGACAGAGGGCCCTCGTTTCTCTCTTCCATTTCTATCACACACGTGCACATGCACACACATTTTCCTCTCCACCACAGGAGGGCTGCAGGTTCCACCCCTACAACAACCCAAATGTCTTTCTTAAGACTTCTTTCATGTTCTCATACATTGCTTTTACTGCTGAAGATCTCAGTTTTTCTTGGGAGTTTCTACATTTTACAAAATAAAAAGTCTCCCCCTGCCCCCTACCCTGGACTCCCTTGGTTGTGTGTCTTTGAAATGCATCTTCTTGTCTCTGGGCTCTGCAGTTCTTCTCTTCCCTGTTTGCACTTTCCTCAGAATCCAGACAAAGTGCTTGAGTTGATGAACAAGTTGCTGAGTCCCGTGGTCCCTCAGATCAGCGCTCCTCAGTCAAACAAGGAGAGGCTGAAGAATATGGCACATTCCATTGCTGAGAGGTGAGAGAACAGCCTCCAGGAGGGGAACTGAGTTTCATGACCATGGTCACTGTAGCTTGAGAAATACCTTTAATGATGTGTTTGTTGAAAAGACACATGGCTTGGATGTGTTCCACACTGCTTTTTGTTGCTGTGCATTATCAGCATTCAGTCCTGCACGTTTCTCAGGGGTGTGTGTGTGTGTGTGTGTGTGTGTGTGAAAATGTGTTATAAAGGTAAAGGTACCCCTGCCCGCACGGGCCAGTCTTGACAGACTCTAGGGTTGTGCGCCCATCTCACTCAAGAGGCCGGGGGCCAGCGCTGTCCGCAGACACTTCCGGGTCACGTGGCCAGCGTGACATCGCTGCTCTGGCGAGCCAGAGCCGCACACGGAAACGCCGTTTACCTTCCCGCTAGTAAGCGGTCCCTATTTATCTACTTGCACCCGGGGGTGCTTTCGAACTGCTAGGTTGGCAGGCGCTGGGACCGAACAGCGGGAGCGCACCCCGCCACGGGGATTCGAACCGCCGACCTTTCGATCGGCAAGCCCTAGGCAATGAGGCTTTTACCCACAGCGCCAGCCATTATCAAAACTGGAGAGGAGAAAGTCCACAGGAGAGTGAATCTAGAAATATAATCTGAACAGTTTTATACTTAACTTAATTCAATAATTCTCCAACTCCGTTCTGTAATGAATGAATGAATTAAAGGCTTTTGCCAGTCCATAGAACCTACCGACAGAGGAGGAGGTTCCCACACAAGCTGCGGAAAGCCTGTGTTCTCCTTCCGTGTCCTGGCTCCTCCCATTTATTTCACCAACAGACATGCAAATCAAGCTAAGTTTCACCCCTTCTGGTGGGAGGAGCTCCCTGTCAAGTTCTGATCCTGCCTGCTCCCCATAGAGTTGCTGTGCCCCTCTGTCCCCTTGCCCACTTTATTGCCATCAGCTCAGAGCAGCGGCAGTCCAAAGTTATCTTCCACATGTGTTGCATGCAGTAGATTGCAAATTCTACATTTCCAGCTTAAAAAAAAGTCAGAAAGCAGGTGATGTGAAAGAGTCAGTACCAAGATAGACCTGACATAAAGTAACTTCATGTGTTTCTCCCTCCCTTGAATCAGCTGGGTAGGGTGGCAACTCTAGTTTTCTTCACCATGGTTGTGAGTTGGTCTGCAGTCCCCAAGCTCACTGAGCAAGGGTGGTGCAGAAGGGTGTGTGCATGACACAGCTCCAGCCTAGGGCCAGTGAATCCAGCAGCAAACAGACTAGAACTCCTTGGCCCTCCTGTCAGCTTGAAGCCATGAAGTCACTGGTTGGCCCCGGGCAGTTCTCTGTTCTTTCAACCTCCGTTCCTCCCTCCAGGCTGCAGTATGGAGAGAACAAGATTAACCGTCCTTACAGGGTTGCTGGACAAATTGCTGAGAGAATGTGTGGGAAGCAGTTTGAAGCACTATGTAAATGCGACATATACTCATTCCAGGGGAAATGTCCTTTCCTGAAAGTTCAGCTGCCTGCAATTAACAAGTGTTGCACACATATAGTACTGCAGCCTTTTCTCAGATGGAATGTGACTTGTTTTGTTTTTGTTTTTTTCAGATATAAAGCACAGGGAATAAGTACAAAGAAACCCATTGACTCCACATTCTACCTCCTGTTAGACCTCATCACCTTTTTTGATGAATATCATGCCGGTCACATTGACAGGGCCTTTGATGTAAGTTTCAAGTTTTTTGTTTGAGAAGATAAAGCTATTGGGATCTGCAGTTTGACGAGCCCAACAAGGAACATGTAGATAGCCTTAGACACTCACAAACAAGGCATGGTGGAGATGGCACTGCCTCCTGATTGCTTTTCATGTGGTCCTGTGCTTATGTAGCCCAAGAAAGCTGGTGTAATAGAAATAAAGGGGCATGGGACTCCAGGACTGGGACCTCTGGGAAAATCCAGTGAGCATGTGGCAGGCAAGAGAGCAAGCCCTTACAGCAGGTTGTGGGGAATCTGTTGCTGGACTTCATCTCCCATCAGCCCTGACCATTGGCCATGCCAGCTGGGGCTGGTGGGAGATGGAGTCCCCATCCATGCCTTACAAGCATAGAGCCAATGCTGGCAAATGTACTTATGGCTGACGGTTGTGAAGCCTGACCTGAAAGTTGTTAAAATGCTACCAGGTCAGAGGTAACCAATGAGCTACCTGGATGGATGGACTCTCTCCAGCGTCTGAGCAGACATCACAGCCCACAAATCCTTCTGAACTACAGTCTCAGGTGTCAGCACTGATCTGAATGCTCCTGGTTCTAGTCCTTTCCACTCCTAACAATCTCTGGTGCTTTATATACGAAGGTATACTTTCTTGGAATATGGAGATTCTGTTTTTGGCTGTCATGTCTAGCTCCTTTTAAATACATGGTCTTCCATGAATTTGGTTTAATCCTTTAAAAAAAAAAAATCCGTCTGGTTATCACAAAGAGTAGTCAAGTAGGTAAAGCTGATCTGGGTCTGTTCAACTTCAGATAGCAGGTGGAATTGAAGGTGACACGTATTTTAATGCTTTTTCTATATTGAAAACAAGAATCAAACTCCTAGCTGAGCAAAAGATGGATTCCATCTCTTCCCCCTTTCTGCATAGTGTGCTAGTTTGCTCTGTGCTACAGGAAATGGTTTTTCATGATGGAGTGTTTCAGTCTTCCAATTCCCCTGAAGTGGTTCAGACTGTTAGTGCCTTTCAGGTGTTTTGGACTGCAGCTCCTATCAGCTTCAGCCAGCCTGGCCATTGGGGAAGGCTGCTTTATCACTGGATAAAATGATCACTGTTCAATACTCCACCTTGTGCTATGAATGCTCTTTGTTATGCATTTGGGGGGGGAATCCTCAGGCATTTCCTTGAACGCCTTTTAAAGATTAACAATGCATTGATGTGGCAACAGTGCAAGCACTATGAAGATGCTGCTTTTCTGATGACCACCAGGAACTTAAATGAGAGAATTTTCCTGATCTTAGGCCCAATAAAGAGGACAACTAAGTGGTCCTTAGCACAGTATTTCTGGTGGTAGATTTGCATAGTTTAAAGTCCTGTTATATGCTAAACTTGCCAATTAGTATGCGCTCACAAGGTATATACTAGGGTACATACAGAAGTTTGGTTCAGAGCTTAAATTAAACTGTATGCACTCAGTGCAAAAGGATAGTGTGTGTGTGTAATGAAAAGTGACTGAACACAGAAGAAGATATTGCACACACAAACTGCCTGCAAATTGTCATCTCCATTCACGACAGTCCATTGTTACTCCTGTGCTTTCGTTACAGATCATGGAGCAGCTGAAACTGGTCCCCCTGAGTCAAGAATATGTGGAGGAAAGAGTAGCAGCCTTCAGGAATTTCAGTGATGAAGTAAGCAAGCCACAGCTGTTTGGTCCTTCCCCCGTTTCTTCCCCACGCCTCTGCCATGGGGACCTGCAGATGCTGTGCTTGGGGGATCCCTTTCCTATTCTCAGGATGCATCTGCCTGCACTTGCTCCCCCAGTGCCACTGACAAGGGCAAGTGTGCAATCCAACAGACGCTGCATAGTTCCTGGCACTGAGGATCAGCGAGTGTAAGGGGTGGCTTCACCCATGCCTGTGTCATTCTCTGTGATCCTCCTTGTGTGCTGCCACACCTGACAGGAAGCTGCTGCAGGTCCCAAAACATTGATTCCAAATTGAAGCTCAGATGTATTTAGCTGGAAGTAGGAAAAACTCTCCTGGAGATGCTGTAACTTAGCTTCTTCTGCAACCTTGAGAGAGTGGCATCATTCCCCTCCAAAACATAATTGCTGTGTTCCAGAGTGGCAGGAGGTCTTGCTGTTGTGGAGTCCCCAAGCAGGGAATGGGTTCCCCCTTTCCCCTTCAGTGCCGTGAAATGCTCTGCATGCTGATCCCCATTTCCCAGCACCAAAGACAGAAAGGGGAAGAGCTGCCTTACTTGTGTACTTACTTTCACGCCAGAGCATTTGTTTTGGGTCAAAGATGTGAACAAGCTCTGTTTGCACTCTGCGTTTATGTTTGAAATCTGATATCCCAGCATGACACTGGGTTGGGGAAACTGGTCAGTCCCCATATATTGATTCTGTTCCTGTGTCAATTTATTATGGAATTCTTTTTTTAAAAAGGGAAATATTTGTTTTGTTGTCAGGTTGATCCCCCTGCAAAACACAGCCTAAAGGGGACTGATAGCATCCTGATCCCTTTCTGTCAATAGTAATTTTGTTGGGGTGGGTGGCAAATCTCTTCCTCTTGCTTGAAGAGGTGGAATCGAAAGTTACCTCCAATCTTTCAAACACATCTTAAAGAGGGCTTGTCGATAAGGTAATCGGTTCATGCTGCAAAGTGAACTTGGAAATCAAAAGACTGGATGGATGAATGGCAGCCAGGGGAAGTGGAGAGGGGTTGTTTTGTTTTTGGCTTCTAGCCTCAGAACATATTGATTTCCTGAGTCATCCATTTTGTCAGCTTTCAGCCAAAAGCTGCTTATCATTCATCAGTTGCTTCTGGGCAGCTTGGTCACAAAAACCAACACAGCAATTTGGCATTGTGGGACTCGGCTCCTGATCAGTACTCTAATCCCGGCTCAAAACTCTCACCCTTCAGTGAAAAGATGAATTTCCTGCTTTTCATTCCTTGATGATTAGTGAGTGAATGAAGTGTGCTTTCTTCTTGACCTTTTTAAAAAAAGAAAAAGAAAGATGAACACATCCAATTTTACCCCAACTTTATTTAATCCAAGGTTTAATTCTGGAACCCTATAGTATCAGCACTTGATTTCTATCATCTACTTGTGCAGCAATTCTTAGTTTACAAGAATGCTTCAAAAATTCTTATTCCTTAGTTTATCATTTATCTTAACTATTCTTCAGACTGTGTTCCAGGGAACACCAGGATTTCTCAGAAGCTTGTCTGGGGTTCCCCAATGCGAAGTTCAGGGATGATAGATAAGATTCACTAAAAGACATCTTGCCCCTCCCTGCCAGTCTCCCCATGCAAGATGAAGCTGCAGGAGGGTGTTGGATGCCTCCACAAGGGCATGTTCTGTTCACCCTTGGTGTGTAAACTGGAAAGGATCTACAGAGGGCAGAAGTGAGCTGCAATAGACCTACCCAGTACCCGACATAAACTGCATCTGCACCCCAGCATGTCCCAGATCTTTTGCAATTTGCAAAGGGAAAGCTGGGAAACTGTCCATTAATGACATAAGTATATTCCTGTGTGTCTAGTTTTCTCAAGCCTTGTTGGTTGAATGTGGTGTATCAAGAAAGTACACTACCCAGTTTGACTGCCTGTGGGGCACAAATTGACCCTTGGCTCCCTGCCTTGCCTTTCATTCCTTTTTGCATTTTATTTTCCCTTGTTTTCGCAGATCAGGCACAATCTGTCCGAGGTCCTCCTTGCAACAATGAATATTTTGTTTACCCAGTACAAGAAGTTGAAAGGCACCAGCCCAGCCACCCCTGCCAGACCCCCTCGTGTCATGGAGGACCGAGATTTGGTAAGCTTCTCTTCCCTCAATCCCATAAGACACTGTGTAGGTCAGGGATGGAGAACCTGTGCTCCTCCTGATGTTGTTTGACTCCGGCTCCCATCAGCCCCAGCCAGCTTGACCCAATGGTCAAGGACGATAGGAGCCATAGTCCAGCAACATTAACCTGGAGAGCCACATGACCCCCATTCTTGCTGTAGGCAGGTAAAAACAAGACTAATCATGGTAGGCAATGTTGCAGGCCCAGAGTGTTAGTTATGACATTTATAATAACAGTAATAATTATATTTTTCATTACTGCTTCACCGAGAGAGAACTGAGAAATTACAACTAGCAAGGCACACGAAAAGATCCCTGCTCCAAATCTAATCCTGTCCTTGGACCACACTGGCACATGTGAATGCTAAGAAAGCTTCCTGAGCTTAGATACCTGTCTTGAAAGGCAAGCCCACCTTATTGTTTTTGGGGCCAGGATAAGCCTGCTTTCCTTTTACTGGGGAGGCAGACCAAAAAAGTGAATTGGCAAAGGTCATGCCATGAATGCTTCTGAAGTTTGCACCTTTGGCAGCACTGGAAGAGTCCTCTCTTTGGAAACTCCCATGCACAGCAGGGTTTGGGCCCATGGAAAGGTCCCCTCCTCTGGGCAAGTGGATTATTGTTTCATGTTCACACAACTTCACTCCCTTTCTTTCTTTCTTTGGAAACTCCATTTCAACTGATTTAGAGATGGGGACCCAAAGGAGGTGTTTTCCTGTCCCATATGCCCACATTGTGCCCAAACCCTACTAGTTTCGAAGTTTGGAAACACCACCTCATCCACACTTGACACTTTTCCTGCCTGTTAAGTCTTGAATCAAATGGAAATCCGTAAAAGGTAGTACTAAGAGAATACAAATCCAGCCATTTCAGTGTCATTGCAGGTCATAACAACCGAGTTTATTTGCTTTGGGATTTTTACTGGCGCCAAAGGGCATTCTCATGCCCCCTTGAGAAAGGAAAGGGAAAGTAATTGGCACTGAAGGCATTTGGGAGGTACCAGCCGGTGTATTTGGGTGGCTCCTGCTTTTGATTAAATAATTTATAACAAATGGAACACCTGCACCTCCAGGCCTCCTTTAACCTCGGTAGAGAGGGCAACAGCAATTCAGTTCTAAATTGTTTTCCACAAACAAGGACGGCAAGAAAGGGGCTACACCAGCCGTGCCAATCTGTCCCCGAAGGCCTTTGAGGGCAATGGTATTTTCAGTCTCCAAACAGAGCTGCAGCATCATAATCTTCTACTGCTTATTTGTCTAGAAGTTGCTCATAACATATTATTTTATTTCATAAAATTTATATACCACTTGGTTTAATTTTTTTTAAAGTCTTCAGATTCAAAGATTACAGAGAAATAGTGCTGATGGTCATCAGCATTCTGATGGCAACTCCCAGAGGCATCACGTAGATATTAAATAACACTGGGGACAGAGTAATGCCCTGTGGCACCCTATAGCATAACTGCCAAGGGGCCTAAAATAATTCTGCCAATGCTACTCTCTGGACCTGGTTCCTTAGGTAGGACCAGTGATACAGTGCCCCAAATTTTCATTCTACAGAAAAACCGCAGACACACAAGTAGGAGCAAGGTCACCCTCCCCCTGTGTAAAGTTTATCCACCAGGGTGACCAAGGCCAACTCAGTCCCAGGCCTGAACCCAGATTATTTCAAACTCAATAATCTGTGTCATCCAGGAATGCTCACAGCTAGCTCACCACAACCCTCTCCACCACCTACTCCCTCAAAAAAGGTGTATTTGTAACTGGTCTTTCCAGTTCAAGGGGTCCAGGGCTGGGTTTTTTTAAGGAGCTGCTGCACCACCGCCTGTTTCAAGGCAGTAAGGACTGTTCCCTCATGCAATGAAGCACTAACCACATTCTAGATCCAGCCAGCCAGCCCCCCTCTTGTTAGATTTAATAAGCCAAAAGGGGCAGGGATCAAGAGGGCACAGGGTCAGACATATTGCTGCCAGTACCAATCAACTGCCTGCATTAGCCGATACTGATCCCACAACCCATCTGGCATTGGATACTTCATCAGGAAGTGCAACACTTGCACAGTCAAGATTTCTCTGAAGTCAAGTGGCTTTAACCTCAAAGTGCGTAGCTAGTCAGTCTCAGCAAGGGTCCTTGGGTGCTCCATAGGTCCCTCCCCCACAACAGGAGTCAGTAACTGCAAGACCTTCCAAAATAACTGCCGGCTGGGTGTTAGAGGATAAGGAGTTTTTGTGAGGCAATACTTCAGTGAATTCTGAACTATTTCTGAAAGCATATGGCCACTTGAACGACATATTTCAACTCTGATGGAAACAGAGCCCAACACATATTTATTTGATGTTTTTCTAACCTAACTCAAGATATCGGGGGTTGAACCTAGACTTTCTATATGCATAGAAGGTCCTCTGCCAACAATTGTGCTCTGTGACCTTTGCTCTTCCTCTAAGCTCAATATTACCTAGCCCCCACAGATTACTCCTGGTTGCACTAAACACATAAATCTATTTCTGGGAGGGAAAGTGTCAGCCACACAAGCTGATGGTCATGTTGCTTGGTGGTCTACAGCTTCATTTTTGTTGACATACTTTGAATTTAGATCTGTCCACCCACCCTTTTCATTCTAAGAAGAGTCTCTCACCCAACATCCATCTCCAGTTAAAATATAAGTCAAAGCGTTGTGTTTCTGTGCTTTGTAGAAACTCCGATCTCAAGCTCGGGCGCTGATCACCTTTGCCGGCATGATCCCCTACCGAACCTCAGGAGACACCAACGCACGGCTGGTGCAGATGGAGGTCCTCATGAACTAGGCACCTTGGGAAACCTGCCAGATGCTGTTGGTACCCTCAGTGGGTGGCCCAGTTTAAGTTGGGTTTTTTTGCTTTTTGTATTATGTACTTTTGTCAACCACAATAAATTTTTTTTGATTTATATTTGTTTTGACATTTTGCTTTACTTTTGCCATTATTTATGTTCACTTATTCATTTATTTTGCTTTTTACAATATTTCTTTGTTTCGAGAGGTGGGGGAAGGGGGAAGCTCATTTTAATGAAGGAGCAGGATCTATGGAGGCAGGCACTGTGTCCTTTATTTTAATTCCTCAGGCAGGGGTCATTGATGTTTTTCAGTCCATGGGCACATTTTGGATTTTTAAGCAAGTGCCATAGGTATACCACGTCCCTGGACATTTCTCTCCCTGCATCAACCTCCCCTCCCTGTGCCCAATCCCTGGGAGACAGAAAAAGAGAAAGTACACACACACTTTCCCAAGTGATCTGGGTAAAAGTTTGAACTAGCAAATCTAATCTGAGCCTCTGAAAGGGGAAGCGGGAAAGTGTCAGTCAGTTTTCTCTTTCAGTTCTATGTCCTTCTCAAGGAGAAACGGGTTACCATTCTCACCACCTCATGAACAGGGGGTGGGCAGTAAGATAAGGTTTATCTTAGATTTTGTGGGTGTCAGGGGAAAACCTCGAGGGTACTGTTGCGCTTATGGTCACCATGTTGGCAACTCTTTTCCTAGGAAATTGATGAAGCTTAATTTTCTACTGCTATGAGATGCAAGAGATGTGTTGGTCCTAAATTATATCATATAATTAACTCTTACCTGCACTGGCTGCAGGATATTTGAATCCCAAAGTGCTCTTGCACTAGCTGAAGCCCACCCCCTTCTTGCAGCAACTCCCCCCCCCCCACCTGTGCATCTCTGGTGAATCTTCCAGCCCTCAAGGGTGGCTTTTCAGGGGGTACAGAGGATGGCAGTGTGGAGAGAGGCAGGCAGAGGCTCCTTGCTGAATGAGTAGAGTCCCATTCATGCATCCTTGGGTTCAAGCCATCCTGCTGCTTACATTCTGCAGCATTCCCTCACATGCAATGGCATCCACTCCTTTGGAAAGCAGGGAGGTGCAGTTGAATACTTCTAGAGCATGGGTAGGCAAACTAAGGCCCAGGTTCCGGATCCGGCCCAATCACCTTCTAAATCCGGCCCGCAGACGGTCCAGGAATTAGTGTGTTTTTACAGGAGTAGAATGTGTCCTTTTATTTAAAATGCATCTCTGAGTTATTTGTGGGGCATAGGAATTTGTTCATTCCTCCCCCCTTCAAAATATAGTCTGGCCCCCCACAAGGTCTGAGGGACAGTGGACTGGCCCCCTGCTGAAAAAGTTTGCTGGTCCCTGTTCTAGAGGCTGTTTAGGTCCATGATTCTCCAACAGTGAGGTCAGCGTCTCCAATTTCAGTGTGGGAGGCAGCATCCTCCCTGCCTCCTCATAGTCTTGACCTTGTGTCTAGACTTCAGTGCTTCTGTAGATCAGGAAGGTGTAGAGTGAAACTATAAGAACTGCCATTGAAAACATCAGCATCCATTCTTCCCCTTCATAAGATATAGCACAACTGGCTTCCAGTTGATCCTGGTAGCATCTTCATGCCAAGCATTTCTCCACTTCTGCTAGTGATGACTAGTAATCCTGAGCAGGGAGGAATGCTCATCGCCATGACATTAGGACACAAGGTAAGTTACCAACTTAGTGCCCCCTGAATGTTTAGTAGGTGGAAACTGTAGTCTGAAACATCCAGAGGGCACCAGATTAGCAAAGGCTGTTCTACCCATTATGGAGGGAAGGGAGGGAGTTTGAGGTGGGGCTGCCATAAAAAAAAGCTGGAGCCCCACTTCATACAGTTCCAGAGTTGGCTTCTCCCTTCTTTGTGGGCGTTCATGGGAAACCCAGAATCAACAATCAGAATATGATTAAGCAAATCAGCCTCAATTTCTCTGTTGGTTTTGTTTATTTAAAATATATCTTAACCACCTTCATTAAATGATTCCAGGGTAAAACACAGGTTGGAACATACAAATAGATTTTGAAACCAACAAACTTCGCAAAATGCAACGAGACCAAAGCAAACAGAAATCCAACAAAGCCAAAGAGTGGAATAGGGCAAAAAAAACCCATCACTAATCTACAGCATGATTTGCTAATCGGCTGCTTTGTCGTGGCTTATTCCCAAAGTTTTTTTTTAAAGTCAGTAACTGAGAAAACATAAAGAAGAGGGGGAGGGATGAGATTAAGAGCTGGAGAGAATATGATAGGAATTCCTGAAGGGAGATCTGTGCGAGTGCTGTGGGTGCCAGTCACAGAAAGAAAGTAGTGTATGAAATGACATAATACAAAATGGCTACCACACCTAAAAGCAGAAAAAGGGACAAGTGTGCCACCCGAATAAATGGGGGAGGGAGAGATGTGAATGCCAGCCTCTGCCACTCTCACAAACAAACAAACAATTTGCCATTTCCTTTTTTCAGAAGGCAGGGGGGCACCCCGGCATCCAGTGATATGAAAGCATGTTTAAGGGGGCATGTTCAATGGAGGAGAAGTTGAGATAGGGCAAACAACCTCTTTGGCAGTGTGGATTTTGGAGGATATATTTACTGAGACCTTTTTGCAGATGCCAAGAGCTGCTGGTGAGCACATTGGTCCCCATGGGCACCATGCTGGTGACCCTTGGCCAAGAAGTCATGGCTGTGTGGCAAGTGACAGTAAGTTGCTAAACCCCATCCACATGTATGTACGTACGTACGTACGTACGTACATACATAGGGAACCCAGGTTCACAAGAAGTTGCCTGGAGTAGCGCCATGTTTCAGATGATGCTTGGGCACAGCTCTTGGGATAATACGATACAGGCCCATGCAGTGTCAGGTGTCTTGGGTCAGCCTTGCACATGCACACCCCAAACCACATTACATTTTTACAAGAAAACCTCACCATTCTTTAAAGGTGGACAAGTTTATTGAGACATGAACTAGGCAACAGCCTACGTAGGTGCACTGGGGTGGGTGGTGAAGATGATACCCACACAGGTCAAGGTGTGCAGGTAAGGTGAGATGAAAACCCGACTGCAGTACCTGTGAGTCAATCAGCTGCTCAGAGCTTGAATCACAAAGGATCAATGAACCCCATAGCTGGGGTCAGTTGAGGATTAATTTCCATGACACTCTCACATGTGAGATGATGGGTCTTTGTAGGAGAAGACAGGCCTAAACCATGATTTAAGTCCTGATAAAATTGAGTTGGATCTGTCAATGAGCCCAGTGTGTTGAAAACTCACATTTGTGCCATTTCTACTGTCAGGAGAAGGGCAGCATAATAGCCTGGGGTTGGAGCTGGGTATTCTGAGCCAGTAATTTATTGCAGTCCCACTCCCATTGGGCAAAGGCTTTGAAATAATGGCTGCTTGTGTTCCATAAAAATGATTCTAAAAGCATTTAAGATAAATACAGAGCTAAACCAACTTTGGGTATCTCATAATAACTTGTTTCCCTGGTGAAATAATACAGGGTGACATCTGGCTAAATCATTGTCAAATTGACTTGTTGAAAGCAATGGATTTAAGTTACTTGACTAATAGGCTCTTTAATAGGTCCTTCTGCAAACAGAAAAGCACAATTAGACACACACACACACACACACATATAGAGAGAGAGAGAGCAAAACACTGCTAGAATACAAACCAAAATTAAAATATACAATGGCAAACTGTTCAGGGAAAGAAAGAAATGTTTGCTTCCAATCAATCAACAAGCAACTATCTCAAATCTCAGTCTGCAAATCTATCCACTCTTCTCTATTGATTGGAAAATATTAGAATTACTCCATCCAGTAACTCAGTACCAGTATAAAGGGAACAAAGGGAGGGTGTTAACTTATTATTTGCATCTCCCATGTTTAAGCCAGAACCCCTGCAGGTCTCTCCCCCGCCCCCCCCCCCATGAAGCTAATTCTCAGCTAATAATTTAGCAATAATGTACATGTGTTTCTTTCAACCCTGTTTGAACTACCACTAGCTCCCAACCACCTGATTTCAGTAAAAACTGGCAAGCAGCACTGGTGTGGCCCCTGTCCATTGAGCCATACATCACAGGGCAGGACCAGTTAGTGTGGATTGAACTAGTCAGCTCAGCTTTGCACAGCCTGCTACTCTCCAGATGTTGTCAGACTGGAACTCCCGTCATCCCCCACCAGGCACTTTCACTGCATGCTCACGACAGGAACTTTCCTCCTCATGCCAAACAAATGAATAATGCTTCTTTAATTTCAAAGATGTATGAAAGTTTCTGCTGAAAGAAGAAATGGTCATTCACAGTCTCTCTTCTAAAATGTTTTCTGTGCATTTTTTAGGGAATGGGACCATGTTCCTAAGGTCTTCTAGTAAATTGATTTTGGCACATCTCCACGGTGGCTGGAAGTGGATTTGTGTCACCTGACTATTCTCACTGGAGTTGGGAAGAATTTGGTTCTCCCGTTGGCAAAAGGGAATTGGGAGGGTCATTTATGCCATGGTAGCTTAAAGCAGGCAAGATGTAGCATCCATTTTCTTTATTTCAACCATTCTAAGTTTAATTTTAACCATATTGAGGCTAATAGCCCTAAAACTTGCTTCATTCTGAGGAATTAAGAGACACCCCTGCTTTAGGTAACAATCCTGTGCATTTGGTGCACTGGGCACATTCCACTCATGATTGAAGCCCTTTTCAGGTCCGTTGATTTCAGTGGGAATCTTAAATGTGTGCATAAATCTCTCCCATTGAAAACAATGCAGTGCCAAAGTGCTTAATTCTGAGTGGGTTGTGCCCTTTTCTCTAGGATAAACCCTACAAATATCAATAGGTTCAAATAAATGTTCATAGAATTAGGCTGGATATTGATGGAGGTCAGTAAAGGAAAGTTGGTGAGTTCGGAAAAGGAAATATTAAAGATTGCTTCCTCCTTCAAAAGGTAAAAGTATGGAGATTTGGCAGTGCTGTTAAAAACAAACACATACATTGAATAAATGGTAAAAGGTGGATGATCCCAAAAGGAATTGACAGTTTTAAACATATTGATGTTTTTATCAGCCACTGTTTTTTCCAACTTCTGTACATGATAATGCGGCTGTGTGGCTCACTTTGCAAAGGACAATCTTTTGCTGCTGTTATTAACCATTTTTTAAACTTGACTTTTCCAAAATAAAAAACAAATACAACAATATACATTAATTCATAATAGTAGCTGTAAGGGAGTAGAATAGCTGGAGGTCCAGCCCAGTGCCCAGAAAGTCAAGCAAATAGAGATGTACTGTATCAGAGAATTTCCCATTTTTCTTGTGCTTATGGTTATGGTCACCTTCTCATTTGCTGCCAGTTATGTCCTCTGTCTACTGTATGATTGGGAGGGGTAGACATCTGATTCCAATATTGAAGTATTAGTGGTTTAGCCACCACAAGTACCCTTAGAAGCCAGCTAAATTGTCCCTCTGTCAGGTTCCAAAGAATTGGTACATAATTCAACAAAACTTTAGCATCCATAAATCTCATGGTGGTGTCCAAAACCATATTCATGGGGCTGATGACTTCTGACCTAAAGGACATTCCTCTCCTTGAAGGGCCTTCCCCATTCCAAGTTCAGTTTAAAGATAAGAAAGGAAAGCTAGAGAAACCTTGAAGGTGCCCATCAGCAGTTTAACTCCCTGACAGACTGATCAGCCACATCTGGCCTGTCTTCCCCACTATGATGAATGACATGGATTTTGTTCCTGTTTAAAGACAGTGGGCTGTATCCAATTAAGTTGTATTCAGGTCATGCCCACTAAAATTAATTAAATTACTTAGGTGTAGAATTAATCTATTTGGTTTCTTGTTGGTTGTCATCATTGACCTGTTGCTTGCATTAAATCCTGCGATGGGCCTTGGGGTTTGAATGAATGAAATTGTCTAAGAAGAAGAGTAAAAAAATGCAAGTGTGGTTTTTTTTTTATAAAAAAAAAGTAGTGTGATTTGTTCTTGAAACGGGACATCGGCAAGCTGTTTTCCAAGGTGGATCAGGAGCCTGGCAGCCCCCAGCCTGGAGTCACGGTATCGTTGCTGCAGCTGGTGTTGTGAATCAGGCCGACAAAAAGCGCATCTTACTATCCGGCTATTTCACTACACCAGGGTTGCATCATACCACTTGCCTTCCCTACGCATCCAGCATCGGAGAGGCTGCAGATTCACTCCAGTGTCGTTTCCGTTGACTCTCTTCCGTTCCTCTTCTCTTTTGCCGCGGACTCTCTTCCCAACGCAGCTGGGATGTGAGTTTTGAAAATAAAGCTGTTTCAACAGCAGATGTGTGCGTATTTATATGTGTGTGTTGCTTCCATGATATTGTGAGTGTGAAAACCATGGACTACTCTATATCCAGGCTTTGGAGAGCCGCTGGGCAAGGGTGGTCGTAGTCCTCTCTATGAAGGGCTGCCTGATAAACATCTGGTTTAGATATTGCTAAGGAGAGAGAGCAGGTCCATCAGCTGCAAACTCTGCTGGCGCTTGCATCACCTGGTCAAAGCCCTCCACACTCGGGGGAGATGGGCTGTATCTCTGTTTAGAGTAATTATTCCCCATTGCGTGTCTATGCTCTTTAAATTAGTGAAGACACCTTTTAGGCACATCTTTCTCCATTTTGAGGAGGTGGTGGCAGTGGTTATGGTGATGCGCAAGTAATTCCTGACTCCCTGGCTTTGCTGTTCCACTGTTTCCCCGTTGTGCTGTGAGCACCTTTCAGCTGGGAGGCGCATGCCACACCAGAAAGTAGATAGAGTTCTTCAGGGAATAGACCACAGCTCGGAGGCAGAGCCCAGACACTGTACACAGGAGGTTCCAGGTTCAATCTCTAGCATCTCTGCTTTAAAAAAGGACAATTCAACAAGTAATGGGGAAGACTTCTCTTGGCCTGAAACCTTTGCAGTGGGAGGAGTTAGTACTAGCCATCCTGGCCATGCGCCACCTCCATAGCTATGTTCTACCTCCAATGTCAGAAGCAGTGTGCTGGGAATCACAAGTGGGGAGAGAGCTGGGAAGCTTGCGGGCTTCCAAATGGCATCTGGTTGACCACTGTGAAAACAGAATGCTGGACTAGATGGGGCTTTGGCCTGATCCAGCAGCCAGGCTCTTCTCACATTCTTGTGAGTGTGGCTTTCCCCAAAGCCCTAAATGAGAACAGCCTGGCATTACTTTGGATTTCTCCCCCTGCCTCTCCAATTGGTGTCTAAAAGCCGAGTCCCAAAGCTGAATTGGCCCACCCTCTGAAGCCAGCTGTAATTTGCAAAGGCCATTTCCACCTGTGAGAGCAGCCTCGGCTTCTCAGTGGTTATCTAAGTGCCCTTGGAGACATGAAAAATTCAGCCATGGAGCCCTGCAGTTGTAGCAGTTCTCATGATGGTGGTGACTGGAGTGGGGAGAGGCTGTGTTTGTGGGCTGGTTCTTTGGTGTCATGGGAAGAGTCCCTGCTTTGTATGCAGAATGTCCAAGATTCAATACCCAATGGCCTCTTCAGATAGGGCTGGACTGGTGGTCTAACTGGTATAAGGCAAGTGTGAAACCGCAATGCAGTCAGTAACCCCAAGTAGGAACTTGCTAACACAACAATCAGGACTCCTTAATAAAAACTTGCAGAACACAGTAGCTAAAATATATCCTGTTTTTTTTAAAAAATAAAATAAACATAAAGCCTACTGCATTCGGCAAACACTCCAGAGGAACAGCAGAAAACATTTTCCCATTAACCTGATGAAATGAGTCACAGTGCTGAATTTCAAGTGGCTTTTCCAGAGCCAGAACTGAGCTTTATGGCTGGGCTTTGACTGGCTGTCTCTCGAGATCCTTATCTGTCACTGCTTTTAAATTGCCATGTGACTTTGGAACTCAGGCCTCCCAGTGCAATGGGCAACAGCAATCTCGCTTTGCATATTTTCCTGGCAAATTTTCTTAACTAGGAATGCTCATGATAGGCTATCCAGTATGCTCTGGAAATGAAACATTTTCAACATTGCTGTTTATACTTCTAAAAGTGGTTGAAAATTGGTGGAGGAGGAAGAAGAGGATATTATTATTATTATTATTATTATTATTATTATTATTATTATTATTATTATTATCTCACCTTTCCTCCAAGAAGCTGAAGGCAATATACATGGTGTCTGCTCCTTCCCCATATCATCGTTACAAGAGGCCTATGAGGTTGGTTAGGCTGAGAGAGACTGGCCTGTGTTCACCCCATGCCTGAGAGCAGGATTTGAGTCTGGGCCTCCCCTTCCTGGTCTGATACTAATGGCAGTGCCACACTGGCCTTAGAATGGGATGAGGGAGGGAATGAATCTAGAGCCAAAACAATTTTGCTCCCATAAATTCTTAGGATTCTCCACCATAAATTTTGATGCAAAGTATTTCCCAGCTGTCCTCTAAATACTGAACATTTTGCTGAATGTTTGACATCTTGATTTGAAATTGCAGGGTACTTGATTTTAAACTAGGCAAGCTGGCCTGTGCTTAGGCCTTTAAGATCTGAAAGCTGACCTGCAATGGGAAATGACGCTTTCCGGGGAAAATAATTCAGAGGTGATTTTTTTTGTGAAAATGTGGGGTTTTTTTGCAGAGAAGGATTAATCCCTCTTCCTGCAAAGTGTGGTCCCATTCAGGATTTCTTCCCTCAATGATGTAAACATGGGAGGAAAAACAAGAGAAGCACATTTCACATTGCATCCAGTTTGGCTTTTAAACTATAGCACAGAAAATGTACTTGTTATATTTCCTTTCATATCTGCTGTTTATTTTAATTCTCTTTTTAAAATCCATTGTTAGATGTAAAGGGGGGGCATTTGAAAATTGTAATTTGTTTTATTTATTATATTTTCCTACCCTTTCTTGAAGGAGCTGAGCACAATGTGCATGCATTTAATCCCTTGTATCTTCACAACAGCCCTGCAAGGTAAATTAGGCTGAGAAACGGTAGCCAGTACAAGGTCACCTAGTGTACTTCACGGCTGAGTAGGGAGCTGAACCCAGGTTTCTCCACTCTTGGCCCAATCCACCAGGCAACAATGAAACTGACTTTTCTAGCTCACTTGTTCTTTATTAGAGTTAATCATATCACAATATTAAAATGTTGCTGAAACTGTTCATGTTAATTGTGTTTTTATTAAACATTTCAGTAGCGAACAAATAAAGATCATTTGCTTGTTCATTGTTTCTTTCCTTCCATTAATCTTAACTTTTCTTATATTAATGTTGCAAGATTTAAGGATTTCTGCATCTCCTTTGGTAAGAATCATTGCATGGCTGTTCTGATCTTATCTGCCTTATAACATTTCCATCTGCAGTCCAATAATTTGCAATGAAATGGGTCCGTGACTCTTATATCTGTGGCATAAAGTGGATTTAAGAGCTTTGCCACAACAACCCCTTTTAAAAATGGACATTTGTGATTAGGAAAGTGATGGGGAAATGCCCCCCCCCCCAAAGTGAGATAATGGTCAATTGACAGCAAGACATATAACCTTCATGGAAAGAAATCAGGATAAGTGTCCATTGCTGTATAACTTCCCTGCAAACAATCAGGGCAAATGCTTTATAAGCCTCCATGGTAAGCTTTGTGCAAGCAAATCAGGATGAACACTCAGCCAGGAGGTCAACTGGAAGAGACCCTCTTCTCCTTCCTCCAAGGACATTCCTTGCCTAACCCAATTATAAAGGAAACACAATGTACCCAAACAGAATGAATCAGAAAAGTATCTCCATTCCAGCGTCCCACCAATACTGTATTTTTAGCTGATATGTCCTCAGGACTTAATTCAAAATCTGTTATCATAGACTTGATCTAGAACGCGAGTTGGTGAACAAGTCTTTAGCAATCCCTCCAGGCTACTCTTTTCAACAACCAGCTCAGGATGGTTTGAGCCAATTACTTCCCTCTGTTAAGAGTTAACTGAGCAGGAGGTCGGCCAGTTTTTTCTGGTTTCGCGGGGTATAAAGTTTCCATGCCCCCCTAGATGTTGCAGTAGATGCTCAAAATCTGTGCCATCCCTTGCCTGTGAGTTGAAGGAGAGGCAAAACGAAGAGCAGAGGGCCATGAAATGGCTGAATCGCAGGTGATGGAACGGACTGCCGACCCGGCAAACTCCAACGGCAGGTTTACCATCAGCACCCTGATCAGCACCGAGGACAGAGGCAGGCCTCACTATGGCCAGGGGGACACGGTTGCCTATGATGCTGCCCAAGCCAACCACCTCACCCACAACAACACTTTCTACATGCGGACCTTTGGCTACAACACCATCGAAGTTGTCCCCACTTACGAAAACTATGCCAACACAAAAGTCTCCGGTGAAGCCAAGAAGACCAGACCTACCTTGTCCGATCTACACTCATTCCTCAAGGTAAATTGAAGCCAGTTTGGTTCACAGAATGTCTGTTGCACAGAGTCACAAACATAGGAAGCTGCCTTATAATCATGAGTGTATCTCAGTATATCCAGCTCAGTCAGGGGTCTCTCCTGCCACCAGGGATTCCTCTTGGGTCCTTTTGCATGCAAAGCAGGTGCTCTAACTACTGTTCTTTACAGGTCTGTCCCTGCCTGATCATAATCTCCATCAGGTCTTGAGCCAGGGGACAAAGGATTGAATCTTGCCCCACATTCTTTCCCAGCTGGAAGAAAACCTCGTTGGTCTTTGGGCACTTTTCCTGATCTGCATTACTTGGATCACAGAATCATTGAATTGTAGAGTTGGAAAGTATCCCAAGGTTCATCTAGTCCAAGCTCTGCCATGTAGGAATATGCAGGTGGCCCATATGGGGATGGAACCCACAATGTTGTTGTTATCAGCTCCACACTGTAACCAACTGAGCTAACCTCAACAGTGGTTGAGGATGGGTAGCTCAAAATGTCTCTTCCCTGGGGGACTCTTTCTTGAGGTCTTTAGCAACTCTGATTTCTTTTTTCTGCCTTTCCCCACAAGCTCGTATGGAAATAAGCAATACTGGCCAAGAGCCATGGATATTTTAAAAAATAAAATAAAATAAAAATAAGATCATAGAGCTATTTTGCTCATTGTATTTTTAAAAATGCATATAGAGAAGTAGCATGAAAAAAGCCCCATCTTTGTGCCCTTTTGACATCCGCATGCTTGGATCGAGTTTTCTGCCTGACAGTCTGATCACACATTCATTTGAGATGGCGGGGGGGGGGCGGTCTCAGGGCACAGATCCAACTTCTATTTTCTTTTTCTTCAAACAAAGTTTTTTAAAATATAAAATCAACAGCATAAACAAAAAACAATCAGTTACAAAACAGAGGAGCAGGAGGTTGCATTTCCCGAATAAACAGAGAACAGATAATTTGAAAAAAATAAAAGCAGAAAAACACATCAAGAAAGCCAGATTTTGCAATTTGGTGGGGGAAGAGAGTTTTGTATACCTGAATTTGACACATAAGCAATGAGATCCTGCCAAACAGTGTAGAAATGTTCTGCGTCTTCCTTATCCTTAGAGATGCATAATTTGTGTGTTATTTTCTCTGCTGCAGCCAGAGTATCCATATTCCTGTGCTGCAACAAGAGGTTTAAGTCCTAAAGGTCTTTGGCTCTGGGTCAAAGTATTCATGTAAGACCTTCCATAGATTGGGAAATTGCTTTTTGATCATCCCATAAGTTCAAAAGAGCAGGATTGTGGAGAATCCTTGACATCTGTTTTCAATATCAGATTAAATCTCTGCACATGAGAAAGAAGGTGATGCCTCTGAGCATGTGCAGAGAACTTTCCTCCCCCAGTGTCAATATGTTTTTTTCATGGCTAATCTTCTAGAGGTGCAGTGGATGTCCCAGAGCCTTGTGACCCCTTAAAAGAATAGCTGGTTTAATGTGGCATCCTATTTTCTGTGCCACCCTTCTCCAGCCCGGTGCCCTTAATATGTTTTGGACCATGGATGTTCTGGCAGGAGCTGAGAGGAGCCATAGCTAAGAAGAGTTGGGGCCACCAGGCAGGGCCGAGACTTGTGGGACGTTTTAACATGCTTTCAGGCAGGTACAAGAAACTGAACCAGCTTTTTTAACCAGGGTGAGTGCCAGCATCAAGCCTGGTGTCCTGAGCAGGACCAGGTGGCTGGTCTAGCAAAACAACAACAAAAATAATTTCCCACAAGGGTGAGGAGAAGTTCCACATCAGGGGCATTGTGGGAAATAAAAATGGTGGGTAGATTCAGCTGCCAAGGTCTTCTTGGAACCCTGCTGTACATCGTCACCAGAGCCTACCAGGGTTCACTAATGTAGGACAGGGCTGGAGAACTTCATGCTGAGGGGACAAATGTGGCCCTCCAGGCCTCTCTACCTGGCCCTTGGAACACTCCCCAGGCCATGTCCCTCACTGGCCCTGTATCACATCCTAAGCTGGACTCTAATAATGCCTTCTCACTTGTCTGGATGGTGGATAGATAAAGGTTTGTAGAAACCAACCTGTGGCACAAAGAGAAAAGTTTCATTTGTTGTTCCACCCACTCTCCCTTTTGACCCTGCCCACCAATGGCCCTCAGAAGGTTGCCCAGGAAGGAACATGGCCCTCAGGCTGAAAAAGTTTCCCTGGCACTGATGTAGGAGAGGGAACCCAGAGAGGGTCATTTCCCCAGGTCCCCCTCAAGCCTGGGGTGGGCCTCATTCTGCACCAGCAGGGCAAAGCCAGTTCATGCAGCAGCCATTTGGGTTCTGGACACAACCAGGTCACGGCCAGACTGTCCACTATGTCCCAATACAGTCATACTCCTCAGCCACCCAGGTCTGATGACCTCTGCATTGTCCTTGCTGGCTGAGACAGGATGTTCTGTACCTCAGATGTCTCTTTATCCCATAACTTTCCTCGCTTTCCTCCTGCCCCCAATTTTGCAGTCTGATTGCCATCAGTTGTTGTTGTTTTGTTCCAGCAAGAAAGTAGCCATCTCCACCCGCCAGCGTACGAGCTCCACAGGGACATCATATTTTCCGAAGAAGGAACCGAGGAGGAGGCTGGTGAGGGGGATGCAAAGCCTCAGGAGGAACCTGTCCGTTTTGGGTGGGTTAAGGGGGTGATGGTGAGTACCGTTACTTAGTTCCCCACTCCTGGCTTAAAGGATGTCCTGGGCCAGGGCCTTTTCTGTAGTGGCTCCATCCCTTTGGAATTCTCTTCCCAGGGAGATATGTATGGCCCCCTCTCTACTGGTTTTTAAGGGAACCCCATTTTATTTCAGCCAGCTTCTGAGTGATCATGCCCCTGAGTTGTCTGGATGGAGGAGAGAGAGAAGGATATGAGTGTGGAGAAGCTAGGCTACTGTACAAAGGTAGAAAGTGCATTTGTTGCTCTGCCTGCTTTTGCCTCTGGCCCCGCCCACCAATGACAGGTGGCCCCTGGAAGGCTGCGCAGGTAGGAGTATGGCCCTCATTCTGAAAAAAGCCTTGCTACTCCTTGCTATAAATCATGGTATCAACATATCACTCAAGAGTTCTCTTGGGTGAATTGCAAAGGGGGTTCATGGAATCATAGAACTGTAGAGTTGGAAGGGACCCCAGAGGTCACCAAGAGCAACCGCCTACGATGGAGGAGTCACAGCTGAATTGCCAGGCCACAAAGTGCGATGGAGAGACAAGGCAAGGTGCAGGGAATCGTCTTCCTTCCAGACACCCCTTGTCACATCTTCTTTCACCAGACAGATCTCGTCGCTTAGGCTTATGGTCCCAGTGCTCCTTTTCTGACTAGTGTACTTCAGGCATTAAAGGTAAAGGTAAAGGTACCCCTGCCCGTACGGGCCAGTCTTGACAGACTCTAGGGTTGTGCGCTCATCTCACTCTAGAGGCCAGGAGCCAGCGCTGTCCGCAGACACTTCTGGGTCACGTGGCCAGCATGACGAAGCTGCTCCGGCGAACCAGCACCAGAGCAGCACACGGAAACGCCGTTTACCTTCCTGCTATACAGCGGTGCCTATTTATCTACTTGCACTTAAGGGTGCTTTCAAACTGCTAGGTGGGCAGACGCCGGGACCGAACGGCGGGAGCTCACCCCGCCGTGGGGATTCGAACTGCCGACCATGCGATCGGCAAGTCCTAGGCACTGAGGTTTTACCCACAGCGCCACCCGCGTCCCACTTCAGGCATTAGGTATCTTTTAAAAGAAGGAAATATTTAAACATGTGCACCCACCCACACATGCACACCCTTCAGTCTGAAATGGTACAGTCCAGGGAAGACTTGACCATATTGTTCTTCCTATGCTATAAGCAGACCCAGAGGTGTCAGGGCACTGGCTCACAGGTTTTAAATGACTAGATCAGAAAATCCTAGATCTCTGGTCCTCCTCACAGGCCCTGAGGTGCCAACATGCTTCAGTTATTCTTCCCAGTTACCAATTGCTGCTCCCATAACTTTCCAGATCCGTTGCATGCTTAATATCTGGGGTGTGATTCTGTACCTGCGGCTGCCTTGGATCACTGCACAAGCTGGAATAGGTAAGTCCTGTTGAATACTTCTCTTACTGCATGGTTGAGACAAACAGCTTGGTACATACATGAGGGCTTATCCACACTTCCATCCGCAGCAGTTGGGGAGGTGGCAGCCCAACAGAGAACATTTCTTTGAGAGCTTCCAAGTTGTGGGACCCCTCTGTGGGAATCCAACCATGGTCTTAATGTCTAAGCAGTATAATCCAAAATGACTGATTTTCTTCACAGCACTGACTTGGGTGATCATCCTGCTTTCTGTGACAGTGACCACCGTCACAGGACTGTCAATCTCAGCCATCTCCACCAACGGCAAAGTTAAATCAGGTAGTGTTTTTTTGCACATCACCTGTAGAAATATTGGCAAAGTTGCACGGGTTGGGTTAGCAAGTGTGTGTGTGTACACATTGAACCTCTACTTCACATAGACAAGTCTCATCATTTTTAAAAACAGACAGACAAACAATGTCCCACCAGCTTCATCTATCAGAACCAGATGAGACTTCCTCGAGGGGGGTGGGCGAACCCATTGCTGGCATGGCTGAGGCTGAAGACGGGTGGGAGGCATTTGCAGAGGTGGACAAAATGACTTTGCCACCTAGGAAGGTTCTCCACTCGAGAGACTGACAAATCCAGGGGATCCGCCATTTTTTGCCATTTCTCATTGGCCAGCTTCAAATCCCACCAAACCACTCCCAGGAGCAGGGATCTGAGCAGGGGCCCAGAACTAGATGACCATTTGGGTCCCTTCCAACTCTACAATTCTATGATTCTATGCCTGCCCAATTCCTGGGTACCAGTGTGGTGCAGCAGTTAGGATGCTGAACTAGGTCATGAGAGACTAGGATTCAAATTTCCACTTGGCCCATGAAGGTCACTGCATGACCTTGAGCCAGTCAGCCTCACCTACCTCACAGGGTTGTTGTGGGGATTATATGAGGAAGAGGAGAACCAGCTTGCATGCCACCTTGAGATTCTTGGAGGGAAAAGTGGGATATCAATGCAATAGGATCAAACATATATTTCAGTAGGTGAGCTATACAAGCCTTTGTGATGATCCTTGTGTTCCTGTATCTCAGGTGGGACTTACTTCCTTATTTCACGAAGCCTTGGGCCTGAGCTGGGAGGCTCCATTGGCCTCATCTTTGCCTTTGCCAACGCGGTGGCTGTGGCCATGCACACAGTGGGTTTTGCAGAGACTGTGAGGGACCTGATGCAGGTAAGTCGGGGCAACTGCTGCCACCAGGCTATGAGGGAATCTCTGCAATCTTTGAACCACATCAAGGACAGCAAGAGGAAGCCTGGTGCAGTGGTTAGAGAGCTGGAGCAGGACCTGGGACACCAGAGTTTGAATCCTCACTCAGCCATGAAGCCCACTGGGTGACTTACCACACAGCGTTGTTGTGAAGATTAAAAATGAGAAGGGGGAGAACCATGGTGGAAAGATGCAGTTTAAACGCAATAATAAAAGAAATAAGGATAGCTCCACATAGAGCACAATGCCATTGTCTAAGGCTCTAAGCAATAGGTTACTGGCCCATAGATCTGTGTGAGCAGGCTGTCCCAGGAACATCCAGAGCTGAAAACAGGCACTGTGCACCACTGAATCCACCAGTGGTAGAGCAACGGTAGAGTCTAGGAGTTTCCCCAGACCATGAAAGGTTGGCATCAGAATTTATAGGTTGAATCAGAACAGCCCAGGTGATTTTACCTATTTTTAAATTAAAATGGTCCTCAAATAATAACTTCTTTAACTGTGTCCAGGCATTGCAGCTAAAAAGGATTGATTTTCAGGCCAAGGATTCAAATCCCACTCTGAGCCAATTATTGGGGGCAAAATGACACAGCTGTGTGAAGTCTTGAGCACTCTTACATTTGGGGGTAGATTAGTCAGCACTGATCTTTTAACCAAAGATCTTCCTATTCTAAATGCAAGCTTTTCTCTGCAGATGAGAAGCTGTCATATCACAACTCCTTTCATCTCCGACCATTGCCTGTGCTGACTGGGGCTGATGGGAGTTGGGGTCCAGCAGTTTGTGTTTTTTTAAAAAACACATTTAAAAAATAATAATAACCGGCTGAACGAAAAGGTCTTCACTTCACTTGGCACAGAAAATACCATAAAGAAGGTGCCAAGCTAGCCTCTCTCAGGTGGACATTCCGCAACCAGGTCACCACCACTAAGAAGGCATAAGCATATAATTGAGCCATGTTCCTTCTGCTCTGGCATTGCCTCTTCCAGATTTATGTTACTTTTAGGTGACATTTAGTTTTTTACTTTCAACAATTTCTAAATGACTTAATATCGAGAAAACAGGATCGCGAAAACAGAGGTGCAATATACAAGTGAAACAGTAGCATAAATATGTATAATGGCAGGAATCCAGTAATAACAGTTTCTGATCTTATGGGTCAAGGAAAGCCTGGGCAAAAAGGTATGTCTTTGCAAGACGTCTGGAGCAAGTGATGGATGGTGCTTCATGTATGGCAGAGGGAAGGGCATCCCGAAATGGAGATGCCAGAGATTGAATCTAGAGCCTTCTGCCTACAAAGTACCTTTTCTGCTGCTAAACTACGGCCCCTTTCCAACCCTGTGGACTTCTCTGCATCACCCCCTTCCCCAGATTGTGCCTTGAGCCCCCAGTGCACTCATTCTGATCTGCCCTGTGAGCACTGACTGTTGGATGTTTTTTCTGCCCAAGGAGCACAACTCTACCATGGTCGATCCCACAAATGACATTCGCATCATTGGGGTCATCACAGTGACTATATTGCTTGGCATTTCTTTGGCTGGGATGGAGTGGGAAGCCAAGGTAAGAGCTTCGTTATGTACGTGTTTGTTTTTTTAGAAGGCCTGGGGCAGGGGCAGGTGCGGCTAACAGGGAGAGAGCCCTATTCTTGGTCATGAGGAGCAACCCATGGGTCAAGGCAGGTCAGTGATCCCAGCACTACAGAGAGCTCCAAGGGGCTGGGAGTAGATTGAGGTCTTAGGAGTCTCTGCCTCCAGCCCACCTATATTAGGCTCCTCCCCTTTTGGAGAACCAGGGTCTCTTAAAAGACCAAACACACGGCCTGAAGATGGTCTCCAACATGAGGTGCTCCTTGTGTTGAAAGGTACCTAGTACAGGGACACTCAGTTCCCAGTAGGGTTGTCATTGTCACAATGGATTTGCTTGGTCTTTGCAGGCACAGGTTCTTTTCTTCTTTGTCATCATGATCTCCTTTGTAAACTACCTTGTGGGAACCATCATTCCAGCCAGTGAGGAGAAACAAGCCAAAGGATTCTTCGGTTACAGGGGTAAGATGCTGGTATGAGTGGCTGAGGGAAGAGAGGACTGTTCATGAACTGAAGTACTCCAGAAGAATTAAATTGGTGTAAGGAAGCAGTGGCGGTTGGAAATGATCCCGAAGGGCCATAACCCAGCATGAGGGCATCGGTTTTACATGGGAAAGTCCTGAGTTCCATCCCCAGTGGCATCTCCAGGTGGTCCTGGGAAAGACTGCCTGCCTGAAATTCTAGAGAAACCCTGCCAGACCGTGCAGACAACATTGACCTAGATGGACCAATGGTCCAACTCAGTGTAAGACAGCTCCCTATTCTGGTGTTTAAACAGCATGTGAAGTAGCTCTAAATAAATAAATAAATGGGCTAAAGTTGTGTTTGTGACTAGCAAGTCAACAAGCTAAATTAGATTTGTTTTAAATAATAACAACAGGAACATTTGAGTTTGGTTCTCTTGCTCAAGGAGCGCATTCAATCCTCAAAACATAAGACGAGCCCAGCTGGGTCAGATTAAAGTTCCGGTAGCTGTGGTAGAATAATAATACAGTGGTACCTCGGGTTACAGACGCTTCAGGTTACATATGCTTCAGGTTTCAGACTCCGCTAACCCAGAAATAGTGCTTCAGGTTAAGAACTTTGCTTCAAGATGAGAACAGAAATCATGCTCCGGCGGCGCAGCAGCAGCGGGAGGCCCCATTAGCTAAAGTGGTGCTTCAGGTTAAGAACAGTTTCAGGTTAAGAACGGACCTCCAGAATGAATTAAGTACTTAACCCGAGGTACCACTGTAATAATAATAAATAAATTGAGATGGTGTTGGAGTGACCAGACAGGTTTACATCTCTCCACCCAGTCCAGTGCCCTGAGGGAGATCGAAATTGCCCTCTCCCAACTCATTGGATTGATCATCAGGTGTAAAGTTTGCACACACAAACACACACGTGACAAAACCTTCTCTTTTCCAGCGGACATCTTTGCGCAGAACTTTGTGCCAAACTGGCGCGGGCCTGATGGCAGTTTCTTTGGTTTGTTTTCCATCTTTTTCCCATCAGCCACTGGCATCTTGGCAGGAGCCAACATTTCAGGTGATTTGAAGGTAGGCGGGTCTTGCTGCTGAAGCCCAGGGGGCCAGGAGGTGAGGTGCTGGAGTCAGCAGCCTCCTTTTGGAAACATGGCCCAGGGCAATAGTTGGTGCGAGAAATTCCGGGTATTGGGGCAGAGGGTTCGGTGGGTCTCATTCCAGCCTCTTTCTACATATAGCCTGTTGGGGATGCAGAGGGACAAGTCTTTCATTACATAAATATATTTCTCTTTCTCTCTCTCTTTCAATGAGGGGTGACTTATTACAGCTAAGCATGAAAAGTTGCATAAAAGTTGAATCTTCTTTCCTTCCACCCATGTTTCGTTTGGGAGAAGCCTGTGCAGTTCTATGCAAAACTATGTGTGTGTTTGTGTGTTCCTATATACATATAAATGTAAGGTGTCATAACGCTGCAGTTTACCAAACACAAACTCCAGGATGACAACAGAACAGCAGGCAAGCAAGCAAGCAAGCGAGTAAGGAGCATGAGTGGCAGACGACCTGGGTGAGCTGTTTAACTGAGTGGGGAGTTGCTTCAGAGAGCAGTTTGGCAAACCACTCTCTGGGGTGCCTTCCCACCTGCATTAAACCTCACTGCAGCCACAGGCAAGCAGGAGGAGCAAGTGAGGAGGTAGGCAGGCAGAGTGGGGACTCATCCACACTTAGCTTTTGCTTCACACTTTCCAGGCACAGATCCGCACTTTAAAGCTCCATGTCCTAGCGCCCCTTTTTTTCACCCTGAAGCACAACGAACAGTGATTCGGGTTTTCTGCAGATTGCCATTTGCCAGTGTTAAAGAGCAGGTTTTCAAGGGGAAAGCTCCAAAGCAAAAGAAGAAGAAAGCGAGTGCTTGGAAAATGGAGCTTTGAAGCATGGGCTCTGCCTGGAAAGCACAGAGGAAAGCTAAAGTGTGGGTAAGCCTTAAGTGAGTGAGCCAGTGGCCCAGGCAGGCAGGTGAGTGATGGAGAGGCACAGGTGAGCAAAAGGGAGAAGGAGCTGGGGTGTATGACAGAGAAGTTTGGGTGAGGTGTAAATGGGCTGGCAACAGGGTGGGGCAGGCGAGGTTGGCGAGCCCCTAGTAGTATCACAATTACTGGTTAATGCAGTGGTGCCTATGGAAGGCATTTTCCTAAATCTCATTTATCCCCTTGGGTAGGATCCTGCCGTGGCAATTCCTAAAGGGACCCTCATGGCTATTTTCTGGACGACTGTGTCATATCTGATTATATCTGCGACTATTGGTAGGTAATGGTCAGGCATTAATCGTAATCAGCAAGGTAAATGTTGTACGTTTCTGGGCACAATTCAAAGTGTTGGTGCTGACCTTTACAGCCCTAAACGGCCTCAGTCCGGTATACCTGAAGGAGAGTCTCCACCCCCATTGTTCTGCCCGGACACTGAGGTCCAGTGCCGAGGGCCTTCTGGTGGTTCCCTCATTGCGAGAAGCCAAGTTACAGGGAACCAGGCAGAGGGCCTTCTCGGTAGTGGTGCCCGCCCTGTGGAACGCCCTCCCACCAGATGTCAAAGAGAAAAACAACTACCAGACTTTTAGAAGACATCTGAAGGCAGCCCTGTTTAGGGAAGCTTTTAATGTTTGACAGACTATTGTATTTTAATATTTTGTTGGAAGCCGCCCAGAGTGGCTGGGAAAACCCAGCCAGATGGGTAGGGTATAGATAATAATAATAATAATAATAATAATAATAATAATAATAATAATAATAATAATACAGAGAAGCAGGGAAAGCCAACATGCTGCCCCTGGATGTTTTGGGGCTGAGTATGGGCTCAGGAGCATTATGTCTTCTTAATTCAAGGTGTATTTCCTGAGCTACTGCTGTCCACCTGATTCTGGTTGGTGGGCTTTACCTATTTATTCTGTAGGATTCGTAAAGCATTTAATTGTCAAGACCAGTGAGCAGTTTACAAGGGGTACTGGTAGTCCTACTCAGAGTAAAGTTACTAAAGTTAAAGTTGTTTTTAATGTTTGGTGTTTTATCGTGTTATTAATATTCTGTTGGGAGCCTCTGAGAGTGGCTGGGGAAACCCAGCCAGTTGGGTGGGGTATAAATAAATTATTATTATTATTATTATTATTATTATTATTATTATTAATGAACAGAATTTCAATGGGTCTGCTCTGGATAGAACTTAGCTGGATACGTGAAATTTTTTGATAAAATCAGATATTTAAAACATTTCAAAATATAATCAGCAGCTTTAAAAATATACATGATAAAATAAAATTGCATATTAAAATGCATGTCAAATTTACATATCTGAGTAGGCTTGGTTAAAGAAAAAGAAAAATTTCAACCAGTGTCAAAAAGAGAGCAGCGAAGGCACCTGCCCAGTACCAAAGGGCAGAGAATTCCAAAGTGCAGGCACAGCTGGCCCAAAGGATTGAATCCTTGCAAATTTGGAATGAACATTATATGGTTCATTTAACAGGATTTATGCATTGCTTAATTTGCCAAGGTCTCTAACTGGTTTGGGGCTCTGGTGAGAAAAACAAAGTAGATCCAAGCAGCCTGAATTTTGCCCCCCTCTGCTTAGAGTGGCTCATGGGTCTTTGAAATTAAGAGCCCACGTTGTGGAGGAATGCTGTAAGAAATTATGCTAAATTATCATGGTCCCTTTCTTAGGGGCATGTATGGTCCGGGATGCCTCTGGAAACGTGAACGACACCGTCTCTGTTGGCTCTGTAGGCTGTGAAGGGATCGCTTGCAACTTGGGCTGGAACTTCACGGAGTGTGCTCAGAGCCACACCTGTAACTTTGGGCTTATCAATTTCTACCAGGTATTATCAGCCGTACTGCCATGGGGAAGGATGTTTTTTATTTGACACCTGGGTCTTGGGGATACTTGGAAGAGGGACAAAGACACTGCCTTCTTCCATATAAATCTATTGCAGCCCAGGATCCAACCCTACCAGATGGGTTGCAATCTCTGATCAACCATGGGCATGATGGCTGGGTCCATCACTTAGCTATGATTCCTGCATTGGAGGAATAGTTTGGGTCCCTTCCAACTCCACAGTTTTATGCTTCCATGACTACTGATGGCTTCTCTGCTGTGAATAGATCTCCAGACTGGGTTGGGGACAAAGTCATCTGCCTTCAAAAATGGGGAGGCACAATGCAGGGAGGCTGGTTTAGTGCCTAAACCCAGCAGGAATCGCTGAATAATCCATCATTCTGCCTTATATTAGCCCATGAAGCTCAGTATTCGATAACCTAGTGGCCATGAGCAGCTGAGCTCCCTAACTTCAGATTTGGGAAGAGGCTTGTGGAAGTTGCCCTCTCTGATTCGCTCTTCCTCATTCCACCAGTGCCCATCCCTTTCCCCACTTCCTCTGGGTCCAGGCTGAACTCCTGAGAGGTTGTGGAAAGTGGGGGGTGCTTCTCCTCCTTGCTCTGATCAGGGCCCACATGTAGGGAGAAGAACCCTAGAATCACAGATGGAAGAGACCCCAAGGGTATCTAGTCCAACCCTCTGCAATCCAGAAACCACATCCAGAGAATCCTTGACAGATGGCCATCCGAACTGTGTTTAATAACTTCCAATGGCAAGGCAGCAACAGCAAAGAGGCTCAAGAGCGGGACCCCTGATTGGGTGGGGGCCATGACAAGTGTCAAATGGCACGCGCACGCACACACACACACACACACACACACACACTGGCCTGTGAGAAGAAGCCAAGGTGTCTTCTCCTGGTTTTGACAGAGCCCATGGGGGACCACACAGGTTGGTAGTTGCAGCACCAAGGACAGTTCCAAGCAAGAGCCCTTGCTCTGATCACATTGGTGAATGAACCAGTGGTGGCTTTTATGTTTCTGGGGGCTGGATCTGAAGCTTTGAAAGAGGCTAGTCTCTGGACTGGGGTATCCTCCTTTCTAATAAGTCCTTTTGTGTGCATCACATGGGAACATGGGTCACTGGTGTGGAGGCGATTGGTTCCTCAGGGGATGTAGGCTTAGAGGAGACAGACTTCACAGGGGCTGCTCTCGGGTGTCTTGGACTCCAGAGCCCATGACCTAGGTTTGGGCTGTGCCTCAGGGCTGGCTGTAACCCTGGGGCCTGGGCTGCTGTACAGATAGATTGGACTGGTCTCTCTGAGTTGTTGAAGTCCAGGCTGCTGCTCTGCATCATGCACAGTGCATATGTGATCCATTGTGTTTCCTTGCAGAGCATGAGCATGGTGTCTGGCTTTGCACCACTAATCACAGCTGGGATCTTTGGGGCCACCCTCTCCTCTGCTCTGGCCTGCCTTGTGTCAGCACCCAAAGTCTTCCAGGTGAGAGACAGGGACAAGTGGGACCGCTCAGCTAACCAGGAAATTTGGATTCCCCTCCCAACCAAAAGCCAGATCACAGTGCTAGGATCTGACTGCTTTGGGGCTGAGCTTGAACCTGCAGGAATGTGCTCTGAATCTGAATGCAAATGACCACAACTGTCCACAGAGTGTGAAAAACCACCAGCCTTATTTCCCCCATCAGTAAAAGAAGATGACTCCACATCTTCCTTGATATGCTCTGAAGTTGACTGTGAGATTAGATTGTGATATGTCAAGCTGTGATACATCAAGCATTTCATTGGGTAAAACTGCTCTAAAAATGATGATGAGCTTGAGCATGTTAATGAAATACAGAGCCCAGTCCTTTTATAAATGACAGGCAGTGGGTCATGATCCATTTGAACAGTTAAATTCCATATAGAGGTTGATATTCTGCCTGTTGTAAATGTATTTTATCTTCTACAAAGATAGATTTTATATGGACTATTGACACTTGTATCAAATAAAATTTATTTAGAGAAGAAAATTAATTAGAAAGAAAACAGCAGCAGGCCCCCCCCAAATGGATTCATACCAAACCAGAAGCTACTCAAACAAAATGGAAGCTGAATTTCATGAAAAGTCTGAGAGAACAGCAATGATTTCACCTGATAACTAAAAGACATTGGTGAGAGTGCCAGGTACATGTGTTTAGGAATGGAATTCCATAATTCCAGTGCCACCACTGAGAAGCCCTCCTCTCCAGTCATCGCCCCATTAACCTCAGGATGTGAAGGACACAGAGAACTGCCTCCAGTTTAAACCTTGACATTTCTGGGCATGTTCCTGATGGCTCGAAACCTTGTCATGAATAGCCATTTTGCATCTCCCCAACAGTGCCTTTGTAAGGACCAGCTCTACCCCGCCATTGGCTTTTTTGGGAAGGGTTATGGAAAAAACAACGAACCTATCAGGGGTTACATGCTGACGTACGTCATTGCGATTTGCTTCATTCTTATTGGTAAGTAATTCAGGAGGTCATGAAGTGGGGGAGGGGCAGAGTCTGATTTGACTCAGGGTGGGGCAAACAATGGCAATAGGATGGTCTTTAATTCTGGGTTGAAAGTCCTCAATGTTATGATTTAATAAATAACAACTACCCTACAAACACCTGATTCTGCGCTTTGAATAATTTGCACAAATGAACGGAACCTCCCTCCTTCTCTCTCCTCCTATCCCTGCAGCTGAACTGAATGCCATTGCCCCCATCATCTCCAATTTCTTCTTGTGTTCCTATGCACTCATAAACTTCAGCTGCTTCCATGCGTCCATTACCAACTCCCCAGGTAAGGGGTGCTATTTATTCATTGACTGTATATCCATCATGTTCTCCAAGGTGTTCAAGATGACACACATGGTTCTCCTCATCACAACACTGTGAGGTAGGTCAGCCTGAGAGGCAATGACTGGCCCAAGATCACCCAATGAGTTTCATGGCTGAGTGGGGATTTGAACCCAGCTCTCCCAGGTCCTAGTCGGACACTCTCACCACCACACCACTACTGGCTCATGGCGCTTAGCATCAAAAGTAGCACACAAGGTCAGGTCCTAGGCCACTTCCAGAGCCTCACTGTCGTGAGGATGGGAAGCTGTTCCTAGCAGATCTAAGCAGGTTTGTTCGCCATGCACTTGGGAGCAGAAGCTGAGCCCTTCAGTTGGTGCATGGCCTCATTGTCAGCCACTTATCATTCAGGATGGTGTAGTGGTGAACAAGCAGGGCTGCAAAATCTGGAAGTTGGGAAGCCTGATTTGGCTCATCCCTATAGCCCAGCTGCTTTTCCATATTGGGGTGTTTTTCCCCCTCCCCATTTAAATTTTATTACATGTTTACATTAAGCTAACATAATTTATCCAGCAGTGTCCTAAATAGTAGATACAGTGGTACCTTGGGTTACAGACGCTTCAGGTTACAGACTCCGCTAACCCAGAAATAGTACTTTGGGTTAAGAACTTTGATTTAGGATGAGAACAGAAATCGCACGGCGGCAGCGGGAGGCCCCAGTAGCTAAAATGGTACCTCAGGTTGAGAACAGTTTCAGGTTAAGAACAGACCTCCAGAACGAATTAAGTTCTTAACCTGAGGTATTGTGCATCAAATATATGTGGCTGAGTGGACAGATTGAGAGATTGATCTGCATCAGCTACCTGCTATTGAAATTTGTGTATGAAGTACAATAAGAAAAAATCAGGTTGCATTCATATCCTGCCATTGTGAGAACAGGATGCTGGACTAAATGGGCTCTCTTGAGCCTGATCCAGCAGGATCTTCTTATGTTCTTAACACAACTGAGCAAATAAAATGGCCAAACTAAATTAAAAATTACGCAATTTAAAACTCAGAGAACATCTCTGGGCCTTTATTTTAATGACAGTCACTAGAAACTTTCCATTCTTTGCTATCACCAGCTGATCCAAGATCCTCATGGAGAAAAACGATATAATAATCAGTTGGTTGCCCTGGATGAGATAATAGTAATGTGAATGTGTGAGTAATCTAGGCTCATGAAAGGTATTTAGGTTCTTTGCCCTATTTTATAAAATTACTCCAACAGCAAAGAAATAGTTCCCATGTTTCTCCTAATATAAGATCCATTGATCTTTGGGGATGGCAGATCAGTATTATCTGCAAGGCAGTTGCACAAGAAGATAGTGTATGTGCAGTGCTTTGATTGCCAATTATTCTGGTTCTCTTTCATTGTCACATTCACTCAGGTTGGAGGCCCTCCTTCAATTATTACAGCAAGTGGGTGGCTCTCTTTGGAGCCATTGTGTCCGTGGTCATCATGTTCCTGCTGACCTGGTGGGCTGCCCTCATCGCCATTGGAATTGTGGTCTTCCTGCTCGGATATGTTCTCTATAAGAAGCCAGGTATGTAACTGGGGAACCTCGGACCTGGCGGGGATGGGCAAATGTCTCTTCATCTGGCCCTCAGGACTCTTCCTGCAACACGCCCCCTCCCAGTCAAAGCCCCTTTCCCCCATTTAATGCCCTGCCCACTTTTGCCTGTGGCCCCACCCATCACTGGCATGTGACACCTCCCCTAATGTGGCTCAGAAGGGAATATGTGCAATCCAGGAGGTTGGACTAGATGGTGCCTAGGGTTCCTTCTGACTCTGCTGTGATTCTGTGAACACCAGCTACCATTAAGCAACAATAAATGCTCTGATCCTGCTTGGCTGTTTCTCTCTAGGGGTGAACTGGGGCTCATCCGTGCAAGCCGGTTCCTACAACATGGCCCTGAACTATTCTGTGGGGCTCAACGAGGTGGATGACCACATTAAGAATTATAGGTGAGGAAGTGTACAGTGCTATCTCCTTGGTGCTTATTGAAGACCCTCCTTTTCCAAGAAGCCTTTTAGGTCAATATATTTTTATCTTCGGCTGTGGGCATGCAATGAAGATGAATGTCAGGCAATTCAGGACTGAGAAAAAGAAGCGCTTCTTCATGCAGTGCAGAGCTAAACCGGCAGGCTCTTCTGATACCCTTATGTTCTGTATTGGACTTGAAATTATTTTTATGTGCTTTTTTTAGTGATGTTTTTATTGTTACATTATTTTGGGATGTTTTATGGGAAGCAATTCAAAATAAATGATGTCCAAAGTCAGGGTAAACAGGGAGCTCTTTAGCTGCCTGAGAAAGTGCCCCACTGTTGGTTCTTGTCTGAACTCCACAGGGAGCTCATTCCACACAATGGGAAGAGCAACAGAGGAGGCCTCAGCTGGCACAATCAAACCAATCACATCAACTTTGGAGGACTAGATGGGAATAGGTCTTCCGAGAGATAATCTGGTCCCAAGTGCAGACTTCTCATTGTTTCTCCCTCAGACCTCAATGCCTGGTGCTGACTGGCCCTCCCAATTTCCGCCCAGCCCTGGTGGACTTTGTGGGCACCTTCACCAAAAACCTGAGCCTGATGATTTGTGGGAATGTGTTGATTGTGAGTATTTATCGCCACAGGAGAATCAACTTTGCAGGTTGTGGACATCTATCTGTCTGTCTGTTGTATACTTCTGAAGGCACCAGGCTAGGAATTGTTTCATCTAGCAGCTCTTTTAGAGACAGTTGATTCTCTATGAATCAACCACCTACAGTGAACCCATGAGTTGTGAAGGCTAGCATACAGAACCCATGGTCTCAAAGCAGGGACCTTGGTGCCAAGAGAGGGCCATTTCAGACCTCCAGGTCAGTTTGTAAGCAAAAGAAATAGCTAGTTGGGTTGATCTCTACTGTGCTACAGCACTGTGGGTGGTCTGGAGTGGTACTGCAGATTCTGGCTCAGTAGGGATCAGGAGGCCCCAAAACCCAATTGAATCCCAGCATGAGCCTGTCAAAACGCTGGCTCTGGTTTCCTCAGTTTGATTTACTTGCTGCTACACCATGCAATCTACATGTGGAACCTGCTGCTTGCTTATGCACCACCAGCCCTGCAAGGCAGATGTCTAGAACACCCAAATGGCCCCCAATGGGAAGCTGACAGTAACCCCCACCCCTCAATTCCCATCTCCAGATGTTTAGGAGAGACTGGAACACTTGCCTTTTTTACACATTGTGTTCGCAACAGAAAACAACTGTGTTCACGCTGGAGTGGCCGCAGCAAATCTGGTTTCCCCATGAAAAGCATGATGAAAGCTGCATTTGATTCTGTTTGTTCCCCCTGGAAGGATAGTCAGCTAATTAAGCAGGACTGAATGATAGGCTCGGAAGATATGGAAGGCAATCACTTCCAGCTGCAGCTTAATTGCCAAGGCAGAGATCAGAAGCTGCTTTTTGAAAGCAGGGCACATTAATCACAGGATGGCATTCTGCTTCCAGATTATCTCTTATTCTCTGCCTGAGGTGCAGCAATTGCAGATGTGGTGGCTGATCAATGGGGAAATGATTGGCCCCTTTGCATTATTAAGCTGGCCAAATGCCAAATTTAAAAACAACAACACAGAGGTACCCCTTAGCTCAAACTTCCTGGGCTCTGAAGGCCTTTCTTCAAACTGCAGACATGAGGAAGTGGCATGTGGTTTCTCACTAGTATAAGAAGGAGCCTCTGTGCATGCTCAGAGGGATGGCTTACACCTTTTGTGATTGAAATAGGATCCTAGGTGCAGGTGGCACCCAGGAGACAAGCCCAGGGATGGGATCTGATCATAGGCCCTGTGTCCAGCTTGGACTTTAACTCCCATCAGCCCCATTCAGCACGGCCAACAGTTAGATATGGTGGGAGTTGTAGTCCAAAACATCTGGAGGGCGCCACATTAGTGAAGTGCAATTTGGATAACTTGATGGTCACACGAGTCAGGAAGGGTGTGCCTGTCTTAAGCCACCCGCCCTTGGGTCTCCCACTGTTTTCTTCTGCTTTCTCACAGGGGCCAGGCAAACAGATGATGTCTGAGTTCCGTCTTGCTTCCAGAGGCCACGTCAAGTGGCTGACCAAGCGCAAAATCAAGTCTTTCTATACTGATGTCTTAGCTGAGGACCTGAGAACTGGAGTTCAGATTCTTATGCAGGTAAAAATCAAACAAAAAGAAAGAAATCTTGAAATGCTGAAGGTAAGCAGGCAGCCCATGTCTACGACTGCTACATTGAAGAATCCTTAAAACGATTATTGTGAAAGTTCAGTATTCATTGGGCAAATTAACTGTTGTTTCTTACTGTCTGTTTTCAGCAGCCGTACTTTGTGGCAGAATGCGGCATGCTGGTGGCATTACTGAGGGCATTGTCCTGCTGCTTTCTCCTGAGGAAAACTGCTCTTTAGCACTCAGTCAGAACAAATGGCAATTTGAGTTTTATCTGGATTGACGTTTCCTTTGATTTAGCACTAAAGAGCAGGTTATCCCTGGGAAAAGACTGGAGGAAGGGGGGAACCATTCAGACCTGTGGTTTCTAGGAAAAGGACAAGTGTGGATGAGCCCTGAGTTAAGTTTAGAGAAAAAGCGAGTAGGAGGTGACAAGATAGAAATTTATAAAATTACGCATGGCATGAAGAACTTGGCTAGAAAATCCCCACCCCCCGCCCAGTTGTTTCCACCCAAGTTCAGCCCCTTGAGGAATGAGGAGGGAGTGTCAGTGTGGTCTATAATGATACCCCCTTGTTCTCTGCTTTGATAAAGGCTTCCGGTCTTGGGAGAATGAAGCCCAATGTCCTTGTGATTGGTTACAAGAAGAATTGGCAGGCTGCCCATCCACAGACGGTGGAAGAATACATTGGGATTCTGCAGTAAGTTGGGTCATGGCATGGGATCCATTTAAATGATTTAGCGGCTGCAGCTGTCTGTGGCCACCATTAGCACCAGGGATGGGCAGATGTGTCTGTTTATGACTTGGGCAAATTTTCCATATATTCATTTATAAATCGGCTCCCGTCTTGACCAACACTGAGGCTAAGGAAGAAGAGGAGGCTGACAGGCAGGGCCATCCTATGAGCTGCTTGTAAATAAGAAGGCAGGTGGGGGGCTGGCTGCAGGGCAGATGTGGGTTGGTGGGCAGTGCCCCATTTGCCTTCATGGAGACCAGCCTCTGCTGATTCCAACCAGGACTTCTGAGATGTGTCTTACATTGACTCTGGCAGCCCTTTGGTTTTGTCTTCCAGTGATGCTTTTGACTTCAAATATGGCGTGTGCATGATGCGGATGAAGGAGGGGCTCAACATCTCCAGGCTCGTGCAGTCTCACAGTGAGTTCCTCCACCACATCCTGTCTGGGCAAGAGGCTTCCTATAGTTGAGTTGATTTGCCTAAAAGGATGCAATTGGGAACTGAGGAGGCAGCCTCTAGCTCCGTGTGACCCGAACATTGCCTGGCAGCAGCTCTCCAGAGTTTGAGGCAGGTGTTTCTCCCAGCCCTACCATGAAATGCCAAGGATTAAACCTAGGACCTTCTGCATGCAAAACAGATGCTGTAACCACTGAACTGTGGGACACAGAAAAGAACACAGGAAGCTGCCTTTGGCATTTGGACCATTGATCAATCTAGCTCAATGTTGTCTGCAATGACTGGCAATAGCGCTGTAAGATTTCAGAGAGGGGACAATTCCTAGACCTATTAGAGACACTGCCGAGAATTGAACCTGAGACTTTTGGCCCTTCCCAGATGATATGCTGCACTCAACATTAAACGGCTCATCACAAGCCATTGTTCAGTGTTAGGCACAAGGCCAAGAGGCGAGGCAAACAAACACAAAAATCAAATAAATCTGATCTTGCTTTTTTGGGTCCTTCTCACTAGTGTAAGGAGGAAATGAATCACAATCCTTGTTACCATCCAACTGCTGAGGGGGTTTCTTTTGCTCCAAGCCAACCTCCAGAGCAGCTTTTCCAAACTTGATGGCCTTGTGATGTTTTGGACTACAACTCCCATCAGCCCCCAGCCATGGCTGTGTTAGCTAAGGCTGGAGGGAGATGTAGTCCTGGGCAGCTGGAGGACACCAGGCTGAGGAAGAGTGCTCCATTGTGTTCATTGCATATTCTCTTTCCTCTAGTTAACCCCGTGTTTGACCCAGCAGAAGATCCACAGAAGAACATTGAAGAGCCTCCTGTGATAAGTACATGTCAGTTCCCAGCAGGTTCATTTCTTTGACCTCTAGTGCTCGTCTTTCTGTTAAGACTGTCTTACCTGTGGGGAAAGTGATTGACTTGGGCCACAGCTGGAAGGCCTTTGAAATCAGGGTGTGCAACTCAGAGGTTTGATTTCTTCTCCTATAGCACAGGAAGAGAAACCTGTCATCTTGGGCCCTGTCTTGACCATTCTCCTATCGTGTCCTGCTTGTGACCTTTCCTCATCGATCTGGTTTGGCCACTGTGAGAACAGGATGCTGGACTGGATAGGCCTTAAAAGGATCTAGGACAGTAGCCAGATTAGCCAACATGGTGCCTTCCAGAAGTTGTTGAACTACAGCTCTCATCATTCCGGCCCATTGGCCCTTTTGACTGGGGCTGATGGGAGTTGGAGTCCAACATCTGGGGGATTACAAAGTGAATATTTAATTCTGTTGGTTATGCTTACTCCTAGGATTTATGATTTCTGCCCTAGCTTTGCAAATGAGATACAAATAAAAACAATCCCACATTCATTTTGCCCCCCCCCCCGCCCAATTTGGTTACTCTCTGAGTCAGGAACACATCAGCCCCATGTAAACATCAGCTCCAAGTTGCCATCATGTTCTACTGTCTCCTACAAGGCCTGTGTTATGCCAAAATTACTGAAACACATTTTACCATGTGATAAGTAAGCTGCCTGTGACACTAGGGATGGCATTTTCTGAAAACTTCCATGCTCGGTTTCTCGGCACATATTTCCCCCCCAGTTCCCATCTGGCTCCTAGATTTCAAGAAGAAATGAGCTGTTTATTTACCAGTCACACTAAAAATACAAACTATTCTCAGATTATATATGCATCATCATAGTATAGTATGTATAATTATATTACATATGCGCATATATATATATATATATATATATATATTCCAGGTTTCCTAAACTAACCAGCACATACATATAACTATATAAAAATACATACATATTAATACTTGTAAAAAAATCTTGCAGAAATACATGGCAGCATGGGACTTGGCTCTTTTATACATAGTTAGTCCCACTCAGAGGAGACCCACCAAAACTGATGGTCTAACTTAGGTACATCAGTTCTGACGAGTCTATTCTAAGTAGAATGTAGCTGGCTACAACTCAATATATAATTTACATATTTTTGCATATAATTAGATGGTTGGGTTTTTTTTTAGTTTCCTAATGAACAGAATGGGAAGTGGAGCATCTCAAGAGGGATTTCATAAGCTTGCAAATTCACTTGGTGAGTGGCATTTGAAATCCTGGGCACTCTCTTACTCATGCAGTGGGGATCCTTTTTATTATTATTCCTAGTGGACCCTGATGCCTTGGTAGCAGAACAGCAAGCAAGCACTGCCTTCCAGATAGAGCAGGGCAAGAAAACCATTGACATCTACTGGCTCTTCGATGATGGAGGTAATTTCAGCATCCTTCTCCCACATAGGTAAGGATTTGTGGTACCAAAGGAGCGTTGCGCCTTCTGGTCCAAACCTCTGCTTGGAGCCATCACTGCCATTTTTGCTTTGGGGGTCCTGGGTCAATGGCGTCCCTTTTTCATAAGGGAACAGTTAGGGCCACAGGCACCAGCTTATGAGGATGATGGAAGGGGAAACGTCACACGCACAATGTCCCAATATTGCACACGTGAGCATTGTGCCTCCCTCAATAAACTGGGTAGAAGCTTCCCAAGCTTTGGGAAGGAGGCAACACGCTTTAATACTTTAATACTCTAATTTACTAGGAACATTTAGGGGACTAGCCTACTCCCCCTAAGGCCTGAACCAATGGATTCAAAGTACGAATAACAAAAAAGGAGATTCCAACTAAACATTAAGATGAATTTTCTGATGGTCATAGCAGTTCAACAGTGGAACGGACAACCTCAGAAGATGGTGGACTCTCTTTCATTGGAGGTTTTAAAACAGGTTGGATGGCCATCTGTCAAGGATTCTTTAGCTGTGATTGTTGCATTGCAGAGGGGCGGACCAGATGACTCCTGAGGTCCCTCCTCACTCTACAGTTCTACAATTCTTTGGTCCCAGGGGCTGATCTGAGGCACATGATGCAGCAACCTTGCTAAAGCTAAGCTGGCTTGGGTTTGGCCACTCCTTGGATGAAAGGCCACCTGAGAACCTTGCCTATAGCCACCACAGGCTCCGTCTTGGAAGTACAGTGTGATATAAATCAGTATTTGCCAACCTGGGGCCCTGGAGATGATGGGAGTTGTAGTCCAAAACATCTCTAGGGCACCAAGTTGAAAAAGACTGAAATAAACGAAGGATTCCCAGACTCCATTTTCTCCAGGGTTATAGCTATTTGATGAAGAGCCATTCTGTGTTCTTACTTGGCAGGCCTGACACTCCTCATCCCTTACCTCCTTGGGCGCAAGAAGAGGTGGGGGAAGTGCAAGATCCGGGTGTTTGTCGGAGGGCAGATCAACAGGATGGATGAAGAGCGCAAGGCGTAAGTCTAGGACTGCTTGTGCCCTCAGTTGGATTTGTATCCCTTGTGCTCTGGGAGAGGGCTGTGGTAGTGCTCAGGCCCTTCTTGCGAGCTTCCCATTGGGGCATCTAAAAGGCTATGGTTACAAAAGTAATTAGGCTATCTATAGAATTAAAACAATGCAAAAAAAAATATGTATCTATTAAAATGCAGGTTGTGGGAGAAATGACAGGAGGGTGCCAGGCTGAGGAAGGCTGGTCCAAGATGCATAGCAAAATTCCTAACATGCAGAGAGGTTATCACATTTTAGTTATCCTCAGAATGTAAAGAATCAATGTGTGCACTGGGCATAGGAAAACATAAAAACGAAACCGCTGCCCCCTGCAAAAGGTACTACTGGTCTCTTTTTCCTCTTGCAGGATCATCTCCTTGTTAAGCAAGTTCCGACTTGGGTTTCACGAGGTCCATATTCTTCCCGACATCAACCAGAAACCCCGACCTGAACAGTAAATCAAGACTTAACTGTAGTTTCTTGCTCATCCAGTTTAATAATCTGCAATTGTCTTTTTTATTGTTATTTTGTTTATTTAAACTTTGATGGGTTTTTTTTTTTACTTATTCCTTAAATTTTAAGGTTTGTTATATAAATAATAATAATACAGGATGACTGTGTTAAATGCATAACATGACTTCCTGTTTTTTGCAGTGGTTATGCATATACATTAAAGATTGTGTAATAATTTGTATCAGAAGCACCTAACATTTTACATTAGAAAAATTAGCTAGAAATATGACTTTTAAAACTATGTGGAAATGTGGCGAACTTAAGGTTTTGATGGAGGACAGGGCTGTCAGTGGTTACTAGACACAATGACTAGGTTTCTCCCTCTACTGTTGGAGGCAGTTTGCCTCTGAATCCCAGTTGCTGGAAACTAGAGGGGAGGGGATTGGGCTCTTGTGCTCAGGTCTTGCTTGTAGGCTTCCCTCAGGCATCAGGTTAGCCACTGTGAGAACAGGATGATGGCCAATATGGGCCACTGGCCTGATCCACCAGGGCTCTTCTAATGTTCTCAAGGCTAGAAAAACAAGAAACTGAAACTGAGATTTGTCCCCAACTTGGTATTACAGACCTGTACGGGTCCCCACAGCTGACAGTTTCATGTTGGATGCTGGAATGTTCTGGGGAAGAGAGATCCTAGGCAGTCTATTTGGTTCAGGCAGAAACAATACCACCTAGTCACTTACAAGATCTCCATGGTTTTGTTAACAGTGTGAAGAGATTTGACGACTTAATCGCCCCATTCAGACTGAACGATGGCTTCAAAGACGAGGCGATGGTGAACGAGATGAGGCACGGCTGCCCATGGAAGATTTCCGATGAGGAAGTCATGAAAAATAAAGCTAAGGTCTGATGGTCTCGCTGGCCATGTGGAGAGTGGGCTTTGCCATCACAAAAAGTGAAAAATAATTGCTGCCTCCTCTCAACGGGTCCCAAGGCCTTTAATGCAGGGGTGGCTGACCTGTGGCCCTCGAGATAGCACTGGACTTCTGCATTGTTGTAGCATGCCCTTCTTCCCTCTCCCATTCACGAAAGATCACCCATCAATTGCTTCAGGCAACTCATAAAGGCATCTCTTTTTGCCCTGACTTTCCCTGACCCACAAGATTGGACTATCTTATTACTGAATTCCTGTTGTTGTTTTTTAATAACACTGTTTTGTTGGTTTTCAAATTGTATCTCTGTTTTTATACTTTCATTGTTTCTATGTTGCATTTTTGAATACAGTGGGCCTGCAAATTACATGGGGCGGCGGGGGGGGGGGTCCACGAGCAAAGGCAAAACTGTGTAGAGTCAGCATACCCCTGGAATCTCCCTCCCAGCTGCACAACCATCCCTACCTGTCTGGAGTGGGTATTGCCCTCTATCTCCTTTTCCAGGCTCTGGTAAGGTCATGTGATCTTCCCAGTACCCAGTAAGCAAGGCAGAGGGCCCAAAAGCTCTACAGTGGAAAATAACTTTTTAAGCCCCCCTGTCTTGCTTATTGGGTTCTGGGAAGGTTGTGCAAGATCTTGGGTGGCTCCTTCTGACTCCTCACTCCCAGTTTCCAGTTATTTATTTTCCCCACACAAAGCTGCAATGATGTAAGTAAATTACATGTAAATTGTGGGACCACTGTACCGCCGAGAGATTTTTTAGTGGTTTACAATGCTTTTAAATAAAAAGAAACAATAATAAACCCCAGTTGGCATGGCCAACATTCAGGGGAAGTATATGTTCAGCAACATCTGGGCTTTAAAGCACCTTCGTAGCATATTCATTCCCTCAACAAACTCTGGGCACTGTAGTTTACGCCTCACAGTTACAATTCCCAGCAACACTTAACAAACCACATTGTTCAGAGTGGTTTTACAGCCGGCCCCTCTTCCCAAGGAACACTGGGAAATGTAGCTCTGTGAGAGGTAACAGGAGTGTCCGAACAAATCTCAGCACGCTTAACAAACCGCAGCTTACAGGAACCTTTGAGGGAAACCATGACTGTTTAAAGTGCTTTCAAAGCTTTAAATTCATGGTGTAAATGTGGCCTTAATCTCTGCATTTACTGTCTATTCTCTCTTCCTCCCTTCAGTCACTTCGACAAGTAAGGATGAACGAAATCCTGCTGGATTACTCGCGAGATGCAGCCCTCATCTTCATGTAAGTAAGACAAGCCACCAACCAACTGACCAACCTGAGTTTTTGCATGTGCTTTGTGAAATGTTGACCTTACAAAGAAGTATGGCTGGAAATGCATTGATACGGGCTAGGCCTGCACAACCCAGCAAGCTGAAGCAACCATGCATGGTGGCCTCCAAGGGCCTTGTCTGTTGTGGAGGTGGGGGGAGGATTAACAAAATCAATCCTTAATAATAAAGAAAACTGTAACCAAACATAATGAGAGACACTAAATACAACAACAGGAGGCAACACGCAATGAAGGGAGGGGCTGATTTTAGAGCAAAACACACAAGCCCCGCCCACCAGATAACAAGCACTATACTATTCAAATTAGGCCCCAGTGTTTTTCTTACATTGACAACTCTCCTGGGACTGCAGTCCCGGCAGGCAGGATTTGCAGGTGCCCCCTCTCAGGTCTCAGGAGGGTTGCCATGCGTAGCTAGAGTGGGCTGCATTCAGCAAAGCACAGCAGATGTTGTGCAGGCCAGATTTAGATTGAGCAGCTGCGTCCCCAGCCTGGTAAACCTCTAGATGTTCTGGGCTATAGCTTCCGTCAGCTCTTGCCACCCAGCTACTACAGGTCTCTGGCCGTGCCATAAAAATAAAAAACCAGCTGTATTTACAACGAACAAACCCAAGCTGTTCTATGCTTTCTCCACCTTTTTTTTCTAGAACGCTGCCGATAGGCCGAAAGGGAAGATGTCCTAGCAGCCTCTATATGGCTTGGCTGGAAACCCTCTCGCAGGACCTGAGACCCCCCGTCATCCTGACCAGGGGCAACCAGGAGAATGTCTTGACCTTTTATTGCCAGTGATTCTTGGGCAGCTGAATCAAGATGAAGTTGTTCCAGGCCAGATCCTGCTCTTAGGACTTGGGCCTTCTGGAGGGTTTGTTTCTGGTGGTGGAAGGTCCACAATAAAAGACTTGTGGTGTGAATGATGAATATTCCTGAGCTGTGGTGTGAATGATGGATATTCCGCCCTGCCACAAGTTGTTAAGAGGAATAATCTGACCAATGGTCTCTGGTAGATTTTGATGGATTGCTGAGGGGATGTGGTTCACCATGTGTCCTGCTGTACAGAGGAGAGTCCTTGAGTTGAAAGCATCCTCTACTTCAGGTGTGGTGGTATTTCCTGCCCCCCATATGTTGCTGAACTACAACTACCATCACCCCCTGGCCATGTTTGCTGGGGCTGATGATGGGAGTTGTAGTTCAGCAACATCTATAGGGCCAAAACTTCCCAGTTTAATGGTTGCTCAGTCTAAGTTAAATAGGGTTGCCATATTTCAAAAAGTAAAAATTCCTGACATCTGCAAAGTTGGGTGTTTTTTTTGGGGGGGGGGAATAGTGATTTTAATCTTCTGGAACTGTTCCTGCTGTTTTCCCACCACATTGACATACATCCAGGTTTTCCATGACATTTTCCCTGATGCCACTTTTACACCTGAAAACCAGGACGTGTCAGGAATTTTCCTGATGTATGGCAAGCCTAAAGTTAAAGACTAATAAAATTATGGGTGGGGGCGGGGCTCGCAGTAGTCCATCATTAATTAGAACCCGGGTGGCAGATTGAGCAAGTATAGAGGTTGACACCTTCCCCACTATGGTGAAATGGATTGTATTTCTATTCAAACTGTAGCAATTCTTTCCAAATTTGCATCTATACCTATAAAATATCACATGCACTGTTCACGCAAATCTGCGTCCTCTTTTTTGCCAATGCACTAGTGACCACCCTATGAGCAGGAGGGAAGAGCCTGCCCTCAAAATGTTGCATAATTGGTTGCCCCCCCCCCATTCCCTCAAAAAGCTTCAGAGTCGTCAAGGCAACCAACCTGCATCAAGTAGGTCCATCTCCTGACTATCCCACTGGGCACTCGTCATGGAGAGGGGCTCTAGGCAAAAGGCCCTCTGGTGGGAGTCCCCTGTTCCAACCCCTGGTTGGCTTAAACCTGATTGGGTGGGAGGACCTTGCTTCAGCGCATGGGACACATTCTCTTCTGGGCTACCTTCCACAGGGCAGCTATAGGTGGGGCAAGAAGCAATGAATGTAAAATTTTGCCTTTTGTACGGTGAGCTATTTTCTACACCCACACACTCCTCAATCCCCCTTAAAAGGAGCAAGAGGCACAACCAGAGAGGCCTGGAGGGACATATCCAGTGCCTAGGCTTAATGTTCCGCACCACCAGCTTACCTGGTGCCTACAGTGGGTGGCAGTGGTAGCAGCAGTGGTAATGAGCAATGCCAGGGGGCTGGGTCTTGTTGCCACTTTACTTCCACACAATAACCCTCCACACTGTATCATCCTAGAGCATTGTGGGAAATTCAAATGGTAGTTACATCCAGCTAATCCAAAATGCGGCAGCCAGACTGGTGACTGGGAGTAGCTGCCAAGGCCATATTACACCAGTCCTGAAAGACCTACATTGGTTCCCAGTACGTTTCCAAGCACAATTCAAAGTGTTGGTGCTGACATTTAAAGCCCTAAACGGCCTCAGCCCAGTATACCTGAAGGAGCATCTCCATCCCCATCGTTCTGCCCGGACACTGAGGTCCAGCGCCAAGGGTCTTCTGGCGATTCCCTCCCTGCGAAAAGTGAGGTTACAGGGAACCAGGCAGAGAGCCTTCTTGGTAGTGGCGTCTGCCCTGTGGAACGCCCTCCCATCAGATGTCAAGGAAATTAAGAACTATCTGACTTTTAGAAGACATCTGAAGGCAGCCCTGTTTAGGGAAGTTTTTAATGTTTTAAGTTTTATTCTGTTTTTAGTCCTCTGTTGGGAGTCGCCCAGAGTGGCTGGGGAAACCCAGTCAAATGGGCGGGGTATACCATAAATAATAAAATTATTAAATTATTACCGGTATTATTATTACCGTAGCTATCTGGTGCTGCAGTTTAGACTCTGGGATGCATTTGGAGACCTTCTTGCTCATTCTGCTGAGTGGGGTGGGGCCATGGACTGTTGTCCCAAAGCTCTGCCCTGATGGGGCAAAGTCTCCAGGAATTGTTTTTTTTTTTTAATGGTGTGTGTGTATTAAAAAAGTAGGCATCTCAAGGGCAGAGAGTTCTGGGATGGGGCTCAGGACGATAAGATCCTGGACACCAGTTTGGAAGGTGACTCGGAAGTCTTTGTGATGAAGAAGAGCCAAAGATTATTCACACCCCACAGCCCACCAGTCCATCTCATATCTGATGAGAGCTCCAGAGCCCCTGTGACTCTTCTGGGTATGAGAAGGGCAGGCCTTCCTGCAAGCAGAGATTCCCCTTGGCCTAGAGCCAACACCTACAATCCTACAAGGAGATCAGTGTGACATTTGGGCAATGAACTCATGTACAGCCCCAGGGCGACATGTGGGACCTGCCAGAGAAAACACAAGGACCAAACGGCACTGGGGGAAACAATTGCCATGGTTCAAGGAAATAAACAGCTGTCTCTCTTTTTTTTCTAATCACATCCTGGCTTAGACCCAACCAAGCAGTAGCTTTTCTCCCTATTTTCCAGTGGCAGATCACTGGGGGGAAATGATCGTCGTCCCAATGTACTCTTGCATCATTTCACATGTGTTGACAGTGGCAACTCTCTCTGCCTTATTCTGCCCACCTGTGCCTGTCTGTCTTCCCTGTTGACTTGCAAAATCCCAACCAGTTAATCACATCCATACCATACAGCTGAACCACATGGTTCTCCCGCCAAAAAAAATCCTGAGAGCTATAGGTTCTTAAAGGTGCTAGGAATTGTAGTTCTGTGAGCTATAGCTCCCACAATTTTTTTTCTGGGGTGGGGGAGGGGGAGCTATGTACTGTAGTTTAAATGTGTGGTGTGGATGTGACCTGAGATTTACAACAAAATGTTGTTGTGTAGAGCCAGCCTGTCATGCCCATTTCCAGGACACTCCATTCCCTCTCCCTTTATTATTATCAGTTTTTGTTGGTGTTATATTTGTTTGCTTTTTACAAAACATCTCCAAGCAACTTACAAAATATTAAAATACATCACTGCCTCCTGTGGGAGCAAATTCCATATTTTAGATTATGCACCATGGAAAGAAGACTTTCTTTGGTCTGTCCCGAATCCTCTAATTCAGCTTCCTTGGATGTCCACCAGTTATGAGAGAAGATTTTATTCTCTACCCACATTCTCCATGCCATGCATAATTTCATAAACTTCTATCATGCCACCTCTTACATTTATGTAAACTGAAAAGCTCCAAATTTTGTAAGCTTTTCACCTAGTGGAATTGCTTCTTCCCCTTGAATATGCTGGCTACCCTGTGAGTTTCATTAGAGCAATCAAACATTTCAAATATTTTTTGCTCAGAAAACAAATGTTTTAATGCTTGGTCACAATCATCAGTTTGTCGGCCAAGATTCAGACTTTTATTTTTCAGTTACTATGATTTCCTTTAGGGTGTATTCACAAACATTGAACACTGTACATCTTCACCCTTTGTCAGCATAGTGTGTGTGTGTGTGTGTGTGTGTTCATGTACTATTTATGTGTGTTCCTATATCTTTGTAAATAGTTTCAGGATTGCATCAGCTGTTTTAACCTGTTTTGGAGGGTAGAGGAGCATATCCATTATTGAACAGTGTGAAACAAACAGCTGCTCACAAAGTTCTGTGCAGGTTTCCAGGACACTTGCTTTGGAGATTGCTGGCAATGGGCTGCGCTCAGCATGTAGATAAGCAGGTGTCAGCTTTCCCCTCAAGTGCACCCATTTAACAGGTATGACACACCTGAATGTCCACTGGGTGTTCTCAGACAAAGTGGAACAGCACACAGTGGATGTTCACTGTCCAAGCATTGTCCCTACAAGTGTAGTCAATGCTGGCAAGTGAAAGCAGCAGTTTTGAGGCCATAGGGAGCTGCCTTCTGCTGCATCTGTCTTAAATCTATCCAGCTCAGCATTCTACACACAGAAAGGTTCCAAACATGGTTTCCAGAATGACACCTACCTGGAGATGCTGGGGACTGAACCTGGGACCTTCTGCATGCAAAACATGAGCTATGGCCAGCATGATGGCTCCCTATTACACCATTTGACTTTCCATCTATGCCCATCTATGTCCATGCCTCTTGCTCACACCATTTTGAACCAGGAAATCATGACTTCCGGGTTGACGCGATCTGGAAATGGCGGATTCCCTCCGAGCTCCGGAGGGAACCGGCTCCACTGAGGATGGGTCTTTGCCGCGCCGGCGACGCGGGGACCCTTAAAAACCGCAGGCGCGGAAGCCTGCGGACTGAAGACTCGGCGGGTGCCTTAAGCGCCCCCCCTGATTCGCAAAGAGCCTTTTTAAAGGCTGCGGAGGGGATACGGGGGTGGCGTGGCACTGAGAGTCGATCGCTACCTCGGTGGAGTGAAGCCGCGAGCCAGGACCAGAGAGCGCTGACTTCCTTCCTTGAAAATTTGGACTGAAAGAATTACCCGTGAGTAAGACGGATTGGGACTATATAAAATTTTACCTTGAATTGGAGACGATCGGGGGGTGTGCTAAAAGGAAGTCCGCACCCCCCCTCTTGCAGACGACCTAAGCAACGGCATAAGAGCTAAGCTGGAGAGCCTACCCCTGGTGGGGTGAGTTAAAAAGGACATTAACTTCTAAGATTTAACTAAAGGAAATTTTGGGCTGGAGAGTGGAGTTTTGGGAACTTTCTTTTTGCTTCAAACAACCCCCCCTCCCGGGCCCAGGAACGTCCTGCCTCGGTGCCTGTGTAAGAGCTGCGGAGTTTGACAGCTGTCAAAGCTGCCAAACGGTCGGTTTAAAGTGCAAAAATTGTCATCTCTTGACTAAGACGAGTTACAATTGAGCTAAAATCGTTGGAAACAAAGTAATAATAATCAGTGAAAGGATTGTTGGTGAAAAGGCTAATAAGTAACCAGATTCCCCCTAGGGGGAATTCTGTGAAACTACAATGGATACAATGGCTGTGGAAGGAAAGTTACTGGTGGAAATTGAAAGGATGTTTCAATTGGTGGGAACTTTACAAGAGCAGAGCTTGGCCATGAATAAACAGCTTGAGACTATGACCTTGGGAACAGGCAACTCTGCTCTTTGTATTGAGGACCTCAACGAGAAAGAATTCACAGCTGAATGGGAAACAATATCTACAGAGTTGGAAGAGACTAAACAACAAGAAAAAGAAGAAGTAATCCTGGGAAGTAACAACCAAAAGTTGACATCTGCGGAACATAAGCAAGGAAACGCTGGGAACATATCTACTACAAGTCTGCGAAAGATACAGAAGAAGAAGAAGGAGGTCCCGGGACAAAATGGAACACAGAAATTTAAAATAAAGAAATATGCTTGGGGCCTCCGTTTGGACTTTGATCTTGAAGAGATAGGCTTTGTGGAAATTCTTCAGCAGTTACTTTTGAACCCCCTTGTGGGAAGAGGAAACACTTTGATGGTGAAAGAACTTTTCCCAGACTTGATGACTGACATAAAGGGCTACCAACGGGACAGGCGGAGAGGGACTGAAAGGGATTTGAAAGCCTCGGACGTGAGGAACCCAGGCTGAGAAATTCGAATTTGGACTTTTATTGGGAAGGGACAAAAACCGGGGATGGGAGGGAGGGATGAAGAGACTCTTAAAAACTCTTAAGACTTTTAGGTTTGGTTAATATGACTCTTAATTAAGATAAAATGAAAATCGATGGAAGAGAACTTAAGTCCAACTTAGGAAAATTAATTTTTATTATAAAATAAGGTGATGAATAACATTGTTAAGAGGAGAAATACCAACTTGCTGATATAATCTTGAAACTGGGATGCACGAGGGGAGGTGGGGGGAAGTCAGGGAACAAGTTTATGAAACGGGGATTGGTTGATTTTATACATGTTTTTGTCTTTTTCTTTTCTTTGTGTATGTTTTGTCTTTATAAAACCAGAAAACCAAATAAAATTTTTATAATAGAAGAATTGGGGGACAAAGAGTTTAGTGGGGGCATTTGCAAGGGGGAGTGTATGTTGTGTGCTGGAGGGGAGGGAGTAACACCCCCAATCTTTATAAAAATTGCATTAACAGATGCTTTATCGTTGGGTGTCAGCGTTGCTTGTGCAGGTTCTTTGCTGTTCACTTGTGTTCCTATATATATTAAGTTAAATAGAATCCCCCTGGCGGGTGGAGGGGGGGGAGGTGGAGGCAGTGAGAGATTTTGCTTTCTTGGGCTCCGTGGTCGCTGCGGGTGGTGGCGGCAGCCATGAAGTTGGGGGACGCCTGCTTCTTGGGAGAGACGCGGTGGCGGGCCTGGACAGCGTCTTGGGGGGCGGGGACATCGCCTTGCCAACGGAGGTCCGTGTGGTGGGGGCTCTGGTTTTCCCAGGTTAGCATAGGCTAGGCAAAACTATCACAAATGGGGAGCAGACATGAAGGAAAGACGAATTATGGTGATTAAGCAATCTGTGGTCCTAGTAGTTTGGAGAGCAAAGGGCAAAAATTTGGTCTGAAGCTCAACATAAAATAATAAAATCATGGCCACTGGTCCCATCACCTCCTGGCAAATGGAAGGGGAAGAAATGGAGGCAGTGAGAGATTTTACTTTCGTGAGCTCCATGATCACTGCAGATGGTGACAGCAGCCACGAAATTAAAAGACGCCTGCTTCTTGGGAGGAAAGTGATGACAAACCTAGACAGCATCTTAAAAAGCAGAGACATCGCCTTGCCAACAAAGGTCCGTATGGTTAAAGCCATGGTTTTCCCATTCCACTGCCTCCCGCAGTTTGGTCAAACTCTTGCTGGTAGCTTCGAGAACACTGTCCCACCATCTCGTCCTCTGTCGTCCCCTTCTCCTTGTGCCCTCCATCTTTCCCAACATCAGGGTCTTTTCCGGGGAGTCTTCTCTTCTCATGAGGTGGCCAAAGTCTTGGAGCCTCAGATTCAGGATCTGTCCTTCCAGTGAGCACTCAGGGCTGATTTCCTTATGAATGGATGGGTTTGATCTTCTTGCAGTCCATGGGGCTCTCAAGAGTCTCCTCCAGCACCAGAATTCAAAAGCATCCATTCTTTGGCAATCAGCCTTCTTTATGGTCCAGCTCTCACTTCCATACATCACTACTGGGAGGGCCATGGCTTTTACAGTGCGGACCTTTGTTGGCAGGGTGATGTCTCTGCTTTTTGAGGTGCTGTCTGGGTTTGCCGTCGCCTTTCTCCCAGGGAGCGGGCGTCTTTTGATTTTGTGGCTGCTGTCGCCGTCTGCGGTGGTCGTGGAGCCCGGGAGGGTGGGGTCTCTCGCTGCCTCCGTTTCTTCCCCTTCTATTTGCCAGGAGGTGATGGGACCAGTGGCCATGATCTTCGTTTTTTTGATGTTGAGCTTCAGACCATATTTTGCGCTCTCCTCTTTCACCCTCATTAAAAGGTTCTTTAATTCCTCCTCACTTTCTGCCATCAAGGTTGTGTCATCTGCAAATCTGAGGTTGTTGATATTTCTTCCGGCAATCTTAATTCCGGCTTGGGATTCATCCAGCCCAGCCTTTCGCATGATGAATTCTGCATATAAATTAAATAAGCAGGGAGCTGTTATGGGACTGCAATTCCCATCATCCCTGAACACTCATCTTGCTAACTAGGGATGATGGGAGTTGTACTGCAAAAACAGCTGGAGCCCCAAGCTTGGGAAATACTGCTCTAAAGCATTGCAATACTGTACAGGAGAAGCAGCGCCAATCAAAGCGCGCCACAAAGCCATCGGATTGAAAAAAGACACAGATTAAAACCCAGTACTCGGGGCAGGAGACGCCGGGGAGGCCTGCGTGTTCCTAAAGGCTGGCAGGATGCCGATGGCGATGCGGGGCAAATTCCCTGGCATTTCATTTAAAGACTACTTGCAGAAATACTGTAAAATTAATGAATGTTAAAGGGATGTTGGATTGAAAATAAGCGGTATTGGTAAAAAGATTAACAAGAATATGTAAATACGGATTGACAATGGTTGAAAATATATAGTTATAATAGGTTAAGATATTGAGTAAAGATAAATGATAGAGGGTAAGGATTTGCTGAATTAACCATGTGAACTGGAATACAAAAAAGGGGGGTGTGAGGAGGTCAGGAAACAAGTAAATGAAATATAAGACATGAAAATATTGATTTCTTTTTAATTTTTTTTTTACTTTTTATGTATTTTGTCTTTGTATTTTTGTATCTCTTTTTCTTTTATTATTGTTATTTTTTTTTATTTCTTATTTTTAATTTTGGAACCATTTATTGTCTGTAAAATTTCAATAAATATCATTTTAAAAAAAAAAAGAACCAGGAAATCATTCTCCCCTCTTCTCAAAACCTACTTGCTCATATACTCCAAAGCATAAGAATATAAGAAGACCCCACTGGATCAATCCAATGGACGACCCAGTCCAACATCCTGCTCTCACAGTGGCTGAGCAGATTTCTGTGGGAAACCAGCAAGCAGGATTTGCGCACAAGAGCCTTCTCCCCCAGGCGTGTAGCACGCTTCCAGGACAATCATCCCAGGAGGAATTTTTGGGGGGCAGGGGTCTCGCCACTCATGCCATCCTCCCTGAGCTAGCCCTGTGCCACTTTGAGAGCTGGGGAGGGCAGTGTAAGAAGGAGGCAACAGCCTTGCACCCTTCAATCCCAACCCCTTGAGCTAGATGGACCAATAGTATAAGGCAGCTTACTATGTTCTTGGGAAGGGCTGTAGCACAGCACCTGCTTTGCATGCAGAAGGTCTCAGGTTCGATCCCCAGCATCCTGGAAATGCACCCTGTCTGAAACCCTGGAGACCATTACTAGCCAGTGTAGTCACTACTGACCTTGATGGACCAATGGTGAAAGGCAACTTCTGCTATGCTTATTTAAATTCAGCCCCCCTTCATTTTAGAATCATGAGGACTAGAAACTTATTTTTAGGTGCAAGCCCATAGCTCAGAGGTAGAGCATGCATAAGATCGCTAGTTCAACCCCCAATGGCAGCATCTCCAGGCAGGCCTGGGAGAGACACCCTGACACCCTGGAGAGCCGCTGCCGGTCAGTGTAGACAGTACTAGATGGACGTAAGGCTCCGACTCAGTAGAAAGCAGTTTCTCACGATCCCACGGCAAAACAAGGCATCACGTGACATGTAAATATAGAAAACTGCAGGTCCCGGCCGAGTTTGTTTCCTTCCCCCTTTCGGCCACGCCTCCCCTTTGGCCCCGCCCAGATAGGCCTCTCTCTCTTTCCTACCGCTCCATCTGCCTCCGGACAGACAGGCGGCTTCTGATAGGCCCACGTTTCGGTCCGGCGGCCAATCCGTGGAGGCCACAGCGGCGCCGCGAGGAGGGCGAGGCTATATAAGGAGGGGGCCGCGGATGAGGAAGTGAAGCGCAGCTGTTGGAGTGGTGGAAGCGAGAATTGAAAACGGAGACACGATGGCGGAAGCCCCGGTAGGGCCCGGCCGGATTCCGGGAGGCGAGGCCGAAGGGGAGGAGGTCTCGCTCGTGGTCAAGAGCCCCGCGCAGCGGCACCCCGACCTCCGCCTGACCGCCCAGCGCTCGTGGAGCGTCCGTCGCCTCAAGGCTGAGCTCCGCCGCCGTCACCCGGACGCCCCGGTGAGTCTGCGAAGCTCGCTGCCCTCCTCCTCGTCCTCCTCATACGGCACTTCCCCACCTCTTCCTTCCTTAAAAAAAAAAATCTGTTACGGGCTACACTGCTCCTGAGCGGGGAGGCTCTGAGAAAACTCTCTCCTGCCCAATTCGGAAGCTGCCAGGGTGGGACAGGCTGGGGTTTTTTCTGCCTTTGTGCTCGGCTATTGCTGGCGAGTTGGGGGTTGCAAATGGGAGATGTGAACTTTTAAAGGGGCGAGAGTAATGTCTGAGGGATGTTGATAGTGACTGGGCGGGGGCCAGAGGCTGGAGGCATGGACGGACGTAAATAATACCATTAAGCCAGCCTTCCCCAATGCAAGGGCCTTCCAGATTTTGGGGCTACAACTCCTAACGCCCTCCCCCGGGAGGGCTGGCTGTGGCTGTTGGGAGCTGTAGTCCAACAATATCTAGAGGGCTGCATGTTTGTTTATTTTCATTTATGCCCCAGCATCTTGTCCAAAGATCTCAAGGTATGATTCGCCCTCTCCTCATTTAATCCACATAACAACCCTGTGAGGTAGGTTGAGTGAGTGACTGGCTCCCAAGGTCACACACAGTAAGAGCTTCATGGCCAAGTGGCGATTTGAACCCTGATTTCCCAGGCCCCGCTCTAGTCACTACACTGTATTAAGCAGAGCAGGAGACTGATTTTTAATCTCTTCCCACAACCCTCCTTTTTGAAAATTTAGGACTCTGAAACCAAACATGGCCTTGAATGATAGGTTTCCTGGATCACATTTGTGGCCCTTCTAGCCCAGCTTTCCACCGCCTACAGTGGCCAACAAGTTGTTTCATGAAGGGCATGAAGGCAGAAGTTTTCTTCCTGCAGTTGCTCTCCTGTGACTGGTATTCAGTGGCATACTGCCTCTGCATCTGGAGGTTCTATGTTGCTGTCGAGTGGCTGGTGATAAACCTGGTTGTTGTCTAAGATCTTCCCTCTGTCATGGAATATTAGTTGCTGGGGAGACTTCTGGAGTTGCGCTTTTATTCCACTTAAAGATTTCCCATAGGCATCTGGTTGGTTACCATCAGAAGAGAGTGGACTCGAAGGGCCTTCAATCTGATGTAGCAGCACTCTTAACACTATGAAAAGATTAAGCTTGCTCTTGTATTACTCATATTTATTTATTTCATGAAATTTAAACAACACTTGATTGCGGGAGAAAGCCTCAAAGTGGTTTGCATGGTACCTGCCACCATATTCACCATAGTTCCTTTCTTTCAACTCTTCCCCAATCACTGATTTTGAAGCCTTTATCTCTCTTACGCTCAAAGGCCTTTTTCTGTTTTCTATTTGCTTTTTTATGTATCCATTATGTACCTTGGCTTTTCTCCAGTGATCTGAGTACATGGTGATATCTGCTCTTTCTTCCTGCAGGTAGGTTAGGTTGTGGGGTGGAGAATGGCTCAAGGTGCCTCTGTGACCTTCATGACCAAGGAGAGATTTGTCTCCGTGGTCCAGTGTTTGTTCGCTGCATTGGCTGTTCTTCCCACAGTTCTACCTCTCACCTTATTTCTTTTTCCTCATCCACTTTCCCCCTCCTTTCATAGTTCTTTCTGCTTAGGCTGGTATCTCCGGTTTCTGCAGCCTTCTTCCTGTTCATGTTCTCTCCAGGCATCTTGGCCTGTACTTACTCTCTAAACAGGCCTTTATATAGCAGCAGTTGGAATCTTAACATTCCTCACCAAGGACTAGGAAGCTGCCAGTAGTGTTTTAACAGACTTTGGAGCATAGAATGCCTGCAAGTGCAATGTGGTGATTTTGATTAAAGTCATCATTGTGATCGTCTTGGCCTTTGTCCCCCTTTGCTGTTTATCCGCTTAGTACTGGGGTGATATATTACTTTTGCCAAATGTGATTTTTCCCCATCACCCATGCCCAGAGCAAAAGGCTCCCTCCACATCAGCAAGCAGTGTTACATAACCAAACAGTCTGGGCACCTCTTGGCAGCTGGTCATTCTGTTCTGGGAGCTTAAGCTTCTTTGAACAGGTTTTTTTTTCACTCTTCTGCCAAACAGATGATGCAATAGGGCTTAGGTCTTACTCACTTGTCGCTCTTGATTTATTACATTTGGATGTCAAATGCTGAAATTGCCGAATTCATGGCCAAGGCAAATGACTTCATCATTTTGTGGCTTACAATAAATGATCAGAGATCCTCTGTCTGAAGAAGCTTAAAGCAGCAAAAATCCCCTTATGAACATATGGGGTTATTTTTGTTCCATTCTGTTTTTCAAATTAAGAAGCAGCAGTACTTTGTCACTTTCTTTGCAATGCAAATGGCCCAGCTGGTAGACCAGTTTGCTATTTTGGCAAGGATGATTTGAAAAACCAAAAAAGGGTTATTTCTCTAGGCTTTTCTCTAGTACAACTAGTAGCAAATGCTGTGTTTGAATTCAAAACAGATTGGGACAGCCACGTAAACGTTATGAAACTAACTCTTTCCTTTTGGTCTGATACTGACACTACTTCACAATGTTTTAGTTTGTTAGCAACAAGAAAAGATGGATCCAGCTAGTAAGACTAATTTATTTTATTCTTCATTCAGTTTACAAGAATGACATGACCAGCGTTCGATCCTCCCATTGTGCTAGGCGCATTTTGCAACAAGAATTTCATTAGCATGAGCAGTTTCTGAGATCTGGGCGCCTAAGATTTCAGATTAAAACTACAGAGTGGAAGGAAAGGAGGACCTTTTTCTGTCTCCCCACTTTCAGCCACTCTCTGAAGACTGGAGAAGAGACCCTCTTAAGAACCTTAGGGGGGCAGGCAGGGGAAGCATGGCTTTTTTTGCAGTCTTCAGATGAGGACTAGACCATGTGAAAAATAAACATAAGACTTTAGCTGCAGTTCATTCATTTTCAGCTTTGTATTGTTCTATAAAAAAAAGTATGCCTAGACTTTCCATTGTTGTGCCCATAACCTTGGTTTAAGGTGCCATTTAGCTCCTAGCTTTCATATCTCAGTTTCTAACACTGAACATGACTGATATATTTTGGCACAGCAGTTAAAGTATGGTATGTTAAAATAAAAATTTAAATACGCTAATTCCCAGATTAGGTACCGGGACATGCTAATGTACCTCAACATTAAATTAAAGGCTCCTGTGCATTGAGTACCCACCCCCGGAAGATGCCACCCACTGCATCTTATAGATAAGTAAAACTTACCTTGTTATCTTCTAACATTGAAAAAGGATTTGTCTTCACATCCATTCCCTCTGCTAGCATGGTTGCAGGGGTGAGGGTTCCTACTGTGGAATTCATACTCGACCCTCCAGCAAGTAAATTTGTCTCTCATAACACTTCAGTAAGGCCAGTTTGAAATTTCTAGTAATGCTGCGGTGTCAAATGACTTCTTCACAAGAACTGCAGTTTCTAAGAAGTGTGGCGCAGTTAATTTCTAAATATAAGTACTTTCACTTAAGAGCAAAATAGGGGGTTACTGGTAATTCTGAGATTGAAATAGTCCTACAGAAACCCTATTTGCAATTAGAGAAAAGCGTCATAATAGGGTTCCTAACTGGAGATGGTGATTGATACTGGCTTCTGTCAACCTAGCTAAGGTTTCTCATAGTTGGAGGTGGAACTTTGGTCAAAGTGGACATTCTTGTCTGATTTTGCAAGTGGCTGACCATTGCACTTGTCCAAAACACAAAATAAGGATTCAAAGTTTTGTTGATGAAATCTCTACAACTGCCTGATATAAACAGAAACTGATATTATTGTCTGGACTCTGGAACCAGTTCTTAGCAGCAGCAATAGCAACAGCAACAACACTAAGCTAGGGCTAAAAAAATGAATTAAAGGCTTGCTGATGGTGGGCGCCTTGTCTATCAACATCAGTATCTTGGCTTATATTAGAGGGTTGTACTTTGTGCCCCATAATATAAGTGCAGTCTTATTTTTCACTCTAACTCAGTCACCAGGTTGATGAAGCAGGTGTGGAGTTCTTAGATGTGGGTACGTCTGAAACTACATCTTCCTTTTTTGGGAATATGTGTCCCAAAAAGGTCTTCTCTGACCTGACAGCATGCATCTGTTCTGCCTCCTAGAAGTCCAGCAAGCAAATTCAAAGTAGTTTCCAAGCATTACTATAATTGAGGATCTCAGAAATGCTGAAATGCATAACTTGTTCATGCAGTAGCTTTGTATTACAAATAAGTTTGCTACAAGAAGGATGGAATGTAAATACTCCAAATCAGACAATTGTGGGTTTTTTTGTGTGTGTGTGTGTGTTTGCAAAGGTACTTTGTTAAGATGGAAGTTGCATAAATAAATAAATATTGCACATGTTAAGTTCTGCATGGCTGTTCTGCATAATTCAACAGAATGGGTCCTGACCATTGTGTTCTCTTCCTCTTAAAGCCTGAAGACGTTCAGAGACTGATTTATTCTGGGAAGTTGTTACAGGACCATCTTTACCTGCGAGATGTGCTTGCCAAGGTACTTGGATGCTGCATGCTACTAGCATTGCTTTTGTTAACTCTAGTGGATCAGCAAGTAAATGCAATAAACTGAACTCTTGTTTGAAACTTATTTTGGTTTATATTTCAGCAGGATATGGTGCATGCTCTCCACCTGGTGTGCAACTCAAAACTGCAAGAAACAGACGTGAAGGTATTTATAAACTGATAAGTTGTTCAGATTCCTACCTTATCTTTATCCACAATTTAGTTATAGTTCCCCTTGGAGCTGTTACTACAGCCTTGTAAGAGCATGAATATTGCATTGCTCTGTAAACCATAGCAGGTCCACCACTTGCATCTGTTAGAGTCCTGGGAAGCTCACTATTCGGCCCCAAGAGAGGTAACCACTCCCAGAGGTTTGGTGCCTTTGGTACAGCTTTGTTTTTAGCTGTCATGCTATTGACACACCAATCCTCAAAGACTTTGGAGCTTCAGTTTGAAAACCATCTAAATCAGTAGCCATCTCTGAAACTTGCGGCATTCAGAATTAAGCTGTAATTGTTTTCTTCCTTACCTGGCGGAATGGAGAGAACCAGTGGGATATGGGTTAGCTCTGGATATAAACTCTATAGGAAGGACAGAGAAGAGTGATGCTTTCAACTTGCTGATTTCACTTTTATCCGTGTGATGGTTATATTTGTCATAATGTTGAAATAAAGCTGTTGCTGGGGTGTAAACAGAAGCTCTGTGCGTATGTGTGGTATATTGCACCCCTCAGTTGATTCTACTTGAATAGTTGTTACCGTGCTTGCTATGGACATTTGCGCCTGCACACCTGAAACTTACTTCTTTGTGCTTGGGGCATAGGCCCTCTGGGAACATGACTGACGAGGGGATTTCATTTGGATGCCTGGGGGACTTCTCCCCAGCTGTATTCTGCTGTCAGTCTAGTAGAACCGTCCAAGAAACCAGCACACTTGCCAAACGAACAGGAACAACTTATGCGTAGCACTTAGTAACTTTAGGTAGCAGAGTGCCCTCATAAGGTGCTTTGGTGGGAGCAATAGAGATTCAAGCAGAACTTTTCCAGAAAAAGAGTTGTTATTGAAAAATTGTGAGGTAAATTACTAAAGTCTTGTCACAGAAGGTGGTGTGGGGAGGGAGAAATGAGGTGAAGGCAAGCCAAGAGCGGTTGTGTTGGTGGTGTTTGGGGCAGGAAGGAACAGGGTTGAAACCATGGGGGGAACAAGCTATACCTCCCCTTCCTCGCAATTTTTCTGAAAATCCTCTCAAAAGGGAGGGAGAAGCTCCCATGCAGACACATTCTTAAGTTTCAGCTGATCAATGTTTTCCTCAGGTTGTTGAAGCCAAGCATCAGCCAGCAGCCTTTAGCCAAGACCCGCCATTGCTTCCTTCAGTTCATGCTTTGAGTCAGACGGACATCCTCGGCAACCAGCCCCTTGGAGCAGAGAATGCTGGCGATAGGTAAGTGTGGTGTGAGTGGCTCGGTTCTGCCTGCTTGTTCAGACAACTTGCTCCTGAATCTGTGTGCCCTTGAGATGGCATCTATGTACCCTCTTGGCAGCAGCTGGTGCCCCTGGCCTGCTACTGGAATGGGTGCATAGCAGTGCACCCTAACTCCAATGTGAGGTACCACTTTGGGGAAAGCAAAGAACAACTGTGCAAATGAGAGAAATGCCTGTCTCTCCTTCAAGCCTTTGGCTTTGACCTTCTCCAGCACCCAGCACAAATAAGTAAATGCCTCCCTTCTCCTTGCAAGCCTTCTTGGCATTTGAGAGGCCTTGGGGAGGAGAGAGACGAGTTGGTGGTGAGCATAACTAGCAGCTGGCTAGCAAGCCAAACCAAAGACTCCTGAGCCCCTAGTATAGGGATAGTCAACTTGGGGGCCTCCAGAAGTTGGACTGCAGCTCATGCACCCCTGATCATTGGTCATTCTTCTTAAGGGTGATGCGAGTTGTGGTTCAGCAACATGAGGCCCAGTACGTCAGCATGTTTTCCCCAATGGAACTTTGACTGCAGCACAGTTTAATTCTTTCTTCTGATTCGTTGTTGATGCATTTAAAATGTTACAATCTAAAAGGCCTGACACACAAGGATTGGGGAAGAAGGGAGGGTGAGGAAGGACACCCAGGGACGAGTTCCTTGTTGTAAGGACTATGTAACCAACAGCTGGAATCAAAAGAGCTTAGAGAGAGGAGCCACAAATAGTTAGTCTTTTACCAGAGCAGAGATGCAGAAACCCTGCCAGTCCATTCTCTTTTCCACTTCAGTAGCCTGAAGATTAAATGCTGATAAAACATCCTTGGCCTGGAGGGTACAGCATTACAAAATCCTTGCCATATAATTTTCAGTGAGGGCAAGGGAGAAAAAAATAGTATGCCTGTCCTGATTAAGCATATTTTCTTCTCCTCTGCATCAGATCTGTACCGGCGCAGCACTGCTTTCAAGGCTATTCATCCTATACAACATACCGCATGCTGCAGTTCTGGTTCCATCAGTTTTATGCAAGACAATACTACATGCAATAGTAAGTTGCTGTCTTCGTTGTGATCTATTTCTACAAGGAGCTAAATCCCAAGCATTTTGACAAATTTGCATACTGGTGTGATGTGGCTGAAAAGCTAGGGCTCTCATCTGTGTATTCAGTGTTAGCTTATATCAAACCCCTGGCACAAATAAGCTATGGTGGTCCTTGGTGATTCACTGAATCAAATATACCCTTGAAGTGCACCTGTTGTTGGCTTGCTATTTTGAGGCTGCCAATTTGTTTCATGCACATCAAAGTTGAGCAAGTTCTTACCAGCTTTCTAACTGAGCTCATGACTTTTATCTTGCATCTAGCATGGCTGCCAGTGCTGTTTCTGGTGACGTATCCTCTACACGAAGTACGCAGGAGATCCCAGTTGCAGCCCCGGTTGCGGCCCCAGCTCCTCTTTCTGGTCCTTTTCCTGCTGAAAACCAGGCCGGAAATCAAAACGTTCCCCCTCAGGTAAACCCAGGGGTGAACCAGAACCTTCGTATGAATGCCCAGGGAGGGGCTTTGATGGAAGAAGAAGAAGAAGGCGGCAATCGGGATTGGCTGGACTGGCTCTACTCAGCAACCCTCTTCTACGTCTTCATCAACATTGTGTATTTCTACTCCAGTATGAGCAGGCTTCTCATGGTGATGGTGGGCACCCTGCTGATGTACCTGTAAGTTTCTGCAGCCTCATCTTATCTCTCTCACTTTTTACCACTAATCTTGGTGCACATTATTTTAAAATAAGTGTCTGCTGGGGGAGACTAGTGGCCAAGTGTGGACATGATGTCAAACTGTGATCAAGGCTTTGGGGTTCCACAGTTGCTCAGCCAGGCCATGAGAAGATAGCGAGAACATACCACTTAAGAAATAGGAAGCTACCTTATATATGAGCCAGACCCTGTCAGTCTAGCTCAGTATTGTCTTACCTTGGCTGGCAGTCATTTGCCAGTATTTCAGGCAGGGCTGAAAGCCTTGCCCTACCAGCTGATGCCATTGGAGACCTACATGCAAAGCAACAGCCTCCAACCTATGGTTGGTTGACAAAATATCATTAACATCCAAAGTGGAGGGCAGGGCAGCTTAGTTTTAACCACAACTTGTTAACGTGTTGGGATCATAAACCACAATTTAATTTGCTCCACTAAGCTTATTTCTTGGTAGGCTTTGGTACAGAAAACCGTGGTTTACAACAAGAAGTGAAAATTTCCTATTATGGCTGGCAGGGAGCATATGTGAGCAGGCCTCTGTATATAAAGCTAAACTGTGGTTTCCTGTTTTATCTGAGCTGGCCCACAAACTCTGCTGGACATATTTCTGCAGCTCCCTTGAAATAGTTGTAAGGAGGCTAGTACTTCAAACATTTACATCTACTAAAATACCACTTGTGAGGGTTTAAGAGGAACATGCACCACAGGTAAAATAACTTGTTTTGCAACCTGTCGCTCATTTTCACTGTTGCACATACAAGAACTGCAGGCTAAACGCTGACATCTGAACTTGTCCTAGTAAACTATCCTCTCCTTTCGATGCATTTCTCACCTGTGGGACTGTAGCTCAGACAGCTCTTTACTATACTGAATGCAGTTTTTATACATTAGCAACAGTAAAAGCTCCTCAGCTTTTGCAGTTTGTTAGTAAACTTGGGTAGACAGCCATTCAGTTTATGTTGGCAGCCCTTTAAAGGGACACAGATTGGAACAAAATAACTGTCTTTGGTCTTTTTTATTTAGCAAAATTTATAAGCCGCTTGATTGTTTAAAAAAGGAAAACCTCTTAAGCAGTTTACAAAAATATAAAAAACTAATAAAATTACTGATAAAACAATTAAAACCTATTAAATATTTTCAAAAGATGATTGCAATCAGCTGCTAAAAAGAAATGAAACATATAACTTCCACATGTCTGGATAGGCCTGATATAGGCAGGGAGTTCCAAGGCGTACTTGTAAGAAATTGGTATTTTAGTGTGGCCACAAGTATATCAATAATAATAATAATAAATAATAATTAATAATATAATTATTTATACCCCGCCCATCTGGCTGGGTTTCCCCAACCACTCTGGGCGGCTCCCATCGGAACGTTAAAAGCACCTGTGCCAGTTATGCAGATGGAAGCAGTTGAGTGGGCATATATGGGATAAGGTGATTCAGCAAATAACATTTCCCACCACATTACGGATGTCATGCAGTGCACAGAACTCCGAGCTGTCTTCTATGAAATAACTGGAAAGGCTTGTACATCAGGGGCTAAGTCAATTGCTCTCCTCCTGTCCTTGAATATTGAATGGAGACTCTCTCCCATGCCAAATGGTGGGTTATCCTGACAGAGGGTTTTTTCAGACTTCCCTTTGGCATTCTGTCTTATACCTCACTGGTTTTGTCTTCTCAGGCACCAGGTTGGATGGTTTCCTTTCAGGCGGAGGCCAGCTCAGCCTGCTGAGAACAATATTCCTCTCCAAGCAGCTGTTAACCAAGACCAAAACAACAATTTACAGGTAAGTTCCTAACAGGATATAATTTCCTTCATAAGCACAATTTTTGAATGTTCTGATGAACTTTCCAGCCCAAACCTAAGCAGCTCAGAATGAATGCCACTCATTCAGAGAGATGTGCTTCCTGGATAATTAAGCTTGTTTAGGGTTTCAGCATTGCCTCAGTACTGTTTCTAAAACACCTCTGTATATTCTGTCCACATATCTTAAGTGGCTTGGCACTTATGTACTGTAAATTGTTCTGTGCGACAAAATAATTTAGGGTGCAAAGTGTGCATTCGGTATTGGCTTCCACTTAGCACAGTCAATGTGCTAAAATTATGTTGTAGAACTTGAGATAAATCAAGATGTTGAATCATTTGTCGGGCATTTTCCTGATTTGGTGGTGCTGGTTCTACTGTACCACATAATGCGCCCTATGCTTTGTATGTGAGACCCAGTGCTGGGCAGCACCAAATGTTTTGGTCCTTCTGGGGTGGGGAATTCCTTTTTCGGGCAGCTAAACCATCTCCAGCTCCTGGCTCTTCCTGTTGACTGAAGGCTTTGGAGACCTGATGATGGAAAATGTCCATCTCCCAGGCCCTAGATGTCACTGCTAACGTTAAATGAGCTGTAATGTGTTGAATTAATGCAGCAACTGTGTGCTATCTCAGAAATGGTTTTTGGATCCTGCATGTTGTTAATACATGCTTGGAGAGCAGGTTGCTCCTAGCTTCTAATGAGGTCCTTTCATGAAGTGCTCTCCCTCCACAGAGTCTGGCTAGCCAAATATATCTAGTTCATGTGACTTATGACAAAGTAAACCTACAACTGGTAATATTTGCCAGTGTCGAATCTAAAGCTACCCAGGAAGAAAGCCGTAGCGCTGCAGGAGAACGTCAGTTGATGATCCTGTCAGGGAATTATTGCATCTTTCTCTTTCCTTGGTTTAGCAGGAGGAAAATGCGGGTGGTCAGGGTGAAATGGAGGCACCTGACACCACACCAGAGAGTCAACCAGCACCGTCTTCGTTCATGAGCACTGCCTGGCTTTTCTTCAAGACTTTCTTTGCATCCCTCCTGCCTGAGGGACCCCCAGCTGTGGCCAACTAGCTGGCTGCTTAGCCACACAAATAGCCAGTAAACTGCAGCTGTCTGTTTGCTGTGAGACCTTTGGCTGAGCAAGGACTGGACTGGACACCAGTTTGAATGTTGGAAGTGGCCTGGTACCAATGGACGAAAAGGAATTAGTCTGCTTTCAAAAGCGAAAGACAGAGATTGCAGCAGCCATAAGACCAAAGTACAAGTATGGTCCAGAGTGCCAGTGAATTGTATGGGAAACATTGAGTGAAGGCCTACAGCAGTGTGCAATTCTGTACTGAATGCATGTAAGGCTGTTGATGGACCAGAACGAGAGAAGCACATTGCTTCTGCTGGTGTAACTTGATTCCTGTTGGAATGTATCTCATGCTTTAATTACACTGAGTGTAGTATCTTGTGCAACCAGTGAATTGCTAGATATGTATTATAAGAGTTTTACAGGGAAGATTTATGCCAAAAAATAATTAAAAGCTGTGCTTGCGCTCAATAAATGTAGGGAGCTGTTTGCATAAATAGCTTCCTACTGAAGATTCAGTTGAACCTTTTATTACTAAACAGTATAGCAAGAGCAACCAACCCACAACTACAGGTTCATGTCAAGAACTATCACCCAGTTTTATCAGTTGGAGTGATCATTGTAGATCCAAGCAATCTTTCCCTGGATAAAATCTTCCAGGCTGCTTTCTGTTAGTACTTCAGATACGCATCTAATCAAAAATATTGTCAGCTGTTTTTGCCACCACCTTACAAACTCAAGATATCTGCAAACTAGAGTCTTTTGCAAGCAAGGCTTAGAAAGACGATGGCCCATCTGTCTGTTCCTGCTGGGTCCTTAGTTGAATTTCAGCAGTGGGATATTTCTCTGGCATTCTGTTTTTTGTGCATTGTATTAAATGGGTTTTAAAAAAATCTTCCAGAAGAAAGTTCTCCAAAACATACATTATGTTACTAGCTTAATTTCTAGTGGTTTGTTATTTTAAAATAAGTATGCAACTATGCAAGTATGAAGAAGACCTGGGAAAGGAAATAGGTATTGAAAATGTCATATCACATTTTAAAGCTTGTGCTTTTAAGGGTAAATTGCTTAAGAGCAGTATATTTTGTGCCTTTGGGATCTGGAGATGTTTTTCCTTTGCTCCTTATACTTTAGGGGCATTCCTGATATCTCCATTTCTGTTAATCTTGGCTTGCATCTCTAGAATTTAATGAATTTGCATTGAGAATCTTTTCAGCTCAGGGACAATTTTTCTTAGATTATCTTAACACACAGGGCCATTGTCCTGCATATACATTGTGAATATCAAATGATGCTGAATTATTTTTTCACTATTGCAGATTGTAAGCCTTCAGTTCATATCAACTTCATCTGTACAGCTGACCACTTTCTCTTGTATAATATCTGTTGAACAAAGTTTAACACGCAATGACTTAATTTTATTAAACTTAGATATTGCTGTCTAGCCGTTCATTTGTCGGTCACTGCACAGGTAAACTGTACAAGAAACACTGTCCAGTCCAGGCATTAAGGACAAATGGTATAACTGAGTGGCTGAGAATCTGAACTCCTTTCCCTGACCTTCTCATTACCTGGCTCGATTATCTGGCAGTCTCTTCCAACTTTACTCCAGGTCTGCGATGCTGAAGGCTTTCATCAGTACTTCAAATAAGATGAATAAGACAAGAAGAGCCCTGCTGGATCACACTCTAGCATTACTCTCTGGGCAGTGCTGCTGGCAAGGCTGTTGAGAACTGTGCTGCTATGATGACAAAAGCTCCTGTCCTTCACTTGTAAGGATAGAGAAAACACCAGTCTCTGGGAAACAATTGAGGAAATAAAGTGCATGTCGTACATACAAACAAACCCTCAATCAGTAGTGGCAAACTGCTGGAGATATTTTAAAAGAGTTAGAGAGAGGAGCCACAAATAGTTAGTCTTTTTACCAGAGCAGAGATGCAGAACCCTGCCAGTCCATTCTCTTTCCACTTCAGTAGCTCTGAAGATTATATATGAGAAAAACATCCTTGGCCTGGAGGTACAGATTACAAATCCTTGCATATAATTTTCAGTGAGGGCAAGGGAAAAAAAATAGTATGCCTGTCCTGATTAAGCATATTTTCTTCTCCTCTGCATCAGTCGTTGTACGGGCGCATGCCCTGGCTGTTCAGGCTATTCATTCCTATACACACTACGCGCATGCTGCAGTTCTGGTATCCATCAGTTTTATGCAAGACAATACTACATGCAATAGTAAGTTGCTTGCTTCGTTGTGAATCTATTCTACAAGGAGCTAAATCCCAAGCATTTTGACAAATTCTGATACTGGTGTGATGTGGCTGGAAGCTAGGGCTCTCATCTGTGTATTCAGTGTTAGCTTATATCAACCCTTGGCACAATAATAAGCTATGTTGTGGTCCTTGGTGATTCACTGAATCAAATATACCTTGAAGTGCACCTGTTGTTGGCTTGCTATTTTGAGGCTGCAATTTGTTTCATTGCACATCAAAGTTGAGCAAGTTTCTTACCAGCTTTCTAACTGAGCTCATGACTTTTATTTTGCATCTAGCATGGCTGCCAGTGCTGTTTCTGGTGACGTATCCTCTACCGAAGTACGCAGGAGATCCCAGTTGCAGCCCGGTTTGCGGCCCAGCTCCTCTTTCTGGTCCTTTTCCTGCTGAAACCAGGCCGGAAATCAAAACGTTCCCCTCAGGTAAACCCAGGGTGAACCAGAACCTTCGTATGAATGCCCAGGGAGGGCTTTTGATGGAAGAAGAAGAAGAAGGCGGCAATCGGGATTGGCTGGACTGGGCTCTACTCAGCACCTCTTCTACGTCTTCATCAACATTGTATTTCTACTCCAGTATGAGCAGGCTTCTCATGGTGATGGTGGGCACCCTGCTGATGTACCTGTAGTTTCTGCAAGCCTCATCTTATCTCTTCACTTTTTACCACTAATCTTGGTGCACATTATTTTAAAATAAGTGTCTGCTGGGGGAGACTAGTGGCAAGTGTGGACATGATGGTCAAACTGTGATCAGGCTTTGGGTTCCACAGTTGCTCAGCCAGGCCATGAGAAGATAGCGAGAACATACCACTTAAGAAATAGGAAGCTACCTTATATATGACCAGACCCTGTCAGTCTGCTCAGTATTGTCTTACCTTGGCTGGCAGTCATTTGCCAGTATTTTCAGGCAGGGCTGAAGCCTTGCCCTACCAGCTGATGCCATTGGAGACCTACATGCAAAGCAAACAGCCTCCACCTATGGTTGGTGTGACATATCATTAACATCCAAAGTGGAGGGGCAGGGCAGCTTAGTTTTAACCCAAAACTTCGTTAACGTGTTGGGATCATAAACCACAATTTAATTTGCTCCACTAAGCTTATTTCTTGTAGGCTTTGTACAGAAACCGTGGTTTACAACAGAAGTGAAATTTCCTATTATGGCTGGCAGGGAGCATATGTGAGCAGCTCTCTGTATATTAAAGCTAAACTGTGGTTTCCTGTTTTATCTGAGCTGGCCCACAAACTCTGCTGGACATATTTCTGCAGCTCCCTTGAAATAGTTGTAAGAGGCTAGTACTTCAACATTTACATTACTAAATACCATTGTGAGGGTTTTAAGAGGAACATGCACCACAGGTTAAATAACTTGTTTTGCACCTGTCGCTCATTTCACTGTTGCACATACAAGAACTGCAGGCTAAACGCTGAACATCTGAACTTGTCCTAGTAAACTATCCTCTCCTTTCGATGCATTTCTACCTGTGGGACTGTTAGCTCAGACAGCTCTTTACTATATCTGAATGCAGTTTTATACATTAGCAACAGTAAGAAGCTCCTCAGCTTTTGCAGTTTGTTAGTAAACTTGGTAGACAGCCATTCAGTTTATGTTGGCAGCCCTTTAATGGAAAGGGACACAGATTGGAACAAATAACTGTCTTTGGTCTTTTTTATTTAGCAATATTTATAGAGCCGCTTGATTGTTTTAAAAAGAAAACTCTTAAGCAGTTTACAAAAATATAAAAAACTATAAATATTACTGATTAAAACATTAAACCTATTATATTTTCAAAGATGATTGCAATCAGCTGCTAAAAAGAAATGAACATATAACTTCCACTGTCTGGATAGGCCTGATATAGGAGGGAGTTCCAAGGCGTACTTGTAAGAATTGGTATTTTAGTGTGGCCACAAGTATATCAAATAATAATAATAATAAATAATAATTAATAATATATTATTTATACCCCGCCATTGGCTGGGTTTCCCCAACCACTGCTGGGCGGCTCCCATCGGAACGTTAAAAGCACCTGTGCAGTTATGCAGATGGAAGCGTTGAGTGGGGCATATATGGATAGGTGATTCAGCAATAACATTTCCCACACATTAGCGGATGTCATGCAGTCACAGAACTCCGACTGTCTTCTATGAAATAACTGGAAAGGCTTGTACATCAGGGGCTAAGTCAATTGCTCTCCTCCTGTCCTTCGAATATTGATGGAGACTTCTCTCCCATGCCAAACTGGTGGTTATCCTGACAGAGGTTTTTTCAGACTTCCCTTTGGCATTCTGTCTTATAGCCTCCATGGTTTTTCTTCTCAGGCACCAGGTGGATGGTTTCCTTTTCAGGCGGAGGCAGCTCAGCTGCTGAGAACAATATTCCTCTCCAAGCAGCTGTTAACCAAGACCAAAACAACAATTTACAGGTAAGTTCCTAACAGGAATATAATTTCCTTCATAAGCACAATTTTGAATGTTCTGATGAACTTTCCAGCCCAAACCTAAGCAGCTCAGAATAATGCCACTCATTCAGAGAGATGTGTCTTCCTGGATAATTAAGCTTGTTTAGGTTTCAGCATTGCCTCAGTACTGTTTCTAAAACACCTCTGTATATTCTGTCCACATATCTTAGTGGCTTGGCACTTATGTACTGTAAATTGTTCTGTGCGACAATAATATTTAGGGTGCAAAGTGTGCATTCGGTATTGGCTTCCACTTAGCACAGTCAATGTGCTAAAATTATGTTGTAGAACTTGAGATAATCAAGATGTTGATCATTTGTCGGGCATTTTCCTGATTTGGTGGTGCTGGTTCTACTGTACCACATAATGCGCCTATGCTTTTGTTGTGAGACCCAGTGCTGGCAGCACCAAATGTTTTGGTCCTTCTGGGTGGTGGAATTCCTCTGAAATGCATAACTTGTTCATGCAGTAGCTTTGTATTACAAATAAGTTTGCTACAAGAAGGATGGAATGTAAATACTCCAAATCAGACAATTGTGGTGTTTTTTTGTGTGTGTGTGTGTGTGT